ATCGGCTCGGGTGCATCGACAGCCCTCTTGCCATCTGCGGAACACGTCAGTGTGCGAAGACAGGTGGGCCATCTGCTCTGCCTGTGCAAATGATATGCGGTCCTCTAATACTTACAGCTACAGCCCTGCGTACGTAAGCACCATCAATTAGGCGATCCTGTGTGATTTCAGGACCAGACTCACCGGTCTAGCGCCTCCCTGTATTGCTGCCCGCACCCGTGTTCATGTCGCGTTGTCAGAGCATGTACCAGGATCATCCCGAGCCTCTTCGGGGATGGCCGCGCTCCTCCAAAGATATGCACGCACCCGTTTCGAATGGAAGGGGCATCCCAGAGACGGCCCCGAGGCCTTGGGCTCGCTGGCGCTACTAATCATCACGGCCACTGCCATGGACGGTACCTGGCAAGACACTGAGCCTGTGCACGGTCCGGTCCGCGTTACACACCTGGCACTCGCTGATTCAGACCCCAGTCACTGGCAATTTCCTACACTGGCTCTCCGCAGAATCCGCGCTGCAGTATTGACAACTATCCGCTCAGGCAGAAGACTGGGGACTCTCAAGCACTCGGGAAGGAGATCGATCTGCCACTCGGTAACCCAAAGAAGGCAGGTACGCACTTGCCTTTCTGGTCAGCGCAGTACAGCCGTGCGACCCCTCCTCCATTCACTACCGCACGTAGGTACCCCAAGTCGGCCCGCAGTAGGCCTGTACCCGAAGTGATTCCTGCACGGGAACAGTCTGGGTCTGAGTGCTGACAATGAGCACCGATCAGCTATCTGACTGGTACTTACTGCCGCTGTAGGACGGGTAGGACATGCGATTCCGCCCACTTTGAAATCACGCAGCCAAGGCCAGCATCGGATCCCCCTATCATCCGAACGTCACCGTCGTCAACGAAGACTACACAGCTATGGGCCTAAGCTTCGCGGGCAGAGGTGCGTACTGGCTACTCTACATTAGTGCTCAGAGTATAGCGCTCATGATCGAACCAGGAGGACGCTCACGATCTCCGACTTAGGGTCCACCGCTGCTATCTCATCGAATCACCTGTGCGGAGATGTTTTCAAGGGCGTTGTCATCGCGCTAGGTCGAAATAGCAAGTAGTGTACCAGTACCAGAGGCCAGGGACCCCCGAAAAGGCAGCATTGGGCGTGGCTTGAATCCCACGTGTATTGCGAATGTCTGCTGCTCCACTCCGGAGAGAAGCGCGACACAGATGCGGCCACGATCCGCCTGGAGGGGCGATGTCCAATACAGCGGGGTATAACATTGGTACATGCATGCCAAAGGCCTGCGGATGTTGAATACTGACATGGAATGTGTATTGACGTGCTGAGCAGGCGCAGTGGACCCGACGTTCACGGTAATAAGCGCGCACGAGGGAGACCAAGTAGGTAAGTAATGAGGAGGAGGAGGAGGAGGTAATTGAGAGTGGCACCTGCGATTAGGCTGTGAGAACGGTATGTACCGATCGCTCGGTGCAGAGTCCCGATCAGAGCCTGACATACTGCGACTCCAGATGCGACTCCAAACTGCAGAGGTTGGCCGCTATCGTAACATGCGCGAACACCATGTGAAGGCCACGCAGTACGATGCCGGTCGGAATGGTCATCGTGTGCGCATGGACATGTGTCTGGAGACAGAACATGCGTCTCGCGACCTGTAGATACCTTGTTAGTCACGATCGGACCATGAATAGCAAGGGCGCTGCCGCAGCGCCCATACGCCGAATTAACAAGCTTCGCTCCGTTCGAAAGAACGTTACCTGTGCAATCGGCGTCGCCCATGAAGCTGCTGTAGAATGTGATACGCTGTCTCCGCCGAAGCATCGGCAGAGGTACGTTACAAAGAGCATAGGACGATGTATCAGCGCAGGCGCTTGCTCCTGGTGAATCTCAATACTTAGATCTTCGCCAAAAAGGAGAGTGAAGTTAGATTCCGGCATGCGATTGGTGGAGACCCGAGACCTAGGTCTCTGCCCGATTTGGCCACTGTTTGTGAACGGCCTCCTTGTCCAGGCTCTCGTGAGCACCAGTCCCGGTCCCTAGGTACTGGCAGTTGTCTAGACCGTGAGTGTCTAGATCAATCGAGAGCGTTTACAGGCAAGTCAGCTGGAGTTGCGAAGTCAGTACGGTGGACTGTGGTCGCCGCTGACCTCGGATCATGGTCTGGGGCGAGCACCCGGAGGCTAGGAAGATAACGTCTCGACTTTGCTGTGTTTTCCGTATCCGCAAGTGCGAACTCACGTTCTGGCACCCCATTTTGCTTCGGGACGTGATGCCGGCATGGCTCGGCAGCATGATGAAGCCACACTTCTGTAGTCACAGTCAAGGAACTGACGGATGGCACGGTGGTGACATCTGCTGACCTGTGGTCTGTGCAGCGGCCCAACAGGCACATAGGCGCTCCCCGGCTGAGGAGCCGAACGAATCTCAAACGCGGAGGATAGTCCTAATATTCGTCACCAATGAACTTAAAAGATCTAAGCCTCTGTCAGTGCACTAGGAAGATGTAGTAAGCGGTGTAATTTGGACGAACCTTATTCCAGCTCCACAGCCTTGCAGCAGTCGACCGCGACGCCGAGAGACACATGAGGACCATGCGCTTCGTTAGCACAGACCAGGTGCTTGCGAAGCAGCCCCGAGTATGAATTCGGTCTGACAGAGTACTTACCACTGACAAGCATTTCGAAGCCCAGGTATCGGAGAGTTCCAGCGGGCCCGGGGCGCTTCCGACATTCAGGTAACCGGGTTGACAGCCTCACATCGGTGTGCCTCGCGATCTACGCCCATTGTACCGTGGCACATCCCCGTGTGTACTGAACTGCTTCCAAGCTCTTCTGCAGAATATGATCGGCGACTGCCTGCAGCTTATGCCATTAGCGCGGGCATCACGCACAAAAATTGATAAAAATGATAGTCGATAACGGTGGAGCCTTTGTTTTGAAAGACTATGCCGCTACGCAGTGACTCATCCCCGGGTAGAAGGTACGGCGTATCTCGTCAAGTGGCTCCATGATATTGGTAGACGGGCACATCAGCGACTGTATGGCACTCTTCAGGAGAACGAGCTTGATCGATGCAGCTTCCGCCGGTCGATGGGCACGGCGGCGCGGGATAAGGTAAAGTACTCAGCCGCACAGGAGCCTCGGGTCAAAGGGCGACAAACCTACTCACGAGGTTCGGCGCAGAAGAGGGACACAGGCGTAGGTGCCGCGGCGCAGAGGCCAAGGTTGCAGGGCGACAGCGGAGAACCATCGGCTCGGAGGAGGAGGAGGAGGAGGTAATTCCATTTAGTCACCCCAGCTAAGTACTACCTACGCAGATGCGCCAGTACATAGCTCGTGACGGCGTTCACCGATTAGATGACAGCCGCGTATCCGAGAGGCCGCCACTTGTCTACATCTAACCTACAGTACCCTACTCTCACTATCACACGATCACAATTACAGTCATACATGCAGTATACCTTGGCCCTCTAGCTGCTAGGCTGGGCGGGCATCATGGGTAAAACCTGGCAGGAAAAAATATGCAAAAGCCTCCAGGCGTCAGTGGCAGTCCCCCGCCACACTGACATAACTCCCCATGATCCAGGTGATGTATCTAGTGCTACAGCCGTCCTACATCGTGTGGAAGGCATGATTTGCCCCCAATGCATAGTGAGTGCAGGGAATCCGTGAGTTGGTTGTAAACCAGTGGTGAACTCCAGTGGAGAACATGGGCTTCGAACAAGAAGCTGCGGTCATACAGTCGCACGCGGGCGGACAGTGGTAGCCCGCTCACTGTATTGAATACAAAGGTGACTGATACACACTTGGGATCAGTGGTAAGGGGACGGCCTAGTGGTGCTCATACTCCTCATGCAAGTACTGTGCTACGGCTGTCTCGATTCTCGAACGGTGCACACGTTCAATCGGTGCCATGAGGGTAGCATTTCCAATACATTTGGTGTACTTCTGCAGAAAAGTGCAGGTATTGAGTACCAGTAGCTGTTGCTAGGCATACCATAGACACATGGGCCATGTAGCAGTCCCCGTCGCAGCCCGCACAGTGAAACTCAGCTCACACTGCCAAAGGAACCGAGCATTGTGCCACACTGCAATGAATTATGACAGTGTAACACATTGACCGGAGAACAACTTGAATGTTGTCAAACACTCGTAATCATTGCCCGCAGGCAGCATCACCAAAGGGTGGCATCACCATGCATGCTGCAAGGTGGTATCCGCCGAGCCAAAGCTACGAGGCGAGAATTCAGACTAAGGGTGCGCCCACACAGCAATGTTAACATCGGCGAGAATTCAGACAAAGGCCTAAGGTACACCTTGATAGGCTCACGCCGTCGACCACTCTCACGCCGTCGACCACTCTCACGCCGTCGACCACTCCCCGGCTACAAGATGGTATTGAGGAGCATTCGTGCTACGAGAAGGCATTACCAGCGCCGAGCAGACTGCTTCTAGGCGACATCGTCGAGTAATAGCTACAAGACGGAGGATGTCCTGGGCAAGGCGGGGATCGCCGACCGCACACTCACGAGCCGCATCGCTCGACAGCGGGATCATCGTCGATGCAAGGGTGTTGCCCCCGAAACCCATCACTGAGCACTTTGCTTCGAGTCGGCATGGTTGAGATCCTCCGAGACGGTCGCCCTTGAGTTTTACACTGCGAGATGGCATCGCCGAGCCTTTCCGCTTCCAGGCCGCATCACCGAGCATAGGTCATTCGGGGGGGGGGGGGGTGAGGAATGAGGTTGCCCTCGGTGGCGGGGAACACCAGCAGATTGCTATAAAGCGGCGCCGAGCGTTTCCACGGCTGCATCGCCGAGCATAGGTCCTGCATGAGGATAGAGAACAACACCACCCTTGTTGTCGAGGAACACCAGCAGACTGCTACGAAGCGGCACCCAGCGTTTCCGCGGCTGCATCGCCGAGCATAGGTCGTGCATGTCCCAGAGACGATGATCCAGCAGACTGCTTCTAAGCAACGCCAAGCGTTCCCGCGGCTGCCTCGCTGAGCATAGGTCGTGCATGACAAACGTCATCGTCGTCGGCGTTGCCGGAGGCAACACCCAACGACGGCATCACCTAACGGCGGCATCGCTAGACAGCGGCATCGCCGAGCATTGCAGCTTCAAGGCGGAATTGCACAGCATCGTCGAGCAGTTGCTTCCAAGACGGCATCGTCGAGCATTGTTGCTTCCGAGACGGCATCGTCGAGCATTCAAGTTGCTTCTAGACGGCATCGCCGAGCATTTGCTTCGAGGCGGGTACAGAGCATGTAGATTCTCGTCGAGCGAGTCTACATCAAGACGGCGTCACCGAGCAAATTTGCTACAGGACAGCAGCGTCGAGCGCCCTGCTTCCAGACTGCAGGTCGTGCAGACAGGACACTTTCCCGACGTCGGTGATCCCCAGCAGACTGCTTCAAAGCGAACGTCGCCGCCAGTGAGTGCGGCGACGAGAGACCAGCGGGTGGGCCGGGCGGTGCTGCCACAAGTGGGACTAGGTCCGCGAAGGCTATAGTCTACGATGTGTCGATCCCTACAAGACACAGATAAGCCCCCCAGACCCAACCGGTGAGCTACTCACAAGACTGCAACGCTCGCTCAGGAGCCGGCCTCCACTCGCTCGACACCATCCCGCGCTTTTAGCGCCGTCATCCGACCACACCGACATCCATCCATCCAGTCCCCGCTGCGGTCCAGCCCATTGTTGAGCTTGATAAGGTCGCCAGCCGATAGCGCGGGCACTAAAAGTTGTGCCCTGGTGATGGACATTGCATAGAAGCGCAATCACAGGCGCACGGTCCACAGAGGGCAACTCATACGCAGCGCTCCCGCGTCGCGACGTCAGCGGCTCACACGCCAAACCGCACAAGCATGAGCCACGTACCGCAGACCTGCTCCCAGAAGTCGGGCCCGGAATCGACTTGGGCGCATTCCTTACGCCTTTTCCAAGACGGCAGAAGGTCCGACCCGCTGTGAGAGAATTACTGAGCAAGTCAATGTCGCTGTGGAGTTTATCGGGGCACACCGACAAAGTTGGCTTGAGTAACGGCTCCTCCAGAGGTGTGTTTTGAATTTTCACAGGCGCATCTCGCCCTTGCCGTTCACAGCGGACTGGTCCAGACCATGTCCTCGATAGGGATGCCTTCTGGTTGCTGATCATGATTTCGGACCTTGTTCGTCGTTCTCGTCGTGGCGCATCTGTGCGGTGCCGTGTCACATTGATTCAGAAATGCTGGAGGCGGATTTCCGACATGCATCTCTGCAGTGCCACGTCTGGAATAGATGCCAGACTTCAGCTGTGCAAGATTTGAACTCTGTGTCTCACCGAATGCAATACATACGGAGCCCCGTGGCCGTGCACAAGCGTGCGGGCCAGGAGCGCTACATGTCATCCCCAGCCACACAGTGCATTGACGGTCTTCTCTGCCATCCTGCGGCTATGACATCCGCCGGTTCGCCCTCATCTCTCGGCGAGAGTACACCGGATGAGGGAGGGCGTATAGCCCTCGGAGGAGAGTTCGGCATACCTACCTCAGACTCTGTACACATGTTGACAGCTCAGGCCCAGGGTCGTAGTCCGAGTCTGATGAATCCCGTCGTCATGATCAGCGGCCACCGACCGACCGCCAATGTCATCGACGTTCTCTTGTAAATCCTGGAGTTGAGCCCGACAGCAAATCGGACACCCTCAGTCGGGGACACGATTCGGAAGAAGTACGTCATGTCCCTGCACGGGCCTGTAAATTCAGTGCATGGTGTAATGCTCGCCGCACCTGCCGGAACAGCTGCGTGTCACCGCCATGATTGAGTAAGCCCTGCCGTGGTTGTCGCTGCGAATGCGAATTTGGAATGGGGCCGCAACGAGCACCGTCTTCCGCGATCGATTCGGTACGCCTGGCACCCATTGGAGGGACCTCGGGTGCATTCCCAGAACCACAGAATTGGCAACATTCACTTGACCGATATCGTGGCCGCCGGGGGACGAGACCAGCAGCGAACTGTGTGCGTGTGTGGCGAAACTTGTGTGTCGCGAAAGCGCGTGTGGCGAACTGAGTGCGTGTGGCGATCGGTAGTGCGAGTGGCGTTGGCGATCCTGCGTGGCGAGCGCGAGGCTGCCGTAAAGATTCAAGAGACCCGGCCCTGCATTCGGAAGAACACAGCCGAGAGAATGAAGAAATTAAGACATGCTTCGTCGAAGACATTGGGTGCGTTCAACGCCACTGGGTGCCATGGTATCAACGGAATTCAGAGGGCTGAAACTTCTGAGGAGATCGTGTGAGCTACTTGGTACTAGTAGTCACTCACTGCGCAGCCAGCATGTGAGACGGTGATGTTGTAGCCAGAGGGCGTGCTCACTGTAAGTTCCTAGAGGTTGCTGCAGCCTGAGGGTGACGCCACAAGTGCATTCAAACCCGAAGTGTACCACAGTTACGTAAGCTACGCCCCCTTGGAACCTTAGCCCGGCGTCAATCCTTACGCTCACGACCTTCAAGAGACTTGTATGTAGGCTCACTTGGGACACATGTTACAATTCTTTATGAGATTGTTTGAACCTAAGGGGCGATGTACGAAGTAGTATTACATGGTATCCTCATAGTATGATGTACAGTAACATAAGCAATTGAAGTTAGCAATAAGTACAGTACGATGACAGTAGGTAATGTCGTGCAAACTGTCACGGTCAACGTGCGAGCCGCCTATCGACTCGGTGTAGAATGTCTGTGCCGCAGGAGCGGATATGGGTATACTAGGAGCAAGGATAAGGACCCATCAGTCATGACTCGCGTTTGCCGACCAGCAACTCGAGCCTCGGTAGCTCAGACTTCCCTAGTACCCGAGCCGGACCCGCCGACGCGAGTCCAAAAAAGACCGTGCGCCCGCCCAGGAAGTCGATCCTCCGCATCCTCCTCATGGCGTCCCCGTTCGTCCTGTGCCGCCAGGTCGCCAACGCTGCGTTCCAGACGTCAGTCTGCGTCGCGGCGCTCTGCATTTCTTGGGGCGTGATGGTCTCGCCGAGGTGGGCATGTACGGCCTGGAGGACGTCGCGCACCGTCACGAAGGGGGGTGCGGTGGGGAGGGGACTCCGGTCCACGCGTATGGTGTAGGGATACGGCGCGCCGGCGATGGTGATGATGAGGGAAGGGGTGGGAGTGGACAGGGCTGGGTCGCCCAGACAGACGGAGGACGCGATGTGCGTCTTGAGGGATCGGTCGTACGACTGGAGCCCGTCGCAAGCCATGTCCCACTTCAGTCGTATCCTGTCCCCCTTGGGCGCCCGCGAGAGGAGCGGGGCGACGTCGAGGGATGCGAGGCGCGTGTTCTTCGCCGGGGGTGACATGCTGGCGACGCCCGCGCAGTCCTCGAGCTCCTTGGCTTGGTATCTGGAGGAGACGGCGGGCAGCGGTATGATACGCCCGCCATAGTATGTCGGCGGCGGTGAGGGTGAGTGTGGGATGTGTGAACCTATGCTGGTCGCGGACACGCGCGATGACGACTGTAGGCCGCAGGGAGATTGGGGTGGGCTCGGAGCCCATGCGACGTGCTTGACAGGCTTTGAGTCCTGTGCACGGGGGATTGCTTGTGTGCGATGCCCATGATGTTGTGAAGACACCACCCGACGTGCAAGAGGTCGGTGTGAGTGGGAGGCAATGGACTCGGGGAGGCGGTGACGGTTTCGAGGAGTGTGGTGTTCTGAGGACAGCATGGCGGTGAGGCTCACTTTATAGAGGTTGGAGAGGTATGAGGTATGAGCATGTCTGCCCAATTGAACCCGGTACGGACGTAAGGTTTTCGAACAGAGGCATCGCCGCGAGCCACAGAGGCGGTCCGCTTCGAGCCGTGGAGTGACGCCGTGCTGCCGATTGAGACGCAGGACTGCCTGCGCAGGCAGGAAGTGTGGCCCATGGATGATGGTCAGGGTCCTGGCGATGCAGGAAGGTCGGCCAAGGATTATCCTGCCATCTACGACACGCCAGCCGTTAAGGTTTGCCAGCGGCTAGATCATGCTCGCGATGGCCCACCGGATTGCGACGGGACGGGATGCGAATGTACTGCCAGCCAGTACGGAGGCTATGGACAGATCCTAGGAACAGAGCGCTTATCGTCGCGTGTATAACGCGGGTTCCTTCCCAACGCGGCTGTCTTCGAGAGCAGATTATCGCAATCATCCAGGGAGGAAGGCGGACAGACACTGTAACCAGCAGGGTGTGATGACCGGTTGTCGAGATGCGTTCAAGAGGCTCCGGCACGCATGAACGGATCGAAGTGCGCTACTCACCGATCCGTCGCCATGCACGGTAAGGCAGGAACTTACCTCACAGGGGGAGGCTAATAGAGCCGTTGAGACGCGTCGTCGTGCACTTCGGCTATGCAGAAGACAACACAGTCGCTGCAACTGCCCGCCCCAGTCGACGCGCGCCTTGCCTTCCCGGGGGCTACATTCAATGAGCAATATTTCCCAGGTTTCTGGGAGTAATCCCATGCCCAATGTGATGCGCCGTCGGTGCAGGTCCGTATTCAGTACCGCACAACGCCTTCTCCCGCACGATCGGGTGGCGAGCAGGCGCAGTGGCGTTCGAAGCCAGTCAGCCATCGCCACTCCGTGCCTGCATTCCCCGAACGAAAGCCAAAGGGACCGCTTACGTTTGGCCCTCCATCGATTCGTCGCCCGCAGTGCAAGTATACCATGCCCGCCCCATCCCCCACGAGCTGCCTCGTGTTGCAGCGAGAACACAGGAGACATCACTGCGAAACGGTCAAGGTCAGGATATGAACGGGCGACTGATCTTCCTCCGGTGCAGCGTGGGCTCGGCCGCAATCTCCTGCGATCAGCTCCAGCATGTGAATGAAATACGACATGTCTCTGCATACGGGCCGAACGCGGACCCGCGCTTATGAGCGGAGGCCACACGCACAGGAGAGTCCGAAGTAGAGGGCACTCACTCCACCATGGGACCCGTGATGTGTGTGCATCTTCCGCCACCAGCTCAAGACACGCGCATCAGGCCCGCCGTCAGGGTGGACAAGAAGAGACGGATCATGCAAACGACACAGGCGCGATACCGGGGGGACGGTGGAGCGCCCGTGCTCAACGCGCCTCCAGTGGTCGCGGGACGGATCCCTGCTCCAATGTCCTCTGTAGCATCATCCCGCCCCGGAGAGAACGGCAGACCCTGAGGATCGCGGAGAGAAAAGACCTCGTTGAATGCGGCCATCTGACAAATGGTGGCAAGGGTGATTGATGAGCCCCACACGATGCCAAAGAATAACCGTCACCTGCAGTTGCAGTTGCATCCCATCTGCGCCCGTATCACCAATACCAGAATCGGGGGCGTCGGGTTCCCCATCTTTGTTGATGATATGGCAAGCGCGGTGCCTACAGCCCGAAGCTCGGTGAGACGCTGAAATCACCGTGGGTAGCACAATGCATGCTTGTGAAGTATAGCATCGCCAATCCGCGGACAGAGGAACATACCAAGAGGAATTCTACGCATTTGGCACAGAGCCGGACTCGGTTCTGACTTCCGTAATGACTTCAAAGAAATGACACAGGCTATCACTCACCTCTAGAGAGTCCAGGCCTCGCAGCGATGCTTACTGCGCCGTGGTAACTCCGTCAGATAGCATAAGGTTCATGCTCGTGCGCTGCAGTGATAGATGGGCCACACATGCAGTCTATTCTTGTAGAGATGGCCGGTTGAGCGATGTCAATGAATGCTTTCAGAGCAATGAACTTACGCGGACGAAGTGAATTGATTTGTGTGCTTTGTCGTGCGCGAAGATCGCTCCTTCGGGACCTGCTTGTATGTTGATGCGTCTGAACCACAGAGCGGCATGAGACGCCCGCCAGTTAAGGTGCCGCCTGTGCAATTATTTGCATTTTAGAAGACTTGAGTTCGATGGTGAGATTATGAGCATTGGGACGACTCCATACAATTGTGTTGCTGACGGAGAGATGGTCAGTAGAGCACACGGTACAACGACAAGCATCAAGAGCTTGTCCGACAGTGGTGGCATTGACAACGCTGATACCAACGCATACAGATCCAGCCGACTCCCAAACCCAGTGACGGAGGCGTACCGTTGTCACGAAAAGTCACTGGTACAATCAGAGCAGATATCAGCAGAACGAAACGCGACACCTCAAAACAAAAGGTGGTCGTCTGCATCACTGAGGACTGTGTTGTATGTATTCCGCTCTGTCAGTGCCACATAGAACGACAGAACTGACGTATCCCATCAAAAATGGACTCTGGCCATCAGACCGTAGGTGGCCTGTGAAAGCTCAATCTTCGTGGCGTCAGCTCTGCCCCGAGTAAAGCGAACAACGCATCTCGGTTTAGGTCCTGAAGACATCATCAATGCCGAGCATCGTTGCCAAACATCGCTGAAAGCCGAACAGCAGTGATGTGTCACTCCGAGCTGACCTGGTAGTTCCTCGCAGCGTGCGGCCACGAGGCATGCGCAGGATGCCACGTCGGATGGAGCGAGCGGCGCAGCCTTCAGAACGGTGGATGACAGACGACGGTCTGATACGCTGACCATAGCGCAGGTCAGATGCGCAACTTGCGAACCCAGATGCGACGGGACATCGCGAAGGCGCAGCGACCCGCGACCGTCCAGCGGGTAACCTTGTCAGCACGCAAGGCTCGCGGAGATTGCAGGGAAACCGTCAGCGAACGACCGATCAGCACGTAACGGTGGCGGGCCGCCTCCATGCACTGTCCGTGCACACTGATCTGTACCGCACACGCCGTCGGGCATAGAGCGGTAAAGACCTGCGCGGCGCAGCCGACGCGAGACATGGAGGCTCTTGCCATGTAAGGATAACTGTTAACCAGATCCGGAAAGGTGAGTCCCATCGAGACTCGTCGGACGCATGAGTTGTGGCGAAGTGGGCGGAGCGCTCGGAGGCCGATATGGCGACAGGCATCGAGCATTGCCGCCCGGGCACGCTGGAATGAGAGTAAGTACGTCGCAACGCGTGCGAAGGAAGTCCGCGTCATAGCGTCATTTCGGAAGCAGCCGCTACACGAAGAGGCAACTTGAGATGAGAGAGCGACGTTGGCGCTTAGCATAGGGCACGAGGAGGTGAGATTGAACCATGTATAATTGCGACCGCGGTCGTCAATCCGTCTACTGAGCGTCAGCCAACGTACGGGATTCCCTCGGGGCATGGAGTTCGTGTCAACCACGTTGAGGATCTGAACCACCTACCGCTGAGGCACTGCGCGACAGTCGGCTGCGCACTCCGTTGGCCGCGACGGATACATAGCAATGACAGCGCTACGTGCACCTTGCCTCTTCTGAGCCACAACGGGCTATACCGCAGCGTGATCAGCACCACCGGTGTCGGGGGACACGGCGTAACGACCTGCAGGTTCTGAAACGATTGACGTTCAGATGCCAGACGTGACGTGGACCGGCGACGAGAACAACGTACGCTCACTTCCACGTTGCTCGGTGTCATTCATACTTTGGTGACATCAAACAATTGTTTCGGGTTGCCCCAAATCCAATCGTTCGCCAGTGAGATGAGCTGCGCTGCCAATGTCGTGAGAGCGGCCCAGAAGGTCTTTGCGACATGTTTTGACCTACTACATAGGACGATACCAAGCTTGAACGGGTCATGGAGATGACCACGCCTGTCACAATAGCGTTAGTTACTGTGCAGGGAACCCAGTCGTCTGTATCCCGAATGTAGTGAGTGGGACCGCGGCTGCAGATGAACAGACGCAGGAGCAATCTATCACTATTCGGTGAGACGACCTTCGTGTCAGTGCACCACCGGCGTCGACGACGATAAGACTTCGTACCACTTCAGTCCAGACCCAAACCCCCGCAGCAAAAGGGCTTGCCACTCCGGTGCCACTCCGCATTATCAGAACGGAATCAAATGCGGTTATGGGCGGCGTGCGGGAGCTGTGCGCACTGCTTAGATAATACTGAATAGCGACCCAATTTGGGCGAGACTGCCAGCCTGGCGCCAGAGCACTTTTTTCCCTCCTCTCCCCGCCAGATCTCGCTTTGCAAGGCAACTCGCACCCGGAATCAAGCAGGATCTGGCGTAAATATGGCATGTTATGCGTAGAAGGCAAGTGGTGCAACTCGGGGTTTGACAGTGCTTGACTCACGTCAGGGGGATGTGTTGCTGTGCCAGTCATAAATCATTCCTCTCCCGACAACCATACACAGCTCGACAACACTCCCTCATCTCCCCTGTTACCATCCTTATATAACCATGTCTGCCTAGCCATGACCCCTCTAAACTATCCCAACCCTCTGAACCCCGACCTCATCATGCCCGGAACCACCAAACGCGTCCACTTCGACGTCCCCCCGACGCCGCCCCCGAAGCACTTCGAGGTGCCCCCAACGCCGTCGCCCGTCCACTCCGACGCGTCGTTGCCATCGTCGGTCGGGATCGTCACACCACCGCAGTTCGCGTACGCGCAACTCTCTCCCAAGTTCCCCAGCCAGTATGTGCCCAGCCCGCCGTCGCCCTTCGGCTCGCTGCCCTATGTCGCCGGGCACGTCATGATACACCCCGTCCTCGCCGCGCCCCACACCGCGCTCGCATGGGACCTCCTCCTCGCACCGTCGACAGCAAGCATCCCGGGCGCGTACACGACCCCTTCGCCGCTAAACCCCGCGCTGCTGGCAGAGCCCGCGACACACCCCGGGCTCCCGTCGCTCACGATCATCTGCGACCTACTCCCATGGTCGATCACCATCACGCCGACACGGTCACACGTCGTCTCCGTCGGCGACGTGCTGCACGCGCTGTACCGAATGCTCCGGATCGCGGTCTCGCAGACGGAGCTGGGCGTGCTCCCGCCGGATACGCTGACGCGCGTGCACGGCGCGTTCCATACGCGACACAAGATGCTCCCCGACGCGCGCTCACGAGCGGAGGAGAAGCAGAAGGGCGTAAAACGCGTCGACTTTCTCATGGACCTCCGCCGCTTCGCAGGGCTGTCCATCGTGATGAGCGGCGCGGCGCTCAACGGCAAGGGCCTCGGCGAGGTGTGGGCGCTGCAGCTCGCCATGGCATGATGGAGTGCAGTAGCATGTGCTGCTGCTGCGCTGCAGATGGCGATTTGACTTATTCCTTATTTGCGACCACCCCGCGACAGCGGTGACGACCACGATCACGGCGACGTCGATGATGGCGACGCCGGCGACGACTGATGACGGACTCCAGACGACGATCATGGACTGCATAACTGTAGAAGAAAACCCCTCGCGTTCGATTTCTCCTCGGTGTACACGGTTTCCCATTGACGACGACTCGGACGCGCATGTTTGTACGGTACTCCCCCACATACCCCTCATAGATCCCCGAAGACAAAAGCAACAATCACTGTAATTTTTCCCTCATCCTTGGTAGCGCTAAGTTATTGTCTTTGACATACGCACTGTACTGGACGTCTACTTGTAGTTCTCGCTGTAACGAATCGACACGTCGCCATGACCTCTGCTGCGGTTCGACACGGCGCTTCGTGATTGGCAACAGCGATCGCCCGATATGGTATGCATGCCGGTTCGTTGCCACCGAATCGGACCCGCCCATGCTTCGCGTTTCGTTGAATGGGACGCACACTCACGGTCGTACGTCTGTGCGAAGACTCGGGCACATGTTCATGACGTGGTTGACGATCTGGGCCGGTAAGCCTATGAAAAGAACGAAGCCGCAGGTACGCCCCGCCAAATCCGTCCGGCGTCCCGAGGAACTAATCCCTCCGCCAGAACATTGATAAGCTGTACAAGCAACGCCCACCGGCGTGGTGCACCTCCGTCAAAGTAGTGCAGTAGGTGCGTGATGATATCTCCCAAAATACTACTGTTTTCCGCTGAATGGAGTAGCCTGGGTGATGAGAACATCTGAGCCTGTCAATCGGCGACTGGTCAAAGTACTGGGATCTGACCATGGTCCTTGGGTCTCCGTGGGTAGTTCACATGTTGTGCGCCCTAAACAGACTATTACCCCGCGCTGCGACAAATCCGGGTGCGCCGATCCCCTTTGACGTACTAACCACTCCAAATGCACGCCGCATGGGTCACGGTCTCGCAGCAGTCTGGCATCCAACATCTTTTTGCAAGCCGTTTTGTTCAGCCTCGGAACGAGGGGCATCCTGAACGTGTTTGCCTGCTCGACGTCCAGGAATAGACAGCATGTACGGGCCGTTCTGAGCCCCATTGAGCTTGTGTACTAACGGTGAGCACACCCATCACTGTGTGGTATGTTCTCCGATACGTCTTCCGGCCCTACCGATCTTACGAGGCGCAGTTCGCTGACTACCTTTGCAGCAGCGCCGTTATGCTGACCAACCCATTCGCACCTCTTAGACCACTCGCTGACCATGGTCTCTGCTCGCGCACCTCCGGTCAGCATGCATGTTGCGGAACAAGTTCGGAAGACAACCCAGTCATGGATTTCTCGGAAGCTCGCGCCTCATGGTGATATGCCAGGCTTCCTTCCACGGCGGTCTGGGCCGTCCTGTGCTTCCTCAGTACACACAAGTATATTCACGCCATCGGTGAGTCTGAACCTGAGAAGGCAATGGAATGCTCCGGCTGACAGACGTATCGGGCTTTCGGTCTGCATGCCGAGTCTGAGAGGCTAACGACATTCCGGCGACAACGCGTCTCACCAATGTTTGGCGGTTGCTCAAATACTCTGCAATTTCAAGTGGACTCCACGTAAAGTCTGCGTTGACGCTTCTGGGGCCGCACGGCCTGGCGGCTGTGGAGGCAAAAGCTCCAGTTTCAGTCGGACTCCTGCAACTAGGGCGATACCATTTGCAACGGTAAATGTCTTGTTTCCCACTATCCGTCCGAGTTAGTCAAGTTAGGCCGTTCATGTTCCGATTGACAATTTTTCCCACTTTATTTATATTGACGCGTGCGATATGAAAGCTTGAAGCCCTGATGGAAACCAAGGGGTGGACTTGCCATTCCGGTCAGCGTCCGCGCGATGCACGTCGACGCGTCGTACTAATCATGTGATCGTCTGCCAGGATCCCGTCACCACAACCTCAGACTCGCGTCGTCCTCAGTTCCACTTCCCTCAATGAGCCAGTACATTGGTTGATCTTGCGGATGCACTAAGTGGCCATATGCATCTCCCTCTGGGCTAATATTGCTTTGATTCAGCCTATGGATCGATTATTGAAGAGACCCCGCAAGTTGAACGTTGAAGCCGGGATTCTGGATGCGCTTTCAATCGCCATTTGCCAATGGTCTCCGACGCAAGTCGTTCAAAACCTAGACTGAGTGTCTGACAAGCTCAATATTTCACTGCGGTGATTGGCCAGATTCGCGCGGATCCTTGCTGCGGACCCTGCCCTTCCTTTGGCGTACTAGATGCAGACAGGCACATTAGACGACTTCAGGTATTTCCTTGGCCGCTCGCGACGTGCGCGCGTTAGTATGACTTGGTACGTGCTCCAGGAGAACATTTGAATATGTTCTTACGCTCTAGCTCAACCACGGAATGCTTCAGGGGTTTCTTGTACTGTACACGTACACATCGCCAGATCCATCATCCCGCGTGGCGCGCACCGCCGCCGACGCCCCAGTCTGGGAGAATTGCGGTTTGACTGAACTTTGTCTTGAAACGCGTCCCCGACCGAGTGTTTCATCAAAGAACTGTCATGCGCCCAGTCATTTTCGATGCACTGTTGGGCTCGTCGAATCCTGAGGACCCGCCGCCTCGTCGGCACTCCACGCGAGTTGCTATCGTTGCCTTGTACTGCAGATCAACTTGATGAACTACGACACTGATTGTTGAACCACGCTCTGCGGCCGCGACTATAACACACAATGCTGGGGTAGACACAGACCGCAAGCCCACTCTAGCTATGAAGATTGGCCCTCTGTACAAGCGTGCAACGGACCCGGAGCATCGTCATGGTGCGAGGAAGGCTCTCCTAGTGGGCATCAACTACAACACACAAGCTTCGCGGCGAGATACAGACAGTCAAACCTTGGGCAAGTGCCACCGAGATGCGCTAGCTGTGCGGGACTTATTGATTGGTGAGTGGACGGTACGACAATTGTGGGCATTGTGCTGACCATAAGAATTATTCTGTGGTGCAACAGATTCCTACGGCTATAAAACATCCGATATAGTTGTCATGCTCGATGCCAAAGATTATCCACAGCCTACGCATGACAATATGGTACTATGACATTCATCTCTTTCACTCCGGGTATTCACCGTAAATTTGCATAGATCCTTGCAATCGAAAACTTGGTGAAGGGCGCCCGACCCGGGGATCGCCTGGTCTTCATGTGTCGGTTGCCCTCTTAATTTGTGTTATCATCCACTAACACACTCCCCAGTTGCCGGACACTGTTGTCAGATTCCATGTCATCATCATAGTGAGGCAGACGACTTCGATGAGGGTAGGAGTGATTCGACGTCACTTATATTCGGCTTCTGCATATTGTCTGCATATTCTCATGTTTCTCCTAGCGCTCATGCCCATGGACCATGAAGGTACACGGAACAAGTCAAAACTCATAATCGACAACGTACGTCGTACGTTGCGTTCATTAGATTCTATATTGAGCCTCCCCTAGCAGTTGCGCCAGCTGCTTGTGAACCCACTGTCCCCGGGAGTTCGACTTACGGTGAGGGATGAATGCCACATCGACGGACGAAGAATAGCTGTCTGATACATTTGCTGCAGGCGATATTTGACGCCTGTCATTCAGGAACACTCCTCGGTAGGCTGGAGTCGTACTGTTTTTCATTTTTCTGACGCCTCCCTAGATTTGGACCATTACATGTGTAACATGCTATACACGCCCAGGATATCTCGTGGTCCTCGCGGATCTGGGTCACGAAGACAGGCAGTTCGTAAGTCGGCATGCTCTCGCATCCACCACTGCGCTGACTCAAAACCACGCTCCCAGAACGCAAGACAGCTAGTGGGTGTCTCACCGAGCCCGGCACGCCCATGTTTGTGACTGATTCCAACGTGTCATTTATCAGTGCTGCCCCTAGTGCACGACCAACCGATGTCGAAGCCTCGTCGTCGTTCCACAGCTCCACCACGGATGCTGTCCATTGACGGGATCTATCATGTCTTTCGCGATGCTATGCCTCAAATAGACCGCAGGCCGACGTTCCTTTCCCAGAGCGAGCAATCAGTAGTATCCGAAGCCGAATCCATCGAGGAGGCTTCCGGCCCTGCTGAGCCTCGAAAAGGTCCGGTCCTTGCGCGAGCCACAAGGACGTTCGTCAGGCCCTGGAAAGAGGCGTTCGCGTTGATCATTCGGAGGCACCAGTCGCCGACGCCCGTTTCGAGTGTGCGATGCGATGGCTGGTGCGTGCCCACTAGTGCCGCCTCGAAGACGGCTCCGCGGGTGGTACGTGAATTCACATTCCGCTTGTTTGACTCGTCAACCTCAGCCGGAGTCGTCGTACAGATCTCCATAGCAGCTTGTGGCGATCCACAGCAAACGTGGGAGGATCCGAAGGGGCGTTCTATGTCTTTGGTGAGGCTATGTCTTGTCATGCGTTTGTTGCGTTACTTACTCTCGGTCAAGACATTGGTAGAAGAACTAAGTAAACGTGTAGCTCCTAGGTCTGCGTGACTTGTCTGACCTCGTTCCTTAGGGCACAATCGTCACCCCATGTTGAAGGATCTCGTCGCCAGACTGATGTGCGTGGCCATACTCGACGTCATTCGTCGACGAATGGTCTCATTGCAGTCTTTCACTGAACAGGCATTCTCGTGATAACGTATCTATGCAACTTCATGCTGCAGCGAAGCGGCAGCGTAAGAAGGGCCACAAGTCGGCGTACGTGCTTGATGGCGTTAACTTCCAGGACGTACAGGTGAGTACGTTAGAGGGAGCCAATGATCCACATTGAACTGATACACTTTGCCACTGCCGTAGGTCGGAAGTCAAGAGAAGCTGGTAAGACGTGTGAAACCTACACATCCACGTATCATTCACGGCTGAAGGACCTTGATAGGCCATGGAAACCATCGTCTTCGAGCTGTAGCGGTGTGCCCTCGCCCTACAATGTCTGTGTCTGCGCGTCATTGCTAATATCTATCCTACATGCGCTGTTAATGTTTGTACTCGGAGAGACACCAACCCTAATGAATGAGGAGCGTTTTGTTTCTATCGTCGACACGGTGCTGTTTGACGCGAGCACGTGATCGCGTCGCTGAATTGCCTCCCGATTCTGATTGACTATGTAAACCTCCTCCTCGTACGCTTCGCGCATTGGAATGGAGATCTGTGAAGACACTGACTTACATTCAGTACCAGGCATAGAGCCTAGGAGTGTGATCAATACTGGACAGGATGTCGTTTCCCTTATTTGGTGTCGTTGATGAGCGGTGTACTAAGCGCGGTGGAACTTGCACACAACTCGACAAATATTTGTTACGCGTCGCGTGTTCCTTGTCTTGACTCTCGATGCTGGTCGACTATTGTACTCGAGTGTACCTGTCTACGATCAATATGGCTGCAAGAGAATATGGCACAAAAGCATTGCCTAGCAACACGCCGGATAATACAAGGCTGGCCAGCGACCGGGCAGGGGCAGACAGTCGTTGTCTCAGGTCTGGACGGTGTAGTCACCGTTGGCCCTGAAGAGTATGGTCCTTAAGAGGACGGGGTACGTCCTCCTAGAAGTGATTCTCTTGCTCCAGATAACGGGCTTCGCAGTCTCCTTGGCTGTCGGAGTGCAGCTCAGCCTACGCAAGTCATCGGCACCATCACGCAGGACCAGCCCAACCCAGATTTGGATGCGTTGGCCCTTTGCCTCTCTTGCTTCAACTGTAATCAAAAACTGGCCTAAGGAGGCGACACTTGCTCATATCCTACATGCGCTGCGGAGCACGCGCACACTTGGCGTAGACCGATGTCGGTAGCCTTCAACGATCGTGCACAGCGCGAGCCGAACACCCACCTGCATCATACTCCCCAGCACCGTAGTGCGTATCCTAACCGAGGCATCCTTCAAAATGCACACCAGGCGTCGCCCCGTCGAGCGGAAATGCCGCCACACCTATTTAGGGATGCCTCAGCCTCGCATTCAAGTTCTGGGATGCACCCTCTTCCATCTTGGGAAATCCCTGGTGCGCCGCCTTCGCCCGACTTTCCGCCAATAAACGCGACTACGACGGCTCCCTCGTATTCTACACACTCGCCACATCGCCCGGCTCTTCCGCCACACTTGTTCAGGGATTCCGCGCCGGCTGCCAGAAGTTCCTCCTACTCCTTCTCATCAACCCATCCTCCAGCGGCCACACATTATTCTGTGCCTCCTCAGCAGTCATCGACGCCCCCTCGACCGTCCCGGTCAGGGCGCCGTCATAGCATGCCGCCCCATCTATTCCGCGATGTACCCCGACCATCATCACCCCTACGTCCGTTTCCCCCCAACGCTGCTGGTAAGGCTGTACCTGCAGCTGGTGCTTGTACTTATGCAAACTCTTGCAATAGACTTGGGAACAACACCAGCTCACGGAGTGCGCAACCCTCGATTACCGCCCCACTTGTTCCGCGACCGCCACCATCCGTATGCACGTATGTGTTTCCATGTGCGAGCCTCTATCGTCGTAACTCACATACTCACCATTAGCGAATGCACATGCAGACACACAGCGGTATACCGTTCCCGCTGCGGCTCCTCCGTCACCATGGCCGCCCTCAAACGTCAACTCTCATGCACCAGCGGGCGCGGGTACGGTATTCGTTCCGGCCCTGTTACCTGCAATGATTCCAGTAGCGTCCCCGGTCCCCGCGTTTGCAACACTCCAGGCCTCCCCTATGGGCGCCCCACAGTGTTCCTTCTACCGCCCGCGCTTCCTCATGTTCATCCGCCAACAACACCACTGATGACCCCGTCCCCTGCAGCATGGATGCCCCACCCACACCCACATCCAAACATCCCCCCGCATGCGTTCTGGGGCTCTAACATGTTCAACGGCCCTCGGGCATGGCCGACGTCGCCGTACAGCCCGGGTGCGCTGGCGACGTTGACAGGAGGCTGGCCGCTTCCAGGTGCCTTCCCGCCTGGAGGGCTCCTGCGGCGTGGCCCCCGACGCCCAGTCGAACAAACCAGGCGGACTCGCAGATTCTACTCTGCCCATGGCTCGTTCCGAATCCGGCTGTGCCGTCCATGCCGCACGTCGCCTGGGACGTCACGCAGCACCCGACCACCGCGCGATGGGCGACTGGTCGTCATGTCTGGGTACCGCTCTCGCAGAGGTTTAACCAGGTGGCGACCTATCCCGAGGTGCGCACGCTGCATATTCACTGCGACATCGGGCTGGCTAGTGTGCGCTGGGGACCTGTCGTCATCGAGAAGAGTGGCGCCATCACTCTGGGCGACATCCTCTATGCGATCTACGACTTCTTCCAGAGGCGGATGTCGGAGGACGACGTGAACTTCGTGGCGACGCTGCGTCCGGGCAACCGCGAGCGGATGTACGAGGCGTTCTGGAGACGCTGTCGGACGGGCCACGCGCTGGATGGGTACGAGCACCAGCAGGGTATGAAGCGTGTGGACTGTCTGCAGGATCAGACAGCTTGGTGGGGAACGTGGATCACCGTCCGTCCTGACAACAGATGGCACCTCAACTTGGGCCTGCAATCTATTCACGCGAGTCCTCACTCTCGACATCGAACTCCTTGACCTTGACCTTGCTCGTTGCATCGCTCGCCGTGCTTTTGGGATTGACATTCCTTCCTTGGGTTTATGCTCTTGTTTTCCGCTTTCGTGACACTGTGTTGTCGTAACGCTCTGAAGACTGACGCTATCGTTATGCTCTGACAGTTCCACGTATCCCTGACGTCGACGCATGATTAATGAAGCGATCATGTATGTATTGTTATGATTTACGATTCATGTATTCTTAGACACCCGATGTACTCTTACTGTACAACAGACCAGGGTCGTTCGCAGCCCTTGTAATGAAACTGAAACAACACATACAATTCTGATGCGGTGTCTGGGGAGCTGTCCCAACAGCAAACTTGGAGGAACTATCCTCGAGTACAACGATTCCTGCGTTTCAGCGAATCGTCTATGGTCATGGGAGGAAGGCAGCTAATGACTAGCACTGCTCAAACATACAGCGAACGTAGGCGCCTAAGGGTCCGAAGCATCGCTGGGATCAAGCTGGGGTATATGCTATAAGATGCTTGTGCATTTCGTCAGTACCGGTGAGGATAAAGACAACATCGTGGTCAGTACCTTGCAGCATAAGTTACGACGCGGATGCCAATAAAAATAGACGGTATGATGGGTGATATTCAAGGCTGTGACTGGAGACAGTGCCATATGATCTCAGTAAGCTCAGAAACGAAGCCGTACGACGAGCAAACACTCACATAGATAGCATGTGGAACAACAAGGTGTTAGATGCTTATACCAGATGCAATGCTGATAGGAATGGTCGTGCTCAATCTGTGGAAACGACCGAACTTGACCCGGACGTATAAGAAATACTGCGATGGCAGATTCGGTCACCGTTCTGAACGCGAGGACAAATGACACACATACCTGAATCTCAACTTCATGACCAAGGCGCGCGAATTTGAATGTAGGCGGACACCGGAGTCGGAACACAGAGGTGAAGACCGTCTGTTGTTTCCACCGCCCCTTGATTCCCAAGTCGTCTATAGGAAACCACTCATCCTGAAAGCGCTCGATGTCGACAGAGCCCCATAGTGGCGATAGTGGCAGTGTGTACGTCTTGTCAAATGTTCGAGATCTGACGTGGACTCTCTGCCTTAGAAACAATTTGACTTCGCGCGGCTGGAGGGGCGGGCTAGGCCAGATTCGTTTGTCGTAGGTCCGGAGGAGGGGTCTGCTGACGGTAACGATTGAAAGTGCAAAGGGAATGGGAGCAGATAGTGGCAGTACCGGGGTGGCAGGGTACGTGAACTACGAACTCACTTAGAGCGCTTCTCTGGAAAGTGATATATGAGCAATGAAGCTGTCCACTCACTTCCAACTGAACATCCGCATGGGGACCCCAGAGCCCCTTGCGGATACGTTGCCGGGCTGTCTTCGTCGCCCATGGCCCTTGCCAGCCGCCCTTCAGTCGTATTCGGATTGGCGCACCCACGGCATCGGGCGTGACGACCTTCAACGCACACTCTACCTTCTCGTTCAGCCGGAGCATACCAGCTCGAACACCGATAGCTTCGACCTTATAGTCGACTCGTACAGTCATGCTGCTAGTTGAGACAGAGCACGAGGGAGGGACGTCGGCGGGCAACTCCAAGCTGAAGGGTATTCTCAGGAAGTGGGTTCCGGCCGGAGGGTAACGTTCCCCTCGTTTCCAGAGGGACTTGCTTTCATAGACGAGAAGAACATCTTCCTTCCCGCGGCTACGACGGCCGCGCGAAGCGCAGCTTCATTGAATTCACTCAGCTCGTAGTCGTGAGAGACGTCAAGAGGACGTACATGCGCATGAGTCCCCTCAGTTCCACTCGCACTTCAAGTAGTGGGTCGTCTCGTACCGAGCGAAAGTCCAACGCGACCGTGCCTTGAACGGGTTGTCCAGCAACACATGTGTGGTGAGCAACGAGAATGTGCAGTGGCGGCTTGGAAGTCATCGACGAAGACCCGCAGTACAAGTCGACTGATCGAGGCGCAATGGTCCAGAGTGACAAGATATATGCGGGCCGGGGCTATGGACAGCTTTCACGGTCAACTACAAACGCCACATCATATCAATCTTGATTTGACACTCACAGGGTCTAACACAGCGAATTCGCGACAGACGTTCTAGATGATCAGCATACTTACACTGCGTCTACGCATGTCATGGGTAGATGAATGTAAATAGACCAGATGTTAGCCCTTCCCATCGCAGGTCATAGGGATGGGGATGCAGCCGTGACTTCGCACAAGCAGAACCAATTCGCAGACTGCTGGTGGGCTTTATGGCAAGGCAATCAATATCATGCTTGATGCATCAGTCGGGAATCCTGTCCGTGAGAGCCAGAGGCACGATTCGCGTCAACCCGAAGCGGGAGTCTGTCGCCGAACCACTGTTCCACGACATTCACATCGGACATCGCATGGCTTTGGGGAGCGGTGGGTAGGCATGTGTTACATACAAGATCTCAGACAACAGACAGAACATCCTAAGAGCAATAAGTAGATACGTACCAGATAAGTTACAGATAAGTGACGAGAAGCGAGCACCAGACGGCGGATATGCGGAGGAGCGATCAGCGCTATCATGCGAGTAGTGGACATCGAGCATGTGGTGCTGACATGCGCTACTCCTCGTAGGGTGGAGGTTCGTCGTCGAGGCTGGCGCCGTAACTGCCCCGCAGTCAATGATGCCATCCCAGGCCAGCATGAGAATCACGTACGAAGGCAGGTCCACCGACTCGGTGTCCGAGGGTCGATTGGTCTCGAATGCAGGTGGTGGATGCCTGCGTGCGGGACGTCGAGAGGCAGAGAAGACCGCGCTATGATCGGCAGCATACATATTTCTAGGTAACGTTCACGGTCAGTATCCTGCGGAATGCCAAGCTCTCAAGAGCTCGAGGCGGACTCACTCAGGGACGTCAGCGGCCCCGAAGTTCCGTATGCGACCACTTCGTGAAACAGGTGGGCCTCTCGCTGGACTGACAGACCGTGTTGGTCGCAACGGGACGAAACCGCGTGTGGTGCCGTAGGGTCGCAAACTGTTTTCCATTAGTGCGCTGGATCATACCCGGATTGAGTAGGCGACCACATAGGCAAGACACGGACACGGCGTACATAGAATTATCCAGTAGATCCAAACTTCTTGAGTACCCATGACCCTGCGCCATTGATCAGGGACGCGGAGAGTAGCATTAGATGGTGTGATGGTCTCAGAGAGAGCACCAGGCGCAACCAGCTCCTACACGAACATGTTCTTAGTAAATGTCTAGCAATGTGCAGCGTTTGAAGACTGACATCGGTATCTCATGCTGCTGCAGACGGCCAACAAGCCCGCTACTCTCTCGATTTGCTGGTATCGGACGAGGAGGCCTTGTCTCTGGGGCAGTTATCACGCGACACAGGGGACTTGTCGAGTCGTTGTCAGTTGCACCCCCGGAACGGAGAGAAACCAGTCCCTAAACAGCCATGTCTCGTCAGTATTGCTCGCTATAATGTTTGCATTGCGTACATAGGGGGCTCGACTTGGTCGAGTCTATGACGTTGCTGTGTAGCTTCCATTGTTGCTGTTGTCGTTTCATCCACCGAGTTCCGCACTGAACCAGGGCAGATGACGACCGGTATGTTCTGGGTCAAACTGTAATGGGACCCGAAGTGGACGTTGATGCGAAGCGAATACTAGGCTCAGCTCTCAGCTCAATGCGAAGAACGACAACGTCGTGATGATACCTCAACGCAGACTTCGCCTGCCCCGGCCCGTGAGAAGGCTAATGTAGGTGCACTTGAGGGTGCAAATGACGACTTGAACGTCATCTCTTGCTTCCACTGGCCCGTCGACGCATCGCCTTCGGCAGGGATCCATTCTTTGTCAAGTGGTCCGACGTCCACGGTACCCCACAATGATTTGACGGGCGAAGTGAACACACGACTTTCGGGACCAACGCGGATGTAAACTCGCTGCTGCAATTCGGCAAGGATCTCGCGTGGGTGCGATGGCGGAGAAGGCCATATCGTACCGCCATCGTTCCGCGACATCGTCGAGCTGATGGTGACTACATGTAGCGTGAAGGGGATGCTGGACGACGCTGGAAAAGCGGGCAACGATGGATACGTCAACTACGAATGCCTGAACGTCGGCACAGAGCATATATCTGGCAGAGCTCTGAATCAACGCACGTTCAAAGTGGCATCCCCACAAGTCCATGCACTCTGCGAAATTGTTCAGCGATGGTCTTTGTCGTCCAAGGACCAGCCCAGCCTTGCGCTAGCTGCAACTCGGCCTGCGCGCCGTCCGGGTCGTTCGGAACGACAGTCACAGGGGATTCAACCCGTCCGCTTCGGATGCCCGAATGATCGGGAACGGCTTCAACAATGTAGCTGATACGGACACTGTTTCCCTCATCATTGAAGTTGAATGAGGGAGGTATACCATTGGACAGCTGGAATGCAAATCCGAACGGGACCATGAAGTGCCCGAGGAAGGGGAAGTCACCCCTCGCTTCCACAAGAAATGCCTTGATGCGTAAGAGAAACTGTATGCGTGACTGGAGGTCCATGATTGCGCTTCAAAGACCTATACTTCCGTGAGTCCGTGATGGAGCGTCATGGGGCTTGGTTAGATAGGACTGTACGTACGAGATCAGGGTGCCTTTCAAGTTGCATACACCTCTCCTACCCTCTCCTCTCCTAGTGCCCGGATATCCAGGCGCACAGTCCCTTCAACGATGCCACCAGCAGCAACATGTGTCTGCGACGAGGAAATACGGATAGCGGAGAGATACGACCCTGACATGTGGAGAGGACGACCGTCAGCGCGTCAGCACTGCAGGCGGCACTGCCAGTGGAGACGTACTTACCACTAGGTATGACTAAGTATTCCGCTATTGGGAACTTGTTGGGAACAACTGATGGATCTGATCCGGATCTGGGACCGGCGTGGCGTGAACGGGCGGCCAGACCGTCACAATGCTCAGTGCGGCGATCGTCCTCAGCCTCAGCCACCACAGCCTGCGTAGTACCACTCAGCTGGCATGAGAACAGCAGGCGCACAGCTCGCATATTCACGCTGCGCGCCCATATCGACGCTTGAAGTAATGGTTCCCGAAACTTTGCGTCCAAGCCAAGTGACTGCGACCGCTGGCAGCCGCGCGCAGGTTCAAGTGTACATTCCCCTCTTTTCCGCCCGTTCTCGCGGTAAGTAAGTTTTGCATCAGGTGGTTGTCATTGCATCGCGAGGACCTCATTTCTAGTGGCAGGATCTCTAGCGCAGCGTGTAGCAAGGTCAACACCCGGCGTAGTATGTAGTAGGCACAAGTCATTTAGACCGTATTCAGGAAGACCGTTCACTACACTGTTTTGTGTTGATGGATCAGATTCATGAGTTAGCAAGAGCGCAATTTTGACACACAGCTGCGAATAATCACGATGCAGTGGGCGCTGTCGCGAGGCCTTTTGGCGATATGCGCGCTGATCCCGCATAACAGTTATGGACACAGTGCTTTGACGGTGCTGGTACTACCGTACTATAGGTGCGCCCCGGGTCGCTGGCGGTCTTACGTTGAATGATGGCGCATCGCCGCAGCAATCCATTCGGATTCATAAGGACAGCCAACCGACTGGCATGGGCATTCCACCGCCCTGGGCGAACGACCATGTATCACCGTCTTCTGTCCTTCTCTTTCCTCGCCGCCACTGTTCTTTCCTCGGTCTTTGCTATTCATATTCCCCTTTGCAGGAACGCCGTCAGCATTCGGGATGCTAGTCCACACAGAATTTCTGTAACAAAGTCGGCGTCCTCGACCGACCTTTCTGGATTCGTCAATTATGCAAATGGTCGTTATAGTGGCAACATAACTATCGCTGGGCAGTCGCTCGAGGTATGTGCCTCCTGCAGTCCCGAATTTGAGATCGCAACTCATCATCGTTGCGCTGCCATAATACAGGTGGTCTTGGATACAGGCAGTTCGGACTTGTGGATAATCTCGGACTCTGCTTTGCCCGGCTCTGTGAACACCTCTATTCCAGCGGAACACAAGTATGGTACCGACGCCGCAAACGGCGCCTCCATTCAGGGATACATTTTCACAGCGGATGTGGAGTTCGGCGGCTTCACGATCGCACAACAGGCCTACAGTAGGTTTTGTAGCCCCTGAGATCCTTAGACTGCTCGTTGATACTTACTTGTCTCCAGTCGATGTGCCAAACTCGTCAGTGTCAAGCGGCGTGGTGGCTCCTGGCATGAGCGGGCTCATCGGTCTGAGCCCGTAAGTTTCCGTGTCCACATCTATCAAATGGGTCCGCTCACCACGGCATCTCTCTTGATTAGAGTGGCAGAGATTGGGACGGTCGCAGCCGATCTGCAGAAAGCCAATTACAACGCAAGCGGTGCAAACCCGATGCAGAACGTGAGTGAAGCTCAAAAATCGAGTAGGACCACAGCTTATAGGACCGGGACCGCAGATCTTTTACAATGACCCGAGTATCAAACCACAGTTCACTATCCTAATGTCTCGCAACGATGGCAAGGTAGAAACCTCTGGCGGTGTATTCACCATCGGTATTACCATTTCACGTTGTCCTAGTGAGTGCATTGCTAATGGTCATTGGCAGGTGACCCTGTTCCAGAACTGGCGTCTATCCAGGACGCGCCCATCTTGCCCGTCGGCCATGATGATGATGAAATCCTGGCCCAACATTGGACTGTGCACATGGATGCCATCGTCATCAACGGGCAGTCGTACAACACCAGGTAGACGTTTCGCAGGTTCTGAGGCTCAGTTGTTGACTTACTATCTCTTTGCAGCTCAAGCGGCGTCGCAAACCTTTCTGCGATCCTGGACACTGGTACACCGACTGGTAAGTAAAGCGTTGCATTCTAGCGAGGAATGTGCTAATCGACTCGCATTCACTCAAAGCACTTGTCGACCCGAGGTTCGTGGACATCATGTTCGGCGCAAACGCACAGCCCATCCAAACAGACTTCTCGGTCGTGGACTGCAACACTCAGATCAACATCTCGTTTGTGTTCGGGTGCGCCAGTCATGACAGGACCGTCGCCCACCCACTCACTCATTAGGTCAAACCAACAGCGGTATAGAGTTCCCGATTCATCCCATTGACGCGATCCAACCCGTCGCATTGGACGACAACGGTACGGTGATCTGCAGTGGTTCGTTCGGTCGACTCGAGGGCCTCCCCGACGGCTGTGAGTATTCATCGTCGTCTTGCACGCTCCTATTCCGAGATCAATTGCTGGGCACCAGTGCTACTTCTTGGAGATACCTTCCTTCGGAATGCGTATACTCTGTACAACCTCAACATCGGAAACAGCTCTCCAGTTGGACCATACGTTCAGATGCTCAGCGTGAGTGATCGCGTCCGGCGGTAGAGTACCGATCGTGTAACTGACGGCGGCTGCTCTAGACAACTGATGCTGAGGCGGCCGCGACGGAGTTCGCACAGCTGAACCAGCAGAGACTCTGCGCCTTCGCGGCGGCGCAATCGAACAGCTCGTCATCCGCGACTGTTGACCACGACGACGACGAACTGTCGGCTGCCGGCGCAGTTTCTTCTCCCTCGCCATCGTCTTCGTCTTCGTCTTCCGACGACTACTCTGCTCTCATGCGCAACTCATACATCATCATCGGGCTCATGGGTGGAGCGCTGCTGCTCTTGATCATCATTGCTGCGATGCTCGACGATTGCTGTCGCTGTGCTGGATACCTTGTATCGCGCGCCTCGGGGTAGTCAACAAGCGGAACTCGTGGGCCTTCAAGCCTGCGTTCAAGGCGTATGTTAAGTGCCCGGAAAGGTTCGACGAATACTACATCCAAGATCCCGATGCCGCGGCCAAGCGCGATTATGACAAGTGGGGAGTCATACCGGAAAGGGCGAGGTTCGTTCCTAGGGTATATAAGGTCAAGGGCAAGGTTGTCGGATGCTGGGACACCGTAGCAAGCCTGGAGCGGCCCTTATCGAACGCAGGCGGCGTCACCGGCCACTGTGAGAACTACGACGGTGGTCTTGTCTCTTGTTCAAGTTTATAGCATGCTCTTGGCAGGTATCGAGCACGCTTTCCACCCGTTGGCTCAGGACGAATATCTGGGCCCATTCACCCCCACTTTGTAGCACCTTCCCGACAAGGATGAAGTGGCGAAATGTGCGTTTGTTCTCCTTCTGTTCGTCACGCACCTCTCACCTCAGTCTTCACACAGCCATCGACCTCCGCCAGTGTTGGTTCTCCGGCGTCCACACCAACTTGAACGTGGGCGGAGGCTACCCCGACCAGGCGCTCGCCGATCTCGCCCTCGCGTGGATGATCGATCTGTGTAGCCCGTACCCCGATTTTGACCCCAAGTACATCAAAATGTGCGTCGACCTCGATCGCCAGCCTTGGAAGGTCCATAGCATGTACCGCCAGTCGCACCCGGATGGCTTCGACCGCGACTACCAGCCTCTACCGCTGGGCATGCGGGAAACTGTACTCGACGCTCGTGCAAGAAGGGCCAGACGTGGACGTGGCTATACCGCACGCCTGGCGCGTACCACAAGCCGGCAGACCGCACGAGAGAGAAGATGCACGCAAGTATGCGCGAACGATGGTTGACCCGGCCCGCGGGGCAAGACTGGCGACCACAAACGCTGAAAAGCTCCGAGCCAAAGCAGCGAGAGGATGGTCAGTGGGGGGGGTAGAGAACGCTGGCGGCAGGAAGCAGCCCAAAGAGTCATTTACCAGTGAGGTCAAGGCGAAGGAGAGCTTCGAGTGACTGCTCCGTTATGCGCCCGTCACGGAGCCACTGTCTAGAGAACATCGAATGAAAAGGATAACAAGAGCCTGGGCAGTTCCTCCCCTTCACGTTGTAGACGAACATCAATCGACTACTTATTGGTAGATGTCTGTAGATGTAGTGAGTTATCAAAATGCGGATTGACGTTGAAACGTTGAGGCGCTACTTATGCTATACTTACCGTCTGCTTATGTAATCAATCGGTCCAACACGCCTGGCCCCAGCGCGATCGTGCTCAGCCTCACCTACCACAGCCTACCACTGGCATGAGAACAGCAGATGACAGCTCGCATGCTCATGCCGCGCGCCCGTACCGACGCTCGTTGATTAGATCTTCCTCGTTGAAGTGATAGCCCAGAAGTCCAAGTTCCGAGACTTTGCTTGGTTACCCTACGTTCCGGCGAGGCGCACAAATCGCGCTGAAGTGCGCGCACGACCACCTCGCTTCGAGGTCCAAACTTTCGCATCCAACGTTCAATCCCTTCTTATCCGGCCGTTCCTGGAGTAAGCCTTCGGATCATGGATTTGTTTCTGCATTAATTGACTGTAAGTGCATCGCGAGGACCGGTACCTCATTTCTACTGGCAGGAGCTCTTAGAGATATATGAAAGTAGGGCGCACAGCTTTGATGGGCGCTGTCGCGGTGCTTGTTGGTGATCCCGCATAACTTAAAAACACTTGACGGGTGCTGTGATTGAATGACAGAACCTCTGTACAGACCCGGCGATCGCTGTCGACTTCAAGTGTCAATAAAGTTGTCCGACCTGCTGAAAGGATTGGTGTAAACTCAACATGAGGTGCGTCAACTCTGATGCTACATGTCCTGTTCTTGATGAGGCGGAAATGGACGACATGCGGGGTAAACGTGGCGGAGCGTGGGATGGCAGTTCAGTTGCTGGTTGCTACCTGCCGCAACCCGAACCCGTGTCTGACAATAGGTGCCAGCGCCGGCGGCGGATTCCGTTGAGTGATGGCCATCGCGCATCAATACATTCTGAATCCATTCATAAGGACAGCCTGCCAACTGCTATGAGCATCCCACCGCCCTGGGCGAACGACCATGTATCAACGTCTTCTGTCCCTCTCCTTCCTCGCCACTACTGTCCTTTCCTCGGCCTTTGCTATTCACATTCCCCTTCGCAGGGACGTCGTCAGCATTCGGGATGCTAGTCCACACAGAGTTTCTGTAACGAAGTCAGCGTCTTCGACCGACCTTTCTGGATTCGTCAATTATCAAGACTTTCGTTATATTGGCAACATAACCATCGCTGGACAGTCGTTCGAGGTATGTGCTCACCTGCAGCCCTGATTTTGAGATCGCAACTCACACATCGTTGCGTCACCACAATGCAGGTGATCTTGGATACCGGCAGTCCGGACTTGTGGATAGTCACGGACTCTGCTCTATCCGGCTCTGTGAACACCTCTGTTCCAGCGGAACTCAACTATGGTACCGATGCTGCGGACGGCTCTTCGATTCAGGGACACATCTTCACAGCGGACGTTGAGTTCGGCGGCTTCACTATTGCACAACAGGCCTACAGTAGGCTTTTAGACCCTTGGGCTGCTCATCCACGCTGACTTGTCTCCAGTCGATGTAGCAAACTCATCAGCGTCAAGCGGCCTGGTGGAACCAGGCATAAGCGGGCTCATAGGTCTGAGCCCGTAAGTTCCTGTGTCCACTATCAGCATATTCGTTAAATGGGCTCACCACGGCATCTCCCCCGATTAGAGTGGCAGAGGCTAGTACGATCGCAGCTGATCTGCAGGGAGCCAAGTACAACGCAAGCGGGGCAAATCCGCTGCAGAACGTGAGTAACAGGGATGTTCTAGTAGAGTCGGAGCTCATGAAACTGCAGATCTTTTACAACGATCCGAGCATCCAACCTCAGTTCACTATTCTGATGTCTCGCAACGATGGCGAGGTTGACACCAGTGGCGGTGAATTCACCATTGGTAAGACCATTTCACGACGTGGTGAGTGCACTGCTAACTGCTGTTGCCAGGTGACCCTGTTCCAGAACTGGCGTCTATCCAGGACACTCCCATCTTGCCAGTCGGCAGTGATAACGATGTCCTGGCCCAACACTGGACTGTACACATGGATGCCATCGTCATTAACGGGCAATGGTACAACACCAGGTATGATATTACTCACAGATTCTGAGGTTCCATTGTTGATTCTGTGCAGCTCAAGCGGCGTCGCAAACCTTTCTGCGATCCTGGACACAGGTACACCGACTGGTAAGTGACGCATCGCATCCTGCCGAGGAGTGCGCTGATCGCCTCGCATTCTCGACTCAAGCATATATCGATCCGAGGTTCGTGGACATCATGTACGGCGCAAACGCAAAACCCGTCGATACCGACTTCTCGGTCGTGGACTGCAACGCTCAGATCAACGTTACCCTTGTCTTCGGGTACGCTAATCATGGCATGGATGTCGCCTATTCGCTCACTAGGTCACACCGACAGTGGTATAGAGTTCCCGATTAACCCCATTGATACGATCCAACCCTACGCATTGGAGGACAATGGCACGGTGATCTGCGAGGGTGCGTTCGCTCGCCTCGAGGGCTTCCCCGACGGCTGTGAGTATTCATCGTCCCTTACGTGCTCCTATTCCGAGACTTATCGCTGGGCACCTAGCGCTGCTGCTTGGAGATACCTTCCTTCGGAATGCGTACACCCTGTACAACCTCAACATCGGAAACAGCTCTCAAGCCGATATTGGACCATACGTTCAGATGCTCAGCGTGAGTGATCGTGTTTGGTGGTAGAGTGATTTTGTGACTGACGGTGGCTGCTCTAGACAACTGATGCTGAGGCGGCCGCGACGGAGTTCGCACAGCTGAACCAGCAGAGACTCTCCGCCTTCGCCGCGGCGCAATCAAATAGCTCGTCATCCGCGGCCTCTGATGATGACGACGACGACCTTTCGGCTGCCGGCGCAGTTTCCTCTCCTCGCCGTCGTCGTCTTCCGACGACTACTCTGCTCTCATGCGCAACTCATACATCATCATCGGGCTTATGGGTGGAGCGCTGCTGCTCTTGATCATCATTGCTGCAATGCTCGTAAGCAAGGCACGAGGGAGCCCCCAGAGGTCGTACAGGCCGGTCGGCGCAGAGAAGTTCGACCATGTCCCCTTGCAACACGAGTCCTACAACGCCACTTACAAAGACTGAGACGGACAGACGAATGTATTTATTTACGATCGATGCATACTCACAGGGCCCATTTATATTGACCTCCAGTGCTGTCACTGTGCTGGATACAAGCTAGCAGCACATCTTCTCGAAGTCTCCGCGGGCCGCGCTACTCCCTGAGAGAACCCATGCTCTGCATCACATTTAGCATCGTATTATTGCACGCGGATGACGACTCACCGTACTCCCAGATGTTACTGTTACCCTTCTTATTGATGTGCTCCTGACTCCTCCTCTTCCCCCACGGACCCTTGAAGCCAAGCTCGGAGATGAAGCCGGTACGCTGTGCATGGGAAGAGATGAAGAAGAACAGCCACGCATCTTCCCATCCCTCTGTGAACCCGTCGCCGAACCGCCAATGCTCGTAGTTCCCTGGGTGCTGAGACCACCAAGAGCTGTGCGAACCTGCTCGCGATCGAGGTCGTCGGTTCTTCTCCGGATATCATGGATGATGTCACTCACCTAAAGCCACGTCTCTTGCCTGATCTCTCCGTGCGGTGCGCTCGGGATCATCTACAACCGGCCTGTTCGCTCTCAGCCCCACGGAACTCGGGAATACGTTCGCGGCAACGGCGTCTCTGAGCGACCAGCCCTTGTCTCCGTGCTGTTTCTTGTAAGTCCAGAAGAACCACCCGGCGCAATGGCGATCGTAGAGTTGCAGCTGAGCATCCACGTATTCACGTCTGGCCCTATCTTCGTCGCCTACACCTTGCAGGGAGCCCGGGTTGAGACCGCACGACCATTCGCCGACTATCATACCACAGCCTGCGCCTTCGAGCTTCTGCGCGACACGCGCGAACATCTGGGGTGCCCATTCGTTCTGGTCGGAGAGGGACCTCGCGTGCTGCGACACGGGCGTAGAGATGTCCTGCTGAGTGAAGCAGCGATACAGGTGGTGGTCCAGGACGGCGAACGGCACTCCGGAATTGCTGAGAAAGTCCGCGCACTGATCCGTCATCCAGACGTCGCCGATGTACAGTGGTATACTTGGATCGATGTTGCGGAGCGTGCGGAAGGCGTCGAGGTACCATCTCTCGAGGGAAGCGTTGTGCGGCCCGGGCTGCGGCTCGTTGAGAAGCTCGATGCCGACAACGTTGGGCAGCGGCGGGTTGTGCGAGCGAGTAAAGGCTGTGAGCTGGGAAAGCAGGACGGAGAGGACGTGGATCGTGTGAGGCATGTTATGAGGACTCGTGAAGAATGTTGGCTCCGAAGACGACCCAGAATGTGAGTCGGCATTTTGTTTGCCCGGAGCAGCGTGCAGGTCTGCAAGCACGTCATGTGAGCCTGCCTCGCTACGCCCTCAACGGTCCAGTATGAACTTACCGATGAGAACACCTAGGCCATAGCGATGCGCGGTAGCGATGGCTTTTGTGATTCTGACCCAAGCCCTGTCAAAGACATGACCGAGCTGGGCGAAGTCGGTGCCCTGCAAGACTGTTTGATCGACACCGCATAGGTGATAGAAACCAATCTGCGTGAGGTGAAGATTTTGTGAGTAAATTGAATCACATGGTTCGGCTGCCCCATGATGAAATGTGTCCACCTGCTGCGTCGCGGTGATATGAGAGTCGTGTTACGCCTCGCAGCTAAGAACACCGACAACACGCGCATCATGCCTGGCAATGCCGAGCATCGGCCCGCCATCCCGAATTGCTCTGCGCAGATCCTTCGCACCCGAACACCACCATTTCGACACATATCGTAGCAAGTCGTGTAATCTCGCAGTAGCGGGAGGCGAAAAGGAGGGGCAAAGGAAGAAAGACTGCGTACCGGCAGGCGGACAGTGTTTATGCCTCTGTCGGCAATCCACGCCCAGTCCTCTTCGGACACCCAAGTGTCCCAATGCCGCTCGAGCACCTCTTTGGCGTGGGAGCCGCGCGCAACGTCGAGATCGCTTTGCGCGGGGCCATCGGCGGAGCAGAAGGGCGCATCTGCGATCCATCGCTCGAGAACGAACCAAGAGCCTGCTCAATGGAATGATCAATCGATCGGGTTATGAGACGATACAACAGAAACGGATGCGGACCGAGATTAACTCCGCGTTGCTTTCGGTAGCGGTACAGATCGACGTCGGTAAACGACGTGGTTGGCAGCCTAGCCTGTGCTGCTGGAGATGTTTCTGGCCGTGTCTCCCCCTGTGGTCGGAGGTGCTGTTTCAGAGCATTCGCTACTTTGTGCATGCTGGTGGTGGTAGGAGGAGAAGAAGTATGTAAACCGTGTTGTACGTTCGGACAAGCCTAAAGTCACCTCGCCTTGTGACGTCATATCGCTGCCCGTCATCTGATCGCGTTGTATGCCTTCAGCCAGTCTTGCGACTGTGCGCTTGCAGGAAGGTCCAGTACCATCGCGAACGCGACAAAGCGAGATGCAATCATGTCTTGCTAATTCGCCAGACCGACTTCACGTCCGACGTGAAAATCTCGGGGGGAGAGGCGCATCTTCACCGGCAGGGCAAGTATGGCGGAAGGCCGTTCGACAGTTGCTCAGAGTGAAGCACAGACTCAGAGAGGCCTCGGTTGACTCGGAGATGCCTCACCCACTCTGCCTGCCCTACCAGCGTACAGCCTACACGTGAGTCGCCGCACGGAGAGGGGAATTTGCTGACGTACTGTCTATCACAGGGTAATGGACGCGCTGGTGAAGACTCGCGTCTTTTACGAACGGAACAGCAGCTAAAGATCCTGAATACGCATGTGTTGAGATAACCGTCGGTTTACGGTGAAGTTTGCCGTGTTCGTTGACATGAGCCAGATCGTCCACGGCGCAGCAGGCTGCAAGCACGGTGAGTAGCGGCAAGGTTCCCGCGTAAATCATCAATCCTTACCTCTCAATTGTCAGAGGCAAACTTGATGTTAGTTTATGCCTTCGACACGCTGCCTTTCAGACGACTGACAGAGACCTTGAATGATTGTGTTGGAAGTGATTTTGAAGAGAGTGCATAGTACGGTCAAAACGTGATGTCAAAGTGAAAGTTGATCCACAATGTGCCGTGTGGCCCTAACGACAGGCTCAAGACCACTGAAGTACTGCGTAGATGGTGCTGGAAACTCAAGACTAGCTGAGGTCTGCCCGGAGTGCCACTGGCTCGCTGAGGCGAGCGCTCGAGCTTGGACGCGCCCATTGACACGTCACGGTCACACCGATTCACACGTCGCATTCGCGGGAGTCACAGGCGCTGATTGGCTGTGACTGTGACTCGCTGACCCAATGCCCATGATAGAGCCAGTCGCGTCTCCTGAATCTTGCGCCTAGCGTCCACTCTCCAATCCATCTACAGCGCACTGGCCGTCACAAAAACTCGCTGCAAGCATTTAACAGGCGCATATATGCGTCAATCATGCCATCTTGGCCCCTACGGAGCTCTGGTTGAACGTCACTATCACAAGTCTTCCAGCAGTCAGCATCGCAGCCTCGCTCGCACCGTCAATGCTACGCGCAGCCCACGAGTTGCATACGTCAGGTCATCGAGTCGCTTAAGAGAATAAGCTATGGTAGTGTTTCATTGACTGTTAGTCGGAGTACGGTGAGCTCACGCGACAGCACTGTTATCTGGTCTTCCTATTGATAGTCCCGCATACCCAACGTATCACCGCCGGCACGCGGTGCATGTACGGTCGCTCGTGCGAAGATGCTGGTGTTGATTGTAGGGGTCGAGATGCGCTGAAGCCGGTCTCACGGTGAGTCTTCGGTCATTGCAAATCGTGCAAAGGAGCTGACAGTGAAGGCGTTCCAAGCCGGGTATCTGCACGTTCGTGTTTTCACCAGAACGTTATCCGACTTCTATAGAGCTCGACCGCGTCTCTTGCCAGGTGAGTCTCAGGCATATGGATCGTCAGGTCCCAATGAGGATGTTAACGATAGAGGGGGCAGGTCCATAGAATATGCCTCGTCCGGTTCACATCATCGCGCAGCACCTCAGGAAAGCTGCGACGAGTTCTACTTCGCTCGAACCATCGACTCTGGCGCTCCGCGGACGGAAATGACTCTGCAGACATGGCCAGTGTGCGCAGGCGATATGACGGTCGACGGTCAGGCAGTCTAGACTGTCCGATAGGGAGTATGGGCTAACATACAGTCTTCAAGGTCGCCCGCGCGACATGCCGCCTCAGGTAAAGAAGATTGAGCGACAACAAGTTATGTCATTCCGCCGTGCATCGGAGCTTCCACATTGACTCAATACCGGTGAGCTTCTCTGACGCAGAGGTCGATCTTCTCTCGGCTCCACGCGGACCAATCGCAAATTCGCGTGGCTTTATGCTCTCTTTTTGTCTGGACTTCGCCTCGCGGTCGGTTGCGCGTCCAGGAGGCGGACAACGCGGTGCGGTCCCTCCCAAACAAGTCTCTGCCGTTTGATCAGTTTCCTCGACGGTCCTCGGTGTCGGCACGATACCGAGGTCTGGAACGCATTGCTACGAGGGTCCCCGCTGTTCGAGGAACAGGCCGGCGTCACCACCGAGAAGCCCGTGCTTCTCCCCTTCGTGCAAGACTATGTCAGGGCAATGAGGATGTGCTATCTGCGCACGGTGTCGCGCTATCTATGCCGCATGTCCTCGACTTAGCACAGCCTGCGTCACTGCAATGCCCTTTGACCGACGAATGAGGACGAATGATAGCGTCACGAACATGATACCACTTGCTGCGTATGCCTCGTCGCGTCCGGCGAACCTCGTCTGCGTCTACAGCGATTGCATATGTATGCCCGAGAGCGGTGTATCCTCTTCAGGTTACCACCAACGTTCGTCCCGTTTGACGAGATCCTACTGCTGAGCTGCTCCATTGTTGAACGCCCTGCTTTGCCTCGGGTATTCTGCGCGCTTGCTACGGTCTAGGCTACCCCGCCCTCCGCCCTCCTCGGGTGTCCCATACCAAACCAAGCACTGCTCTCTCACCTCCGCGTCCCTGACGACATCGTCCGGGGTTCGAACGATCCCGTTCTTGCGCGCGCCCCAGAAGCGCATCAGTGCAGTCATCTCTCCGGCTTGCGTTGCGCCCTCATGTTTGCATGCTGCTCCGTTCAGTGTGTTCGTTACTGCGCTTCGTCCGTCCCTCGGTCATGTCGTACAGGTCGTCGGGGCGCGGCAGTTCGAGACCATCGGCCTCTCCGCACCCTAGAACTGCTGTCTTTGGCAGATGGAAGATGCTTTCTGATGCAGCTTGACCGACCGTGGAAAGATCCTCGCCGAATGTGATGTGTAACTCCGTACTGGCGGGATTGTCTTGAAAGGACAAGCGAGGTGACGCACAGCAGCTACGGTAGTAGCATAGCTCTGCACATGTTGTTCGAGACTGCTGTAGCGGCCGGCCATGGAGGGCCTGGATCCCCCACATCTCGTCTGTAACTGGCTGGCGCGTATGCTCTTTCGTGTGGATGGTTTAGGAGGTTGTTGTACGGTACGTGTGCTTTCCTATCCCTGCCACGTTTTCTCTGACAGTGTTCATTTAGGGCATCTATGCTGGCGATGACATTTCCGCTATGATCTGTTGTGTCATGCATCGTCCTTTTCTCGACAATGAAACTCTTGCGAACCGCTCTCATGCTCAGGAGTTACTTCGGCCTCGTGTTCGTTCAGTCTTTGTTCTTTCATGATGCGTCTCAGAGAGCTGCGGGCGTATCCTTCATGCTGTTGAACCTTGGGCTAGCTATGGTCTTTTGGTCCCTGGTCCTAAACGCCTCGGGGTACTGATAGCCGACATCGAACCTCCACCTTTTTTCAGGACAACCCTCCTTGCAACGTGTCATGGCATGCGGAGCTCCCCAGTCTTGACGAATGTTCGACTGTTCACGGTGAATCGCATCGCTGGATGACTGCGCTGGCGAACTGGTTTGTCTAGTCTGGCGGAGGAGCACTCTAGTTGAGCGTCCACCTACAGCTCGCATCTCGGCGTTCTGGTCTGTTCAGCCTCCCCCAAGTTCGTCTCAGCATGCCAGCGTGTTGGCTACCAATCACTGGCTCAAGACTGGTACGGTACAGAATGCACCCCAAGACAGGCGGTGGAGCCACGCAGCAGGATCCTTGGTCGAGGCCTGAACGTACATCTGTAGCTGGCCGATTTGTTTTCCGTGATCCTCTCTCGCGAAGGCATTCGGGTATCTCTCGCTGGCGGAGGACGCGCAGACATCGTGCTTCGAACCTTCTGGCCTGGGTGCTGCGCATGCGCTCGATCACTCTCGCTGGGATCTGTGCTGGTTTTGCCCTCGCTGTTCCCCTCCTGCGTCACGGTTCGGTTCGACGATCTGCGCTGACGCGCCTAGCCCACGGCGCTTGCTGTTCAGTCCAGGTTCAGTCAACAAATCCGACACCCGCATTCCAGTTGAGACTACAGGCGCATGATAGTTCGCAGCAGAGGTGGAGATGAGCATCACGTCCGCTGTCGGCACGGTGGGACTGCTCTAGAACCCGCCCCCCTACCGCCGAAACACCCGCTCATTCCCTGCCCCGCACTGCTTGGATCATTCTTCGAGGCGCGGGGGCTGGCGCGTCGGGATAGCTTGGCCACCGCCGCAGTAGGGGGATTCGGCGACGAGCCGCCGGTGTCTGTGTGCCGGAAGGTGCTGTCGACGGGTCCCACAACGACCAACGAGATCTCGGAATCTGCATCTCATTTGTGATGCCCGGTTCTAGGGTGCTGATCTCCACAGCCTGGACCCGTGGTTCATTTTAGTCCGGAGAAGCAGGCAAGGCATGCCATATACGTGCGCTACTTTCCCTTAACCGGGCCAACGTCCGGTGCGCTCGTATCATGTCCATGACTATGCGCCTTCCGGTCTTCCCGCCCTGGATTCTGCCGGTCTTGTCTTCGGTGCCCTTGGTCCAAGCATAGTACAATCTACGCAGCTCCTGGTGGCCAACTCAAGTCTGCAGGAGTGCGCTTTTACTGGGGCGACGAAGACGTCAGCATGACAAGACACAGTCTGCAGGTAGAGTCATGGCGCTCTTCGACACCTGGACTGGTCGTGCATCCCCCGCGTCGGTAAAGAGCCCAAACGGTACAGCGCGCTTGCCGCGCCCCCTAGAACGGGAAAACACGCCTTCGCCACGCGCCTTCTCCAGGTTCTAAGATCATTGTTAGCGGCCTAACGCCCGGTGGAGGCCCTTGTCACGCCGCCAATCACAATTATTACTGTTTTGTACATCGAATGCCAACATTTCCGCAGGAAAAGGCCTGGAAAAGACCACCTGGTCTGTGCTGTCGGCTGCCCATTGGACGCGGGGGCGTGTCGCTAAGGGTGATTGTAATACCTGCGTATCACGGAGTTTACGGCGAAGGGGCGGTCGAAGAGCAGCGGCTATGCACACGCTGTCTAGAACTGGACAGCTCGATCCAGGCCTCCCCGCACGTCCTTTCATTATTCTGGGGGTCTTTCCACGCTACCCACCGCGGTAGGCGGTGTCCAGAACTCGATGCACCAAGTCACGTAACCGTACCTGCCCCAAACGAGGTGCATTCTCTGTTCCCGTCACGTCGACTTATAAGGAGTCCCTCTCAGATCTCTCTGCTGCGTTCCCCCTGCAGCCGTTGCGAAGTAGAGTTGTTCCTTTGCTCTCTTGCAAGACCGCACCGTATCCGCCACTTGTCTTCGAACTCGTCGTCCGCCACCTCGAGGTATTATCAACACCGATCGCATTCGCACCAAATGACTATCATGCCTTCTTACTTTCGCAACTGGTTTGGTGGCTCGAGCAGCACTGCTGGGTCCTCTAAGTCTCACAGCCGCTCGCGCTCTGCGGGACCTGCTGCTCCCATCTATGCGCCTGCTGGCGCCTCCAGTGGTAGCGCAAACACCCAGCGCAGCTACAGTTCTCTGCCTCCCGCGCAGCGAATCCCTCGCCGCTTCGCTATGCTACCGGCCCTGATACACGAACAGCGCACGGTTATGCGAAGCGCAGTGCTACTTCACCTTACGCGGAACCGCGCGCGAACAGCCTGCGTCGGGCAAGCTACAAGACTCGCGAACCCGGTGAGTTTGATCATCACAATTCGAACTCTCCTATGCTCACTTGTCGGGGACATCGATCTTAGCTCAATATGCGACGTATACCTCTGCCGGCGGGCGCATTACGCCGCCTGGCTCACATTCGAATTCAAGTTCCTCGCTCTTCGGTATGGGGGCGCCACGGTCGTCTAGCTCTGACATGGGGCACCACAGTGGGCGCTCCTCTGTTGACGTCCGTCCGCCCTTGAGGCAGAACCAGAGTTGGCAATCTAGTGTCGGCACTGCGTCATCTTGTGAGTTATTTTTGGCTTCGCGTCTCATGCTATAACTGACCGGAGACTCAGACGGCTCGCTTCGCGGTGGCCCGTCTTCGACCCACTCGCAATCTAGCTGCTACTCGCGGCCTCGTACGCCTATGCTGCATATGCATCCACTCCTCGCGTACACGCGTCTTCACCACGCGCCGCTCACGTACGACGTCACATTCACGCCATCGGCACGGACGGTCCTGGACCGTGCAACCCACTCTGCCATTCCTTCGCATACCCTTGCCCAACCTGCCACGGAGCCGCCCATGCCTTCGGGCGCCCGTCTCGTCCTCCGCTCGTCAAAGTTCCCATGGCCAGTTATCGTATCTGCGCCCCCGACCACGGCTTCGCCCGGTCCTCGTTTCACCGTGGGCCCTCCGAAGCTGAGCGGAACCATCACGAACCTTGATGTCCTCTATGCTGTGCATACCACACTCATGACGCCCGTGACGCCAGAGGAGTGGGCGGCTCTGGGGAACGGGAGCCGGGCACAGCAGAAGGTCGCGAAGGCGTACGAGCGTCGATGCACACGCATGGGTGGCGGTTGGGAGGCTGGTGTCCGTCGCGTTGACTGGCTCGGTGAGAAGACACGGCTGGTCGGCGTCGAGGTCGACAAGAGCGGCGGTGGCGGAGGCACCGGCAAGCTCATCTTCGAGAAGCCGTGAGGTGCTCCTCGCTGCGCGGCTTGCTTCCTCTTTCGTTTCTTGGGATTTTTGGTGATCTATTGGTCTCGCCGGTCCGCGATTGGCCCAAAACTTTTGCAGGTACTTGCGTATTTGCTTGTCGTCTGCTCTGCTTTCTCGTCTCGCTTTCGCTCTCGCCGCTCTCTCCTTATCGGTCTCGTTTCGGTTCAGGTGATATTTGACGACTCGCGCCCGACTCCGCTCGGGCGTCCACGACGCGATTTACGCTTATGATTATGACCATCTGTACCATACTCACGCACGAACGATGATACTACCATTCGCATTTTTAGGACGTTTGTACTATACATCTATCGCGCACTTGTGTTGTGTCTATAGTGCTGTACCGCTTACTACTGACCTAGTCGCATCCCCAGCTCAGGCAATGCATCATCATATGCCCATGCAGTACTGTCTTCTATGTACTTTGTCAGCAACTATGACGATACTTCATCCTCTTGACGCCTGGAAAGCAGGGGACCTCTCGCTTAGATACGTGAAGGCTCGGACATCGGGATTCGACGACCGCACCGGGCACATGCTGGTACACAACTCCACCGTGCATACGGGGTTACGGCGAGTCAATGCACTAGAAGAACGTAGGTGCCTTGCGTCCGCAAAACAAGCTCGTCCTGTGACCACGGTACGAAACACCACGCTGGTTGCCGCCCATTTCCGAGCTGACGCACGTATGCACATAGGAGGGTACATACACACTTGTGCTTCGTCGTCCATGCACTCGGGCACGGCAGATCCCAGCCTCGGAGTGCTTGCCGCTCGATCCTAGACCATTCCCTGCGAACCCCAGAACCGTCAGGTGCGATCACCCGCAGTGTAGGTTTACACTGGCCCACCTGACGTCGAGATCCGGCTCGCTTCGCCCTCGGAGATGACGGTGCTGGCAGCGAAGGGGAGGGGACTGCCTCTAAAGTTATTGGTAGCGGTGAAGTGAGCTCATTGAGAACATGCGTCACTTCGGCTATGGCCACCCATACAATCCTTTCCCGATTGCGCTCAACAAACGCTGGTCTGGACCGGAGCATATTGGTGGCCCAAAGGTGGGGAACACGAGGGCGCGTGCGGTGGACAGATACGAACACGGTCTGAGGGCCACCACCACTGGGTGTTCTTATACCCTGTTTCAGGTTACAATATCAAAACGGGAATATCGGAAGTTGTTCCTACTCGTGCGGAAATGCACTCGATATCATTCGCAGGGCCATGATACTCTATGCTATCTTTGCCGTCGTCGGTATTGACCCTGCTCAGTCTCAGGTCAAGAAGTTATATGACGTTGAAAGATGAAATGGCATTAAAAGATTATTTAGAGTTCGGCGATGTACTAGCATCCATCCTAACTTAATAGTAACCGTACGGTCATACTGTGGCCATGACATTCGACATTTTACAAGCTGCCATGTGCTAAAAGATTCAATGCATAAACGTACCCACTGCAATGGGGTTACCTTTAAGGAGCAGGTCCTCATTGTCTCGTACCTGCAGCACCGTAACACTACGGCTTCTGCAGTGGCCCGAAGTCGATCAAGGTCAGTCACCGCGCCCACGTGCACGCGTCCTTCTGCCGCCGGTGGACCGTGGACTGTCACTGAGTTACAGTGCACGACCGTCCTCTTCTGAGTCTCAACAAAGTCGTGTAAAGGGTTCACCTACGGGAGCCTGACACTCCTCCTCCTGTACTCACGTCTGACCTCGGCTAGCTATCCGCGACGCCCATCTTGAGGTGCATTGAGCAGGCTGCCTCGCCGCTCCGCAAATCCTGCGCTATCCTATCGAAACATCCCAGTATAGGAGCTTTACTAGCTAGGCTGTGAGACGGAGCTACGACGCAAATCAAGCCTAATGTACGTCGAGTGACTTGCATATATGCGTCTCGTTTGCTGATGACGGTGCACTGGAGTAAAAAACGGTGTTTTGAGGCCACCAGGTGAATCATAGCACTAGCGGGTCGGTATAGCCTCGCCAGTCCCGGTGTACGATCAAGAGTCGTCAAGCCACATGGCCCACGCGCTCCTCAGTTACCGGGGTACTAGCGGGATACCCTGCAGGCCTCGCTCTACCACCATCGTTGACCTCCCACCCGACGTCCTCCTCATCATCTTTCGCTACGTGTCGAAGGACGCCGAGCTCCCAGGAGACAGCAATGGCATCCATTCAAGACTGGCCGCGTTTCTAGATCCTTGGCCCTCGCACCATGACCGATACCTTGACCATCCTTTCCCAGAATCCCTGGCATCTATTCGCCCCCTCTGGCGGAGCATCATGTCAAATATATCCATATTCTGGACGCGACTTGTCATTTGGATTGGAAGGGACCCTACTCCGCTTTCTAGGATTCACCAGTACCTCTCGTGGTCGCAGGACCGTCCCCTCGACATCTACGTCTATCGAAGGTTTGACCAGTCCGTACAGGATCCTAACGAGAAGGCTCGGATCGACGCCATATTCGAGCTGCTTCTGCCACACGTGAAGCGATGGAGGACCTTACACATGCATCTTCTTTGCTCCAGTTCGCTCCCCCTCCCTCGCGTCGATCTCGTGGGACGCGCAGACAGGCTGGTCACGCTCGTACTTCGGTTCATATTCGACGACCTTATCGACAGCACCGGATCGACCTCGCATCTTGAAGACGAATTCGAGACTCCTGTTCTGAGGAATCTCTTTATGGGTGGAGTCCACTTCCGCGAATCGTACGTGAGACCGTTTCCGCGGTTGGCCATGCCGCCCAAGCTCAGCTCCGTTGCCATCACCGACTACAACTCGCACAACGTGGCTTTCCCGCTCGTCGACCTGCTTGCATGTCTTGTGGGCTGCACGCATCTGAGCAGTCTCGAGCTCGACAGCGTCTGCCTCGACTGCTCGTACACCGGGCCACACATCATCACTGCCGAGATGCGCCTTCCCCGCTGGTCAGCCAATGTCAAATTCATCGACATCAGCGGCGACGTGATCACGGAGTACAGCAGGCTTCTCGATTACCCCGTTGTTGACAGTGTGTCGTACAGGCGATGCACGACCGCCGTACCTCTGGGGGCCACTCTCACAGATGGGTATAACGTTGGCATGTTCGAGATCCATAGTCCAACGGTACTCTTCAGCCTTCTCGCGGCTGCGCCTGAAGATTTCTCATTCTGCGAAACACAATTTGAGGATTGCGACGGTCTGACCACGGACGTTTTGCGCAAGCTGGCGGAGCCTATGCACGATCCCGATGCAGAGGCGGAATGGGTGCTCCAAGGGACGTGGTTATGCCCGAACATGAAGTCGATCCATGTTCTCGCATGCACGCAGTTCCGAAGCGCGGACATGCGCGCGCTGCTCGAGGCACGTCGCAGAGTGCACGCGGCGACGGGATTCGCGGATGCAGACAGCCCAGGGTTTCTGGTGTCGTCGGTGGACCAGCTGTACGTGCGTGGATGCTGCGAGCTCGCCCCCGAAGATGAAGTATGGTTAGATGTGAACGTCCCTCGGGTGCACTGGGACGATTGGAAAGGAGGTTACGATCGGCCGGGGCTGAGAAGGCAGATATCTTGAGTGCTCGTGCGTCAGCCCGAGTCGCCTTCCCATACGAAGAGCCTCGAGCGGCTTATGATGTCACTTGCGGTAAATGCGCACCGATACTTGGTGGTGAACGTTTGAACATCGGCGAGTTGGTCTATGGTAAGCACGACTGGTATCTGTCGAAGTAGCCCTCGTAATTGATTGGACATATGATTGACAGGCGCTTTGTATCCACACTGTCGTATAAGCTACCATGTCCCCAACCGGTAGCTAAATGAAGCGAGTCCCCCATTCACTTTCTCCAGCACCGGACTTAGTACAGTACATGCGCATTGTGCTCATGCAAAGTCAGAGCACCTTAATTTGAGCTGGCTGCGGCCCGGGCTTCGGTGATCGTTTCCACGCTGCACAGGCCATATTATTGTTTTGCACTCACTGAGATCGAGAGCTGCCAGAGGACCACCTACTACAACGTCCCCTTTGTGTCTTGAGCAGACCGTTTTCCGACTCGTTTACTGCTGTATCGACGCATTCTGGCAGTACCGAAGCTTTACCAAGGTGCTTCGAAGTAAACCAACTTGACGCCTAATGTAAGTCAACTCAGTCCGTTGTGTGCGTCTGCCTCCTCTCACCAGTGACGACGCTCCGCCGTAAAAATTACAGACAACATATTGAAGATACTAGGTAGATCCTGGGTAATCCCGCGGATCGTCATGGCCTCACCAGTCACAGCTGTGTGCAGTGATAAAAGCCCATCAAGCAACATGGCCCGAGTCCTCCTCAGTGACCGAAGGCGCTGTTCGATGAATCGGCTTCTGAGGCCTGAAGAAGGGATCATACGAACGCACCACGGTATTGACGAGCGATCTCAACACCTAGGATGCGTCGTAGGTACGTTCCTCGTCACATAATCCTTAAGATTGATGACTCAAGCTGACAGGGATAACCACCGTGATGAGCGTAGTCACTGACGAGGTGCACATGTCGTGGAGCGTTCATGGTATTACAATAACATCAACCTGAATGTACCGAACAAATGACAATCATAGATCCCCAGCGTCGGCTTAAACGTCGTTCTCGTGATAATATTCGCAGCCGATGCAGCAGCATGCATCTGCAGACCGTTTTCGTTATGATCAGTTTCGCTGTTGCACAATGATTAGACTCGCCGTCTTTGGGGTCTACATCATGCATAAGTGAGTACATCATCTATTGATGAGCGGTTTGTATATAGAACTTACCAGCCACAGGGTGTGCGTTCACCGCTGAGGTGGCGAGGACAACGATGGCGAAGAGACTGGTGGCGAGGCGGAGCAGCTGCATCTTGTCTCTAGAGTGGTGAACGAGTTCTTGACTTGTGACCCTTTTCGTGAGCAGGCCTTCATTTATATTGCAACATTGACGCTGCTGACGCCCAAGGACCAATACTGTCGATTCTGACACAGGCACTGCTGGCGAGGCATCCTTGCCAGACCGTGTGCACCAACACTACACAATAACGCGCGACTTCATATAGTACGTACTGGTTTCCCAAGGTCACGATGAAATCTGATAGCACGCCACGATTTGACAATTTTCGCATAGCCTTTGTTTCCAGGATGGAGATCCTTTAGCGGCTTCAAGTGTGTCTTGTCTTCGCTAATTTGCAACCCAGTCGCCCGTTCGGTCGCTCCGTCGAGATTTGGAACGAACTGCCTCGGATTCGGTGGCCTCCTATGCAAGCACCATACAACGGTACGATCTATCTGATACGCATTTGTGATTTACTGACGCACTGCGATGTTATGTTACAGATGACCGGAAAGACAAGGCGACTGATGTCAGTGACATGCAGGAAATTCTACCTGCCGCCAGTTGATAAAGGGTCATCGACAGGTATCGTGGCTTCAGACTCACTCATTCACACAGACTGATATTCTTACCGTTGCCGCAGTTGGAGTACAGTGCTGAGTAAAGAGGGCTGCTCGAATTCTTCCTAGGGACAGGAGATTCACCGTTACAGTGAACCTTACCGTGACCAGCAACACGCTGCAAGAGACCGACTCGATCTAGAGTCTGATAAAGAAGAATTCAATCGCAAACGATGGGTGAGGAGACATACTCCCGGTAGTGCTGCTTGGCCGGGTGTGTGGTGGTCTTCGAAGGCTTCATGAAAGCAAATAGTTTTGCTAGGTTGTCATCCCTCTTAGCTCAGTTGGTAGAGCGCGTCACTAGTACTTTGTTCTCACGATCACGTGACTTATGTCGCGAGCAAGAGGGCGAGGACAGCAGGCGGCGGGGCGACACGCCAACGCACGGGACGGGGTGACGTCAGCGGACACGCGGATGATTCCCAAGAAACTCTTGGGAGTCTTTGCGGCGATGCGAGATGCGGGTGCGGGTGCATGCCGGCGGCAGGAATCGATGGTAGGGTTTTGAGTCGTCGTGGAGCTGGTCAACCGGTGTCCCTCACTGTAGATCCAAGGGAAGATTGGCGGCATCAACCCGCAGAGAGTTGTTGCCCACGGGAGGCGCGCGGCAGTGTGGTCGTGTAATGGCCCGGGATGGAAGGAAGGTTGGGAGTGACGTAGATGTGGACGCTGACGAGTGGCGGGAGGCGACGGTTTGATGCGGCGGCGAGAACACGACGTGGGCGCGCATCGGGCGTGTCAAAGAACGACGACGTCAGGTGCAACGCACTACACTCAGGCTCATCCGAATCTTTGTTACGCGTGTCGGAACTTGAGCAGTCTTCGGAAGCAGGCCCCCTTCAGCCGTTCCTGATCCGAGAGGCGACCGACACCCACTCGTTGAGTTGGCTCGGGCGTTGCGCATTGTCGTCCAGCCCCTTAGCAGGGAACATTTTCCGAGTCGTATACGGCGGACGCGGCCAGTTCTCCGAGTACGACCTACACGCAGTTCAAGGTTCAACAGGGTGCCCGCACGGACGGACAGGCGGGGCCGCCACTCACGTGTTCGTTGATAAGAGTTGTGGATGCCGCAGACGGTATGCGTCAGGTTCAGCCGGCGGACTGCTGGCATGATGACTTTTAGCAGCTCCCCCACCGACTCCAGACGTTTGCCGAACGGGGCGGCTGCAGCAAGGTCCGGTCGCCACTGCTAGAGTGCAAAGTGACACCGAGGGAGACCTTCTCAAGCGAGTCCTCCGTCACAGCAAAGTCGGGAGCGTCACCGCCCTCCTCGACGTTCATTGCCTGTGCGAATGCCTCCCACATGCGGTCGGTAGTAGTCCTCCTCCATGCTCTTGTTGTCATGACCCTCGCTCCCAAGAGCCCGGTCGACGTTGTTCGCTATGGGGTTGTACGTCTGGTTGCCGAGACCGCGGATGGCGTACTTGACACCCGATAGCGTGTGCTCGCCGTTGCTGAACTCGCGCGAGAGGTTTCGAAGGACGAGGTTCTGTGAGCGGACCAAGCTTCCACACCCTGCTCAAGCCACGCCTGCCCGCTGCGGATGAAACCAAGCCGTGGCAGGCCTGAGCGACGCCTTTTTAACAGCGTTTTGATGTGTCTACATGGCATGCTGGGATCTGCGTCTCGACCTCTCGTGTGCGAGCGGCACGAGTATTCCTGCGCGGGGCACACGCACGATGACCGTCGCGCAACCAACACCGCGCCCTCCGTACACGTCCCGCCGCGCAAGAACTCTCCGAGGGCCTCTGGAAGTGTGCGTCTGGGTGATTTGGTCAGGGAATGGACACCGTGACCCGAGGCTAGGGTTTGTAGTCAGCGGAATGTCATTCGGGCATACGGAATCCTTACAGCGAACGCGAGCGGCACCGCCACCCGTGAGATGGGCGATCACTGTCGCCGATTTGGGAGTCCTTTCGTGCACGACGTTCGTGCACGAGTGGGGCCTACATGGTGTAGTGGTGCGGCACTGTCTACTGGCCGTGCACGACGACGGCGATATCCAGGGTGGCGATGGTAGCGACGGGTGGGGAGGGTGTGCCGCGAAGAGAAGGTGGGCGGTACTGGCAAGGGGGCATGGCCGCAACACACTCCGGACGGTGGTGGTTGTGGATCAAGAAGGGCGTGGGTGAGCGGCGGGCGGCGGGTGGCATTTGTCGGCGCGGCGCGCGGGGGCAGAGGGGCAGACGGCAGAAGCCGACGTCGCGCGCGCGATTCCCAAGGACTCCTGCGGGATCTCGCCGCTATCGCGGGGGCGCGGTGATGGTGGATAGGGCGCAGACGGGGACCACGGTGCGCACTGGCAGGGACGGTCTATCCGGCACAAGGCGACGTCACGCGCGGCGCGCAAGAGTACTCCCAAGGACCGCTTGGGAGACTTTGCGGGCGGCGGTGCGGCGTCGGCGACCGAGGGGTGCGCGGACGGTGGACGAGAGCCTGGGGGACACGGTGCGGCTTGTTTGGGGCGTGTGTTGTCAGAGGTGCGCGGGAGATGATGTGCGTACTGGGCGTGAGGGGCGACGGCGGGAGGGACTCGGACGCGAGGTCGCGCGACGCGCGGCGCGTGGGCGGCGATCACAGCACGTGATGTGAAGGTGCGCGGTGGCGTGACCGTCTGCAGCGGGGCGGGGCGGGGAGGTGCAGCGGGATGGCGCGTGGCGTGTGGCGGGAGTGGCGGGCGACGCAGAGGGTGGCGGGTGGCGGGAGTGGCGGGCGACAAGGGCAGAGGTGGCGGCGGGTGGCGGGGTGGACGACGGCGGAGAGCGACGGGGAGGCGCGACGAGGGCAGGGTGGCGCTGGTCACGGGACGTTAGAATGCCCATTAGCCGACTGGAACAACCCGCACGGATTAAGGTCAGTCGTTCAAATCGGCTAGCGGGAATTCTTTTTTTGCGCTCTAGGCAAAGGTGTTTTCCAACGGCGACCTGGCGACACGGTTCTGAGGGTGCGCCGAAGAGGACCGCAACGCCGGTCAGACGTTCCTAGAGCGTAACTTGTAAACGTAGTATTTATAAACTTTATGTAAGGTACAGTTGCAAGCCATAGTTCGTAAGGAGCAGTGGCGGTATAGCTACTGTACAGTGAGAGATGTCCGAGAGGAGGGAATAGCTACAGGAGAGGGGATTGTATACAGTGACGATCGACCAGAGAAACGCATGTCCGAGATGATACAAATAATGGGACTGCACGAGCGTCCAGCGCATACGACCAAGCACATCCGGAAAGAAGTTATTTTTGCCGCGCGGGTCGAGATAGGTGGGGGGCGTTCGAGGCGGCGAAGGGAGGACGGAATAACGACGGGGGTCCTCGTGCATCTCACGACGCCGTGACGGCGAGCTGAAGATCGCAATAGACCGCACCGCCCGACGCGCTCGTCACTTCGACGGCGTTGAAGAGGACCCTGGTGCCCAGAAAGTCGACGCGGCGAGGGGTGCGCACGGACGCCGCGACGCGCTGCCGCGCATCGGTGGGGAAGCAGTTGTACTCGTTGGCCAAGACGGGCTGCGCCATCGCCCGCCCGATGCCTTCGAGGACATCCCCGACGGTGACGCCGCTCGCTTGGGAGGCGCGCACTTCAAATTGGAACACGCCGATGATGTTGACGAAGACGCTTCGCGCGGGCGGCGACGCGAAGCTGTCCGTGACGTTGCGGTGGGAGAACGGCGCCCGGAACTCAATCTGCGAGGCCGGCAGGGAGATGTTGAACCTGAGCGTATTTGGGTGGAACATCGGGTGGATGGTGTAGCCCGCGGACCCACGCTGCCCGCGTGCTCTCTCCGGGGTTGTGGGCGGAGTCATGAGGCCATCTATGGTAACGCGCCGAAGATCGTCAACATACAGTCGGAGCGGAAAATAAATGCGAAGTTTGCATACAAGTAGCTCGAGAACCCGGAGCAGCGCCGTAACCCGCGGGGTGCATGTACGGCGCACCGGCAGGTGCGCCGTATCCGGGGAGAAAATGGGTCGGCGTGACTGGTGACGGGGGCAAGTCCTTCGGACTCATGTAGGGCGCGTTGGGCACCGGTGTGGTGGGAACACGAGTGGTACTCGACGATGGGCTCGGAGGGTACTGCATGGTGACAAGTGTTGTAGCTGAGGTGTGACAGTAGACTGCTAGCCGAGGTCGTTGGGATGGAGGCGGCGGGCAGAAATGCGGAGGCGGACGGGGCGGGGGGCGGGGCGGGCAGATTGATACGGAACGCACCCGGCGCGGCGGGCGGATTTATACGAGTCATCGTGTTTGTATGGGGCGGGGACGCGCGACGTCGCCAAACAATGCTGGCCGCAGGCGGGGCGGTCGAGTCATGCGGTCGTCGCAGCCCCGACGCGCGTCGGTGATGGCGAACCCGCCTTATCGCCCGGCATCCCGTCTGCCGGGCGCCTTCCCACGGCGGCAGGCGCGACCTACCATATTGGGCCACGCGCCCATTGCCATATGGGGTATCATCGCGCCCTCCGCCCACGCCGCGCGCCGCATGGCACGTCGGCCCTGCACCTCGCCCACAGCGCGTGACGGCGCGACTTCCCATCTGGGCTCCCGCCTTGTCCTCAGGAAGCAGGGGCGGTGTGACCATCGATTGGTGTCGCCCGCCGTGCCGCCCGCGTACGCCGCAGGACAATGCTTCGTGCTCTCCTTCCCGGCTCCGAACCCGCACACATTTCTCGGTGCAGCTCCAAGTCGCAGGTGCCTCCGTCCGGACACAATGGCGGCGCCGTTTGAATGGCCGTCTCGGACCGGCCGTCGGTCTTCGCGCGTGAACATCACGACCGCAAACTACCCACGGCGCAGTGAGAATGACATGCGTGACATTACTTGGGGGCTAAACATACCGCAACAAATGGAATATACAATAACTATGCCATAACTGACGCAGATAGCATGAGAGCAGACGTTCACGAAAGCATGTCCAACGACTTGAGCAGCTGCTCGATAGTGATGTTCCAGTCTACGCCGTCCCCGTCGCCCAGCGCCCGAACCTTCTTCAGACGCTTGAGCCCATTAACATTCTTGCTAGTCTTACTTTTGGTCTTCTTTAGGTTGTTTCCAAACTTCGCCCTGTGATCCATCGCGAGCTGCTTAATCTCCTCGACGTCGGAGATGGTCTGCGCTCGCAGCCACGCAGCGCTCTCTGCCCGGTGGACAAGACAGTCAGGTTGACGATACCCGACGAGGTCGCCCCCGCAGCGGATACCGTCATTTTCGACCATCGGCGCTCCGTTGGGCCAAAGGGAGCCGCCACCAGTCTTTTCTAGGACCTCGGCGATGTCCAAGCTCTCGCCCGGCGGGATGGGGATGGGCTGCGACGGCGTCACGCAAGGCATATCGACCTCCTTGCGCAGCACCTTGTCGACGTCAACAGCGGAGAAGAACGCCACGCCCTGCGGGAGATCATCCATGCCCAGCTTGTAAGCGAACAAGCTGCGCGTCCAGAGGTTGGCAATTTGGAGCGCGAGCGCTGCTCTGTAACGGTCTTCTTCCTTGACCAAGTACCGCAGTTCGTCGTGCACGGAGATGAGGTAGCGCGCCTGGATGTTGTACTTCTTGATGAGATGCTCCATCGAGACAATGAGGAGGTGCAGGTAATCGACACCCGAGGATTGAACGACCCAGTTGATACGAGAAGGCATGTAGTCGTCACCAAACGTCGCTGGCAAGTACTCCTTCGATAGCGCGTACGTCACCCCACACCCGAGCGCAGGCGTCTGCGGCCGGTCCGACAGCGCGATCTCCTCAAGCTTGTTGAAGACGAAACTCTCCGTGCCGCCGTACCAGAACTTGCGTCCGAACAGATCACCGCGGTGGGTGTTCTTACCCTTCGTAGACGCGTACAGGTTCTGCGCGAGCTTCTGCGCCTGCTCGGGCAGCATGCCGGCGTTCGACTGCAGCAGCAGCAAGACTGCGTGACGCATCCCGGCGCCGTAGATACGCGAGTAGTTGAACACCTTCGCCTGGTCACGCGAGATGCCCAGAATGCTCGCAGTCTTGGAGTGCAGATCCGTGCCCGCCGCCTTGGTCCCCTCGAGCGTCATCCACCCAATTGCAGTCGCGCCGTGCAGACCGAACTGCGCGTCGCCCATCACGCTCGAGATCCACAGCTCCTCCGAGTCGACGTCGGCGCCAACGATAGCGTACCCCTCCGGGGCGCGCACCATCGCCTTCAGCTCGGACCCTACTCGGTTCTTCTTCGCATTGCTCGCGGTCAGCCACGTCTTCTCGATCGCGCGCCGCGTCACTGTGCCCATCGTGATGACCTGCGGGAGGATGATGCCCCACTTCTTGCCCTCCTCGGCGGGCTGCGGGAGGCCCGCTTTGACGCGCTCGTCCTGCCAGACGACCATCTGGTTGAGGACCCGGTCGCGGGCGCTGATCCAGTAGCTGCACTGCGCGTTCATGTCGAGGGCGTCCTTGGCCTCGTCGCCCGGGCTCGTCAGCGTCCCGTCCTGCGCGTACTTCATGAACGTCTTGCCGAGGGGGCTCCCTACGTTGGCCTCGTCGCCGTCCTTGTGCGGGAGCTTGTAAAACATGTAGCCCTCGTCGGCCATCGCCCGCAGCGGCGCATCCGCCTCCACTGGAAAAGCGACCGATTTCGCACGAGTCTCGAAGCCGGCGTCGGGAGGGACGCGGAAGGTCCACCCATGCTCCCGAGAGTGGAAGAGCGGCCAGCCCTGCCAGGAGAGACGCAGAAGGAGCGGCGCGAGCCGACTACGCACAGTGAGGTCGAGAGTCCCCGGCTGTGCGTCCTTCTTCGGCTTCGCGAGATCCCAAAACCACTTGGGCCACTTCACGGCACCAGAGCCTACGGAGCTCCCCTTCGAGGTCGTTTTCGGTGTAGTGGTTTTCGGCGTAGAAGTAACCTCCTCCGTCGAAGTAACGCCGTCTTCAATTATGCCTTGGCAGGTTGGATGAGCTTTCCTCGGAGGTCGTACGGGCGTCCAGTCCAGCTGCCTTAACGAAGGGTCCTTCTCGACTTCGATTTTGTCCATCTGCACGATCTTCTCTGCTACAGCCATGACGCGCTCCGTCATCCATTGATACTTGTACTTGCTCGAGAGGGCGAACGCCAGCTCGTCGTCATCGGTCACTAATCTTCCTTGCCGCAGGCCGTGCAACCCGCACACCGCCGAAAACACTTCGAATATGTTACGACCGGTGCCGCCGATCTTCAGGGGGCGACACACCTCGCCAGACACAAGCCAATGCCAGCGGTGCTCCGCCGAGTACTGCAGGGGTACCCCGTCGTACTTGGAGCGAAGCAGGAGTGGCATTACACGCCCCAGGAACACACTACTGAATGTGCCCGACTTGAGGAGGGAAGCGTACCAGGTTGGGACATCAGTTGAGGCCTAGCACAAACATTGAATGCATATTCCGTCAAATCATACACTTGGCTTACCTTGACACCTCGCGTCTTGCCCGCGACTTTAGGGGTCCAATCTAGCTGGCTGAGCCAAACGTCCGACTTCCAACTCTCGTCGTCCATCATGCCCTTTGCCTGGCATGCCAGGTCCTGTAGCCGTCTCTTCACCTTCTCTTCCAACTCCTTGTACGTACGTTCGGCCTCGGCGAGATAGGTGTCCCACTTTTCGTTGACCGTTAGGAAGCTTGATCCCATCGTCAACACGCCAGCGAAAGATACAGGGTTCGGGCACGCGTTGAGAAATGAAGGAAGGACTTTGCTGAAAACAGCGTGAGTGACTGCGACGTCGCCAGCACAGTAGTTCAGGTAGTCCTGGACGCCCTGGAGAATCTCCTCCCTCGTGCTCGTCATGAAGTCGTTGCGGATCGCTTTGTCCATGTCAATGTCGCAGTGCAACTTCGCAACGTCGGCGAGTGAGTTCGCGGACGTGAGGTCCTCCCAGCGCTGGCACGACATCTCATCCTCCTCGGCCTCCTCAAACTCCTCGGCCTGCAAAGAAGGCAGACCCTCCTCCAAGTCGTGTAGCAGCCGACCGAGCTCCTCGACCTTGGCGGGATCGGTTTCCGAGAGTCGGCGCTCCTCAGCCTGGCGCATGAGCTCCAGAACGGCTTCGATAGCTTCCTCCTTCTGCTGCTGTGCCTTTTCCTTCGTCTTCCGGTACTTCGCCCACGCGGGCCGCTGATGAGATGAAATACCCTTCACGGCAACGTGCAGAGCCATGGTATCGATGAACCGCGTCTGCGTGCCGTCGACACTGTACTCCTCCAGGACGCGACCACGGTCGTATGACACGTTATGCCCGACCACCACACGGGGCACCGTACGACCGCCCATAGGGATCAGCTGCTTGCTCTCCTCCGTCTCGCCCAAGAGCCACGGCGACACCCAGGAATACCACGCGTTCTTCGACGCTGCGCACGCCATGACGGCATACGGGCTGTACTCCGGCATCGTCTCCACGTCGAACACGAGCATCTCCTCCGCCTGACCGCTGAACTCAGGACACTCAACGTGCTCGTAGTAGCTCGAGCCATCCGGTTGGTAGAGATACCTCGTCCATCCCGCCTGCATGTTCCAATGGTCGGGTCGCGGCGGGAGCTCCGCGCCAGCGAGGTCTTTCGCGAGGGAGAGCCATGGATGCGCTGCGCTGGCGCCGATAGCGTGGAAGTGTTCGTCGAGATTGCGGCCCTGCAGGGGCGGGAGCGTGAAGCTGGTGTTCGGAAGGACGGATCCTTGTGCGGGGTCGAGCCCGTGCGTTTTGAGGTGTTCCCGGGCGATGTGCACGTACGAGGACTCGGGAGAGGGGAAGGATATGTTGCGGAAGATCTGCTGGTGCAGCTGGCGAGAGAGAAGCTGCACGCCGACCTGGTTGCGCTTGACCTCTGCGAAACCGTTAGCAAGACCTCATCAAGCAACGTTTGCGACGCACCCTCTTGTCTCGCGACCTCCTGAGTGGGCTGGGAACATAGCTCCTCCTGCTCGGTGCTCCTATGATCTGGGACTGCACGCTTGGGAGCGCTGGTTGGCAGAGGCTTCTGCTGCAGAACAGAGGTGGGCAGAGAAGTATGAAATAGTCGGGAACGTCTTGCAACTGGGAGCGACTTGGCCAGCATTCGACCAGGCCTCGCATTCGCTTCCCCAACCAGGCTCCTTTCTGCGACAGAGAACAGGCGTAGGAGGCGACTAGGAGGAATAGGAGGAATTGGGGGAGACTCGAAAAAAGGGCGAAATGAGGTGTCCAGTACTTGGTTACTTTTAATCTGTCGCCGACGATCTTGACAGAAATGCTCACTGTTACCAAAAATGGAAACCTCCACCTTCGCCGTTGCGCTCACATTGTCATTGTGACTCACAACGATACTTACGCATCTGTGTACAGCTGCTCTTCTTGGGACTACATCTGGACCGTCTTGAGTCGAGCTCAGTCAATTATATAGCGGTACTTTCTCGGTTCCTCGAAGGCATTGAGCTCAAATTCGGCGATAGGGCTGCAGCAGCAGGCACGCATTGACGGTCACAACCTAGTATGTAGGCCCCTTGTTTTCGCTCACCCACGGTCCCTCGCCCCTGGGATAAAACAATGTCCAGTTCTGCGCGTCACGCCATACGGTATGTATGTGCACGGCCACGATAACAAGTAAATTCATTTGCCAAGCCTGCGCGTGTACATCCAGCTGCAGATCCAAGACGGCGATTTGTTGCAGCAGTGCGCAACAACTTCAAGTAATCGCACGACTCGTAGCTGGAAGTCACCACAACAGGACATGGCCCACCCCCAAATATTCATCTCTCCTCTGCCAGGGCGTCGACGCTTCTTCAGCTTCGGCTTCAGAGTCCAATGAAGCATTTGCACTTATCGGTGCACAGCGACCATGTGCAACGAACCCGTCAGTGCTGTGTGCGATGTGCGCCCTTGTGCGCCCCGTGCAATCAATAACGGCAGCGGTCCCTGCCGCTGCATAAATATCACTGCTTGATGCTCGGCCGCCAGGGATTTTCCTCTGGCGGTCCAGTATGGTCTCCGTGCTCCTGCTCGCTGCCCTGCCCTTCGCTGCTGCGCTCCCGCACTCATACTCAGCCTCGATCTTCGTGGGGTCGACAATTTCCGCGGCGTTTCCGCCCCGGTGCGACTAGCACGTCCTACAAAGAGTACTTCCCCGATGCAGCAGAGGTTGGATTCGCCGGACCCACTCCCAGTACGTGTTCGACGAGTCTTTCACGCGTCGCATCCACTGAACGACGCGTCCACAGCTGGGGCTGAACCGGAGGCCATCCAGACGGCACCTGCGGCACCTGTGAAGTCGGATACGTACCCGCTCGTTGCGGATGGCGCGGCGTATAGCCCGTCGTTCAATCCGATGCGCTACTGGGGCAACCTCTCGCCGTGGTTCTCAGTCGGCGGCGCGTTTGGGTTGCCGGAAGCGTCCCCACAAGTTCCATCTGGCTGCGAACTCACTCAGGCGCACATCGTTCAGCGGCACGGCGCACGATACCCCACATCTGGCACGAACAAGTTCGCCGCGCTCTTGCAGAACGCAGTCGTGAACAGACCGGATTCACCGCCAAGGGTCCCCTCGGTTCCTCAACACCTGGACGTACAAGCTCGGCGCGGAGATCCTTACGCCCTTCGGTAGGAAGCAGCTGTATGACCTGGTGTCGCGTCAAGGGTGCAGTACGGACACCTGCTGAGTGGCTTCACGCAGCTTCCCGTGTTCCGCACGACCTCCGAGTGGCGGATGGTCCAGTCCGCACGCAACTGGGCTGCAGGCTTCTTCGGTCTCGAGGAGTACCCCACGTCGTACTATGAGGAGATCATCATCGAGGAGGACGGCTATAACAATACGCTCGTGCCGTGGAATGACTGTGCGAATGCGAATGGCGACCTATACGAGATGGGCAGTTGGTATGCGAACAATTGGACGGAGATATACTTGAAGGGCGCTGTGGAGCGGCTGCAGCAGTATGTCGATGGTGTGGAACTCACTACGACATATGTATCGGAGATGCAGGACCTGTGCGCGTACGAGACGGTGTCGATCGGTTACTCGAAGTTCTGCGACTTGTTCACTGAGGAGGAATGGAAGGGCTACCAGTACGCAAATGGTCAGTTTTGGCGGTGTCGTCAGTAGCTTGTCGCTTACATAGTTTCGCAGACTTGGACTTCTGGTACGCTGACGGGCCTGGAACCCTACCGGTGCTGCGCAGGGCATAGGATACGTGCAAGAGCTGCTTGCGCGTCTGACGCAGACACCTATGACCCTATTTGACACGACGACCAACGGGACGCTTGACGGGAACAACATCACGTTCCCTCTCAATCAACCGATCTACATGGACGCCACCCACGATACTAATATTGCTTCTAGTGAGTTCCCAATATTTTCTTTCATATAGAATGCTGGCTGAGATCATACAGTCGCCGTTGCTATGAATTTCACGAGCATGGTTGCAAGCGGTCCGCTGCCAGTAGATCACATACCGCTTGATTTGGTGCGAGCATCTCTTGCCGCCTCTCCTGACATCTACTCACCTACACCTCGTAGAGCTACAACACCCAACACATCGCGCCCTTCGCCGCTCATCTCGTAGGGCAAGTTATGACTTGCCCTGTAACTGACAGTCCCTCCGGGTCTGAGAAGTACATACGCTGGCTTCTGAACGACGGCGCGGTGCCCCTCACCGGTATCAAGTACTGCGAGGAGCCCAATAAGGACGGCCTGTGCCTGTTGGGCAACTTCATTAAGGGCATGCAGGAGCGCGTCGCGGAGGTTGACTTCCAGTACGACTGCTTTGGCGACGTGTCCGTGCCGTACCCAGATAACTTGACGAATGGAAGGTATATCCGATAGCATGGGGTGTGTTGCTCGGTTGAAAAAAAAGTAAGGGTAGAGTCGGTACCGTACAACATTACGATACTATTCGCATAACTTACCTGAAACCCGGAACGCGAGGGCAGTCATAACACACCAAGTTGGGTGGTTGAGCCTGAGCGCAACCTGAGCGTTAGACTCCTCGATCTCAGCCACAATATCGGTCGCGACTCGCGATGGCTGCTCGGAGTCACCGCTCCTCCTCCTCCTCCTCCTCCGTCCCTGAAATTCATCCCGATTTATCAGTGACTGGAAGACCACTACGCTTCTTGCATTCAAACCGACCGTACTTCAAGCTACAGCTCTGATCAAGGAGGTGATAGTCATGGCCAGCGTGGCAGAGGATCGACCCATAGGGCCGCTTCCAGATGTTCCAGGACAGAGATACGTCTCCGTGTATGCATTGCACGCCGGCTCGGTATTCCTGCCAGACCGGGAAGTCTTCGACGACTCGCTAGACACAGACACAGGTTCTAAAGTGCCCAGCTTCGCCTTCCTGATTCAGCACGGTCAACGGGGGAAGTTATTGTTTGATCTCGGGCTGAGGAAGGTGATGTTTGTGTTCTGTTCCTTCAGCCTTGTACGACCATCTGATGTACTAGTCATGGCCGAATAGCACGGCATGGGATATCCCCCGGCATGGAATGAGACCTTGCAGACGTTCACAGTCGATTGTCCTCACGACATTGTCGATATCTTGAACGGCGGGGACGTCGCTCCAAGTTCGATCAACACAATCGTGTACAGGTGCGGTTCCTCATAGATCACGCACGTCGCAGACAAGGATACCGCTCATCGCGGACTCACCACCATAGCCATCTCCACTTTGACCACGTTGGTGATCTCTCTCCCTTCCCGTCCGCCGAACTCGTGGTTGGTGCGCCCGCCGCCGAACTCATGGGAGGCCTTACCGCGCTACCCAGACAGCCTCTGGCAGGAGTTCCCTCCGCACCAGAAAGTCCGTTACATCCAGTTCGAAGACAACGTGCCACCATCGCGCGTCGTAGCTCCCCTCGGGTCCTTCGATCGCGGACTTGATTTCTACGGAGATGGCTCGCTGTATCTGCTTGACGCACCGGGCCACTTCCCGGCCATCTCGGCGCCCTTGCTCGCGTCGCGCCCAATGGCTTCGTCCTGCTGGCCGCGGACTGTTGCCACAATCGACTCTGCTACTGCCCTGGAGACCGTCTCATCAGCCGAGAGAACTATGATGAGCTCGATATCGCCCGGAAGACGGTCGACAGGCTGAAAGCTATGCATGCTGTGGACAATGTCGTGGTCATCCTCGCGCACGAGAAGGAGAGACTGGACGAGATGCCTCTATTTCCGACAGCTCTTGACGATTGGGCAGTCGAAGAAGCGCAGAGGAAGAGGGGCTAGTGCGTACGGCGCCACACGAGGCCACTGGATATCTCCGGTGTGACCAATTGTATACGATGTGTACCATGACCACGACTGACTACGAATACCATCCTTGAAACGGCCGATGCTTGTGACAAGGATGGCTCTTGACGGTGAACATCGACACAGGACTGGTGAATATATTGATCCTTCCCTTGATTTCATACAGTTGGTTAACCGACACGGTGCGAATGATGCTACATGTAAGTCTTTTCTTGCACCTTTTGGTTCCACCCAGATACCCGCTGATAGCGAGTCTTCTTGGACGGAAGGTAGCTCATATCCAGATGCTGAATGCTCGTGGCATGATGTGGTGTCCGCAAGGCCTAAGCAAGGTTTGCGCGTGGATCTGCTGGAGAGCAGATCATAAGAGCGCGCGGTACATCCATACGACCCACTTCTTCGTCGCTGTCTTGCACTATCTTCGCACTTTGTGGGCCTCACTAGTTCAAGCTGCTTCCGCTCAAATCAACCAGGCTGTACCTGTCGTGCATGCTGCCCTCAGCGGATCGTCTCACCAGGTTGCTACCGCCCTCACAGCCGCGAAGGAGGCCTCAGCAGTCCAGGCTGCTTCTGCTCAATCAACCAGGCGGTACCTGTCGTACATGCTGCCCTCAGCGGATCGGCCCCTCATGCCGCCGCCGCCCTCACAGCCGCGAACGTGGCAGCAGCAGCTGTCACTACGTTCGGTGCTCCTGTGGCCTCAGGCCTAAAACTGCATCGCTCACCTCTTATATCGTGGCGAAAGTCGCCCTCATGAAATCCGCGCTCAAGAACGCCCTCGACATCGACTCGGGGAGTCATGTCAAGGAGTTCGCGGAGGGCGTTCGCGCCAGGGAGCTGCGCAATAGCGCACGTATCACGTCGCTCGCTCTATACCAGACCTCGTCGGCGGAGGATTTCATCGCCAGCAGACGGGCGGCAACCTGGGCCATCGTTTCATCGTAGTCACGATCGAGATGAAGGGTGACGGCGCGTTCACTCAGACATTCGCCCGCGTCGAGTTCTGGGGCAAGGACACATTCCAGGAGAACCCTATCTCACAGGTCGTCATGCTCTCTGACGACGCCAGCGAGCTCCAACGCGACGCAAACGAGCTTGCACACCTGCGCTCGAGTGGCTACGCCGGAAGTCCTACCCTTGGCGAGTTCGCCTCCCTGCTGGAGGTCATCCATGACTGCACAACGAACTACAACGTCTTCACTCGAAACTGCTACTGGTACTCGGAGGCGATCATGTTTCCCTCGCACGGCGGTATTCCGAGCACTGGATGGCAGGGCAGGTCTGGCCAGAGCCCCTGACGAAGTGGATCAAGCGCGAGTGTGACGCCCCGCCTGCATGGCGGGCTCGTCTTTCAGCATCCTGCTGTTCAGTGGGGTGCAGCCGTGGGCACGGGTCTCTTTCGATGGAGTATGGCGAATTCCCCAGCCTTGTCCCTGAGAATGAACGCATGACTTTCCACGAAGTCGACATCGATCAGATTCTGGGTGCGTGGCAGGGTTGCCAGTGATTATTGATGTGGGGTCGGAATGGTGAGTCCTCCATGTCTTAAGACCATCGGTTGAGACGGAGTGTCTGATTGTACAGATCCGGATGCTGCAGTGGGCGTGGGCGCATTCATGATAGTTCTTGTATTCTTCGTTGGCTTCTCTTCAGACTCACTAAGCGTCGTTGTACATGTATAGGTAGAGGTAAATTTGTGACCATGTTGTACAGCGGTACTAAATCTGTCGAAACAAATCTCGACCATGGCTTCATGCTTCATGCATTCATGCCTTACGTCTCATGTCCACACAGTTTCGCTCATGGCAGTAAGGTAAATGGAAAGTGACGCGTCACTACGAGACATGGTTTATGCCGAGTTTGCACCGGAGAGGTCAAGTGGCATACACGACCAAGGCAGACTTGGTTGTGTGCCAGTGTACATACTGTCCTATCTCTACGTATCTACTCTTTATGAGGATCACGCAGAACATGGTATTTACACACCAACACCCAAAGGCAAGAGGTTTTCACTCAAAGGTCGCCATTCGTAACCCCCACGGAAATCATCCCACTGGAAGTATGGGACGTTTGCATGCAACCACTCCCGATCTTCGGGGACGAGCTCGCAGCACCCGCGCACGTAGAGGTGGTTCACCGACGTCACAACGAACCCCGGGTCATCTTCATCCACAAATCCCGTGCCTTCGTGTGCTCTGCGACGCGCCTCGACGAATGCGCGCACATCGGTGCTCCGAAACTGCGTGCACTCAATGATCATGAGCTCCTCCAAAGTCGGACAGATCCAGATACCGCCGGGCCCCTCGTCGTCTGCCTCCGCCTCGGGATCAGGCATAGTAGGATCCGTGAGCACCCGCAGCACATCTGTAGTCAGGCCACCGCAATTGGTGAACTCTACCTCGCCAAGTACTGTGCTACTTAGCGAGGCTGCGAGGGATTCGAAGAGCGCTGCTGGGCTGTGGATCTCCTCCATAATGACCCGGCGAGCGTGTAAGAGCTTTGCGTCCAGCGGAGTGGTCAGCCCACATCGCGTGTACGACACACAGTCGATGAAAGGATGGTTCAGAAGCCTGCCATACTCAGCGATCACATCACCGCCCATGTCGGTGAAGCTGACGCCCCAACGGGGCATTCTCGGAGCCTCAATGATGGGTGGCCCAACGTCGAAGCCGTTGAGGTTGAGGTTGTCGAGCTCGAGAGACGCCAATTCCTTGCAGCTCTCAAGGCATGCGAGCAGATCAACGAGTGCGAAGGCTTCGTTTTGCGAGTGGTAGCCGGTGATGGCGAGGGAATAGAGCTGAGGTGGCATGGCCAACTGCGGGAAAGGGTCCACATACGATTTGCGGAAGTGGACTCCACCCATGGAGATTTTCTTCAGAACAGGGGTCTCAAACTCATCTCCTAGATGCAAGGTCGTCCCGGTGCTGCCGACGAGGTCATCGACAATAAACTCCAGGATGAGTGCCTCCAGCTTGTGCGCCCGGCCAACGAGCTGGACGCGAGGAAGTGGGAGCGAGCTGGAGCACAGAGAACACACACGCAAGATCCTCCACCGCCCGACATGAGGTAAGAGCAGGTCGAATACACTTTCGAGTTGGGCCTTCTCGTTCTGATCCTTCAGTAATGGGTCGACTCTCCGCAGGACGTAGATATCAAGGGGATGTTTCTGTGACCACGAGAGGTACTGACGAATTCTGGAAAGCGGAGTAGGGTCCCTTCCAATCCGAATGACAAGTTGCGTCCAAAATATGGATATATTTGACATGACGTCTCGCCAAAGGGGACGGATAGAGGCAAGGCTCTCTGGGAAGGGGTGTTCAAGGTACCGATCACGGTTCGGATATGGTGAGGGGTCTGTGATGTTGAGGGCCAGTTGGTAGTCATCCCATTCTCCCGGGAGCCCTATATCCTTCGAGACATAACGAAAGATAATGAGGAGGACGTCGGGTGGAAGGTCAAGAATGGTAACGGGACGAGGCAAGTTGCAGGGAGCGCTGCTCAGGTCGCCGAGGCCCAGCACTCGGGCCATGTTTCTTGGTGGGCTTTCATTCGCCATCATGAGAGGAGGCGGATATCCGCAACAGAGTGAGTCGACTTACATTCGGCTTGAGTTGTTTCGAAGCACCTTGGGGTACTGCCGGGATGCGATCGCGTCGATACCGTAGCGGCAGATGAGCTGCGAAACGGTTCAGTCTGCTCGATGCAATTCGTGGGGACGTTGCGGGTAGGTGGTCCTTGGCAGCTCTACGGAGGCGAGTGCAGAACAATATGCGAGACAGCTGGGAGTGAGGAGACGTTCACCAAGGCCCGACGGTGGCTGTTCAAATCTACATAACTTATTAGCAGGCTGCGTTCGTCCCAGCATAAGCGCCCGCCTTAACGTACCTCCCCGCTGCAGCGTAGAAGATTAAGACTTGCGGTTAGGATTTCAGGCAGTGTATTGTGCACTCTTGAGGATTGCGCAAAAAGTTAGTGTCGGGAAGCCCAGATGCTCACGCAAATTCAATGGTATGGGCTGACCCACCGCGCCACCGCAGCCGGCGCTTCTCGTACTTACGCGCGCCGAATGCAATTGCAAACGTTCCTCCTCCTCCTCCTCTCTCGACTCTGCAGCCCCGCCGTCCGACCCTGCGGCTCGCCCATCGCTTGCCTTGCGATGTTACCATCATTACGAGGCCTAGGCGAGCGCGCTCCTTCACGCTCTGCTTGCTCGCTCGGTGTTACCTGCCCGTGCTGACTCGCCACTGGTACTGCGAACGGTCTCGCCCTATCACAACCACACAGAGTCAACACACTGTGGCAGGCACAGTCGACGAACAGGCGGCGGGCGCATGGCCGAAGGGCAGAAGGGGGCGAAGGGCTTACTGAGGGCGTGGCCGAGAGCGAGGGCGAGGTCGAGTGGATGGTAGGAAGGGCGGGCACAAGGGCAAGCAGCGGGGAGAAAGGCAAGCAGAGAGGAGGGCGAGAGGAGGGTGGTTGCAGGCGCAGGTGAGCAGTGACAAGTCAGAGACAAGATATTCTACCTCACGTTCCGCTCAGGCAATGAACTAAGACTCCCGACATCAGCTGGCCTCGAGCATCGCGGAGTTCACAGCGAACTACAAGACCACCGTGACCGCGTTCAGGGTGCTGCTCGAGCCGGTCATCACGAAAGTGCAGCTCGCGAACATCTGCGAGACGACTCGGAGCGTGCACTTCGAGACGGAGGTCGCGTTCTACGACGTGTCCCGCCCCCCATGAGCGAGTCGCGCGTCGTCGGGCTGCCAGCCTTCGAGTCAGCGACACTCCTTAGACTATCAAGCACCTCTCATCGCGACCGCTGCCAGTGCTGTTCCCGCACCTCCATCCCCGACGTCCTGAGTGTGCCCCTCACGGTCGTCGCCCCATGGGACGACGACGCGTAGTGGCTTGCCTTCGACCACTACACTGCAGCCCTTACTGTGTTTCCTCCGACACGATCATTGTAGACGCCGGCATCGCAGGCCGCCCACTCGCCCAGGCCCTTGCTTACTCCCAAGTGTCCTGCGCCCCTCCGGATGTTGCCTACCCCAACGCTCGCTCGCGGAGCCGAACCGCACCATCGGCGCGCTCCTCCAGCTCAGCGCCGTCGAGGCGCTGCGCAGGCTCGGCATGACCGTCTGTCTGGAGGACATCGACGACGCGCGAAGGAGGGTGTCTTCCAAGTCGGCGACTCGTGGAACATGCGGCATCCGCTTACAGGGCTGCATGACTGTTGCGTTCAATGGCGACGTCATCCTCCTGGACCTTCTGCGCGAAGTCAATGACTTTGGCCACTGGCTTGAGATTTCTGTACTGTATAGTGTATATCACTAGCTCTTCGGAATGTCAGTGTCATACCATGTACCTATTACTGACAATGCTGATCTCGCAGCGCGCGAGCAAGGGTCTCGTCGCCATCGGTAGCAGCACAACGAGTAATGAGTTGAACAACGAATACATTCACTTGGACAGGTCATTGACACCGTTGGTGCAGAACTTTCCATTGCAATGCAGACCCCACGTGTAGGTTTATGTGAACATTAGGTATAACACTGGCACACGAAAGCCAGTGGTAGAAAAAGACTCCCATCACATCTCCTCCATCGGCACACGACCAATAAGGGAACGAGCAGCCTCCACGCCATCAATCGTCGCTGGATGGCAATATACAAACTTGTTGATTACAGAAATCCATGGTGGATGCTTGATGTACCCAACCGTCTTCATGCGACATGCCTTGCACGACAACAGATACTGAGGTTCTGTCTTCTTCATCCGTGGATTGACGTCTGATTGTGTGCCCGTACAGTGTGGATTGGGGCAATAGAAAGGCACCCCCCACGGAAGCTCTGGACGACTTTGCATGTAGACGAGCTGTTGAACATTGCCCGTTTCTTCCCGCCACGTAAAGTGCACACCCACGTGCTTGAGAAATGCCGCATCACTGGTGAACGCAGCGATCACAGCCTTCTCCGGCTTGGTGTTCTCCACAAATACGGCCTTAATGAAGGCCAGCAATGGGAGGCTAACCTGCCGGGCAGCAAAGCTCTTCGATAAAAAGCCAAGCGCAAAGTCGAAGTAGTTGCTGCGCCAGTAGTCAGACCCGAAACTTGGCATTGACAAATGCAGCATACCGTTCCACAAGCTCTTTCAGGATGTACCGTTGCTCGGTTGGGGATGGAGACAGAGCTTGCCGCCAGCAGGACGAGCCCACGGCGACCCGGGATGGTGGGGAGCTTCTCATAGTACAAAGGTCCCAACAAGATTGGTAACAGCTGGGAACCAACACTCAATATATTTTAGAGAACAAAATGATATTGCACACACCACATTCACTGGCATCATGATAGACTCGCCACTTCCTCCCCTGCGGTAGGCTAGATGACCCATCTTTGGGTCATTGTGCGTTTCAATCGTGAGCAGTACTTTTGGCAAGAGATGTTCGTAGCTTTCCAGCCATTGATGAGCACTCCCTGTTGAGTGGGTCAAGTCGTGTCCCAGTCCCTCCGTAGTAAGCGGACCACTGTAGTGATAGAACTAAATTATTGAATGAGTACTGCTGAGAGCCAGAAATAAAGGATATACTGACCAGCCGATCGATCATACTATATTCCTTCTGTAACTGTATACTTGCAAGTGAGGCGAAGTCCGGCCGGTCAAAGTGGGCTGTGATGAGCAAGAGAGGTATAGCCATTCCAGCATTTTGAATGGCTGGAGATGCAAAGCTCGATACAGTGTACTAGACTAGAGAATGAGCACTTATCGGTATCAGCCTGAGGCGGTCAACACTACTGACATTCAGTTGCTCGCGTCGCCGGCATATCGGACACTTGAACTCGTCTGGATTGAAAGGTATATCCTGTTTGACCTTGATACAGTCCATTTCCTGCCCGAAGCACGCGGTGGCACCACATTCGTAGCAGGTAAGCATTTTTCCATCGTCCTGGCAGGTTTCCCCGCAGTAAACGCAGAGCTGGGTGACATGTGAGCAAAGAGTGGGATGGTGGAAAAAATATCCTCACAGGAATGGGGGTTTCTTTCTTGACAAGCCTTGAGGCTTCAAGGAGTCAGAATACTTCTTATGGGCTTATGTACCGTGCACGTACGATTCAGTTCACCGGGTCGGTTGACCGCGCTTTTCTTACGATGGCCACTGGCACGCTGCCGTGATGCAGCCCGGTGGAGAGGCGTCCCGGTTTTGACCATGAGCCAAAAGAGGGGGGAACGCAGAAATAGTAGACAACCCAAAGTGTATGGTACGCCGTACTACTAATACGGTACTACGCCTATGGTACGCCGGAAGGCCACAGTTCGATTTTGGACGCGGCTCGGCGCTATCCGCAGGATAGACGCCGGCCACCCACCGACGAGTTCAACTGAGTTCAAGAAAGCTAAAGACACTAACGGAGATTGCTGTGAGTCGTACATATATGTTGTTTGGAAAGCACTGATTGGGTGCTCGATATTTCACCCCTTCAGTTTTCGCCCTACAGGCATCATTTCGCATGCATCATACAACGGCCCGGCGTCTGCATAAATTTCGTTGTAGTGACTGTATTCATTCTTCATATTGGACATATAGATTCAGAAACGCTCTGCGACGTTGCCTGAGGTATCCGGAAAGATGAGCCAACTGATGTCGGTGACATGCGAGAAAGGGTCGTCGTTATGGGGCTGCTGACACGTAGCTCAGATTTCACTCGTTGACACAGTCTGAGTGTTCGCACTGCAACTTCGCCATAGATGGAGTACACTGCTTAGTATGTGTGGATGCTCCAATTGAACCAATTATTCCTGAGGCAAGGGTGACACGCTATCTTTGTCGTCGTCGGCATTGCAGCTAATTTCAGAACGATAGTCACTCTCGAACGCGCGCGACATATGATGACTAAGCGCTCCGCGCTTCGGGAGCCGTTCTTCTGCACCACTGCAACCTGCGCGAGATCTTCCACACACAGCGACCTGTCCAGGACCAGCCCCTCGCAACGACATACACGACACGATCCCGTGAGCAATCAGGTTGATGCGAACCAATAATTATGCAGAATGTGTCTGGTCAGCCTTGCTCTACAACACCACTGACATTCCAGTGAATCCCATGCCTTGCCAGTCGCGAGCCATGTAGAAAGAGTTCAACTATTCGGACTCTGCGAGAGTCATGGTAGCTCTACACTACTACTGTAAATGGTAGAGAGACAGGTCAATAATTCAGATTTCAGATCATATATCATCTGTTGTGTCTGCTCGCGCAAAATTGACAGGAGACGATGAACGACAGTGGTGCAGAAGAGCGGTGCGCGCCGCCTTCTTGAAGGTTGGAGCGCTTAGTCATCGTCTGTCGCGCGCGTTTGCAAGTGACTATCGTTCTGAAATTAGCTGTGACCCGCGCACCCTGTGGCTGATGAGTCCTGTACATATAAAACCATCCTCCGTACTCGCCTCTCTCGACGACTCACCGATATGGGCGGTGACATGATCGCGGAGTACGGCAGGCTTCTTGACTGCCCCTTCGTCGACCGCTGAACAGGCTATCATGGACGAGATCCACAGCTCGACAGCGCTCTTCTACTTCTTCACGGCCTTGCTAAGCGACGTACAACGATTGTGGTGGTCTGACCGCAGAGGCCTAATGTCCTGCTCGCGGAGCCTACCCCAGACCCAGGCACTACCATTGATCGCTGAGAAAGTCCGTGAAGCACATCCTGATGGTGCCATTATCAATGTTGCAGAGGACCACAATTTCGTATGGAAACATTCAACTCAGTGCGTTCCGGAGTCGCAACGGGGCAGCGTGAGGATAAATCAGCACACACCTTTGAACAACCATAATCGGCGCTCGACGGTTCAAACGTTCAAGCTCATGATGAAGTGACTGGCGAACTGCATGGTACTCGTGGTCTGCATTGTCCCGCTGCGGGTTGTCGCTCTCAACGCCTATAGGTAAACGATGTACACCCGCTAGCTGAAAGCGACGGTGCACGTAAACAAACTGAAAACCCCCTCTCCATTGACTGCACGCACCGGCCTAGGAATTCAAGCCGCCCCGATCATGATCGAGTTGGAACGCAGGCAGCTGATCGCTCGCATGGGTTCAATCGTCAACTCAGACATCAGATACAAACAGAAACTCATTCCTTTTCGTATCGACGTCACAAGAAAACATAAATACACCACTACCCCGACACTCAATTTGTTTGCGCTCCCACAGCCTGCCAACTCTGCATCAGCAACGCGACACGAAGGCCACAGAGTCAGACGACACTCACCAAACGCTTGAGATGCTCCATGAACACTTGCAAGCTAACGTCGTCCGTGAAGATGGCCTGCCCAGCGCTAGCGCCCGCAGCCGTGCCGTACATACTCGTCGACATGTGCGTCGTGGAGGGGTTGAGCTTCGACAGCAGGAACCGTGCCTGACTGCCACCCTGGTCACAGACGATGTACCGCGGGATGGGGAACCGGTCCGCGAGGAGTTCCTAGTTTCCCCGATGTCAGATTATTAGAACATGTCCAACGTGAAAGAAAATCGTACCTGGGCATCAGCGACGGGAGCCTCGAGCAGCTCCTTGAAGTTTTCATAGCCTTCTTGTTCCTGGTAGCCGGCCTTGCGCCACTGCGCGATCGTCTCGCCGTGGAAGATGAGGATGTGGAAGAAGGTGTCGAGGAGGAGGATGACGTCTGGCTTGATGGACACGCTGTCGAGCAGCACGGGTTGAGGAGGCGTGTCAAACGTGTACGACATGAGCGTGGGCTGGATCATAATGAGAGAGCTGTTGACATCCTCCTCGTTAAGGATATGTCTGGACGAGCCGTCAGCGCACAGTCAAACCCATCACGCCGGGATGACGCACCTGTAGAAGGCAGTCTCGTCAGGACTGTTGTTGAACACTTGCAAGAACTGGCTTCGCCGGAGGTGGAACATGAACTGCGGGTAGATGCTGAAGTTGTCCGACAGGCGGAATGTGGTCGGGTCCTCCTTCCTGTAGTCCGCGAACTTCTGGCACAGCCGGATGAGCATGCGGTCTAGCCACCTCAGCACGTCAGGCGAGTCGTCGATCTCTGCCTTAAACACGGCGATCCGCGCCATAAGCACCGCGGCCGCCTCCTGGTCAAACGACGCCGCGATGCTCGGCGATCCCGCCTCTGCGAAGTTCCGCGCGATCGTCGTCACCCGCAGACGGAGTTGGCCGGACGAGTGCTGGTAGTGTGTCACGAACTGGATGAGACCGCGCGAGCCTGGCTGCAGCGGCTGCCCAGCTGGCGTGACCACCTCGAAGTAGACCCCTGCTGAAGTGCGCGGTGTGATGGAGTTGATCTTCCACGCCGAGGTCTGGCCGATACCGATCTCCGTCTCGCCGACGCATGCGGACTTCTTCCCGGCTGAGATCGCGTGACCAATCAGTCCGGACACCTTAGCTCCTTCGTCGTCTGTACATCGAACGTCGCGTTGAAGCCCATCTCGAGATTGCCGGCATCGTCCTTATTGAAGACGCGCAGGAAGCTCTGCTTGAATATCGACGTTGCGAACGAGTCTGACAGCACAATTACACCGTTCGTAGAGTTTGGCAAGGACTTCATCTCGAGCAGACCGACTTGGTCCAGGCAGCCGGCGAACAGGTCGATGACATGCCCGTTGTTGGACGCCCGCTTGGCGAGACCTTCGTAGAACTACACAAGGTTCAGTTGCTGGTGACTGAACAGTAGCGTTCGCATACCTTCACGGCTCGCTTGTAGTGCTTGGCGCTGTCCCGGTCAATATCGTGGTGCGACCGAATCGGCTCCTTCAGCTCGTTGTTCACGACCATACCTGGGCCCTCCGAAGCAGATCCGCCCGAGAACACCATCATGCGCGCTCCGGTGTTCGGGAAGGACGTCTGAGAATGCTCTATAAGCCAATGCGTTCTCGCAGATATAGCACTACTTACCTCCAAGAGTCCCACCGCAACCGAGACCGCAACACCAGTGCAGCGCAGCGGCCGCTTTCCAGCGGCGACCGGCCATGGGTCTTGGCCGAGGCTCTCCAAAATGCCGGTCAACTGGAACTCGCACTGCGAGACGGGAAGGAGGAAGCGCGCTGCGCCGAAGGCCTGCATAGGTTGCCCTGGGCGAGGGGCTGCCCTGTTCTGCGAGCTCAGGCCGAGCATGTCCTGGATCTGCTTCGGGGTGTACTCTTTGCCTCCACGGAACACGTATGACTTGTTGCACTCAGCGTAGCCGAGCTCATGTACTTGTGCCTGAAAGCGCTCTCAGACGTGCATTTGGCGTAGGTCTCGAGACACGCACCATCGTTCCATACGTGATCAGACCGACTAGCGCGTACGGCGGGAGCAAGCTCAAACTAACGATGATTGCATCGCGGAGTGCCTTCAGCTCTTCTGGCTCCTCAAAGCAGGTGTCCACTACGAAGAGGAATATAGGCGGGACTTGAGCAGGCCGGGAAAGCGTGTACTCGATCGTGGTGTATTTTGGTAGCAACTCGGCAGGGAGATTCGTGTTGGAGATGTCCTTGTAATGAGGAGGGAAAGCGTTCCGCTGCAAGCAGAAGGGGCAGATCCACAGCTTCCCGCGAATATCAATCTGGCTGCAGTCCGGTTATCGGTACTTGAACGTCAGACAGTTGCATATGACGCGTACCAGTAAGGATTGAGCACGGCGCGACATGGTGGCTTGCAGGTGACCGGCTCGTACAAGACGGGAGGCAGATCTTCGCGCACTTTGAGAGGTACGTACAATGCAGAGATGGGTACGACTGTGCGCGTCGCTTCGATCCTCGACGACGGCCAGACGTTCCATGACAGACGCACGCCTGCACAGCTTCATCAGGAACCAGCGCACATGAGATGTTATTTGCGGCTCACCGTCGCGCTCCTCTACGTCCTCGAAATTAAGCATCGTGGTTGGGAATATTAGGTCGACTCGTCAACTATATGCTTTGTGCCGTGTTCTTGCCGTCGACGTGTCCTGTATGTTATTGTTTGTCTTCCGCGACGCCGGCAGAAGGAGCGTCTTTGCAGGCGTAGAGATCTTTGGTCATTCAGGTGAGTCTTCGCTTTACACGCGACATCGGTTCGACGTACCTACGAAGACTGAGGAGGTGGAGGTCGGTGGACTGGCGGTGCAGGCCGTGCGATGGGTCTGACGCCGAGTGCCCAATATGGAAGGCGGCCAAACACACGCTCGGTCACGGTGGGGACTCGGACAAGCGGGAGACCTGGTCCCAACCTGGTCCTCAACACCGCTCACGACGTCTGCAACTCAAGTATCCTTGATTAGCACTTTTGCCTAGGACTTGATATTGTGTTCTGCAATGTTTCATGCGGGTATACGACACAGAGTTCGCTCTTTTGCGCTCAGTCTGAGCTTTCTCGGTGCGGCAACTGTCCGACACTCGTCGACTGCATACCTTCTCCGGACACCGCCCTCCTCTGCTCCCCGCGAAGTTCCTACCCCCTTAGTCTTTGTGTCCTCGAGCTCCTGGGACCCTCACTCGAAAACTGGGTGAGCCGCCTTGCTGCTGCATAGCTCAGCCACGCCTCACGACGCTCAAACACGACTGCAGGTTCGGCTCGCTGGCAACCATGCTCACAGCGCGCGGGTTCACCTGTCTGGAGATTGACTTAGCTCCGCCGGAGAGAGCTGATACATCGGATGCACTTATGCGGCACTTCGAGGCAGGTCAGTGCTCGGCGTACATTGTTTGAATGTCATCTTTCCGGTTACCTGGTGGGTCGGCGCAACATACTTGGTCCCTGGAGAGTCTCTTGTCGTCGATCAACTATGCTCTGTGTACAGGATGTTATAGAACCTTCGACCGATGCAAGCGCATCGCGGTCCGACCTCAATTGTCGCAGGGAGCGCTACAGATGGTCGACGTCGCCCCATGTCACAGCGTCGTCGGCGCTGCACTGCTTGGCAGTGGGCAGGGTCGAGCTGTGTGGCCTTCCGATCTGAGCCGACTGCAGATGCTATACTCATCCTCTTGCAGAGCTGTCCTCGCACATCCGTCTCACGATGATCCCGTTCGCACCCATCATCTTCGCCAGGGGTTCGGGTGCATTAATCGCACAAACATACATCTCTTCTCACCCAGCCTCCGGCCTGCTACTCATCTCGCCGCCGGTCTCCAACGCCACACTCAAGTCATCGTCAGAGGCAGACGGCAACGCGCCCTTGCCGACCGCCCTCCCGGAATTCAATTTCGAGCCTAGGTTCCCGTGCGCCATCCTGTGCACACAGCAAGAAACTAAGGCGCTCGCCGAGAACAGGCTATGGAAAGACGAGAACGTCAGCAAGCTGATCGCAAGGAACGAGCAAACCCTGGATGGTCAAGAAGGTTTCGTCAAGATTGAGCAGTGGCTGGATGAGGTTGGCGTGTGATGTTACGGCGAGGATGGACGATGCATTGCGATGCCCGAAGCTTCGTGTGTGCATGTGATATATGAACTCTACCCACATAAGCTCCGTGTTCAATCAGCATCTAACGAAGATGACCTCTGCATACTAGATCCGCGTGTGACAGAATGCCTGCTGAGACTGGCAGATAGATGCGAACATATTCACCCTCGATCTGCCCTCACTACGAGTGCTACACTACGAGTGCTACACGGTCACGGATTCGAGCATCGCTCAACTCCCTGTTAATACTACACCCATACTAAAGGCATTCCTAACGACATCTATCTGGCGGTAAGTAGCCGAACTTTACAACAGACATGCAGATTGACACTTGACTGACTGTAGCTTCAAGCAGGATCCCGACAGTACGTGCCGTTCCATGGAATAGGCTGCCGTTGCTCCTCGTTATGATGGAGGGCGTTCTAGGGTGTTCAACATCCTCTTACTTTCGCACCACTCAACATGGCCTAGACCCCTCGACGTCGACCGAACAACAGATCTTGGGGTCTCTGTCACGTTTGCCGAATTTGAAGAGGGAGCTGGCGACTCCGGGACCCCGCACAGGAAATACGAAATGTCGGCAGTGTTGTCCTCGGCCGGGCAGTTGCGATTCCTAATGCCACGAAACACCGCAGAATCAACGTTCACTGCATCCTCAAGACGTCGCGAGATTCGGTGACAGGAGCGGTGGCCGACCTCATAGACTCCGATTCAGTGCCATTGCGACTTCTGAGCGACTCAGCATCTCCATAGCATTCGTGATATCAGTATCAAGGTACTTACGTTGTGTCAGAGAAAATGACCGCCTGAGTCCTTGCGTCGCCGAGAACACGTACTAGTCAAAAACACGCAGCTAGTGAGCAGTCCAATGACTATGACGAGCTGTGCATGATCATTCTTTGGGCCCAAACGTTCACTGGGCCATTCGAATGAGGTGACAAAGTGGCCTTCATCATTTTGGCGTACGTCGAGAGTGCTGTCGCACAGGTGAGCCACGTCCTCGATTACCAAATCGACCAGCCATGCGAGACTGAGAGTACAGCATTCGCTTGACAGATCCTTGATGGTGGATGTGGCGTCAAGTGAGGCGAACGGCCGCCAACCATCTGGAGTACTGGTAAGCACCGTGTGTTCTCACGTAAAGGGCGGAGTATGAGTCCATGTGTGGTTGTGTCCTCATACAGAAGGTGCCATTCGCCACAGTGAGTTATCACCGCCATAACGCCTGCATGCAAGCGGTGCAGAGCGCATGAATGGATGTAGAGCGATACACCTCTTAACTTTCAGCGATCTGTGGGAGGCCTCTGTTGAGTGAAGAACCGTCAGCTTCCTGAACATCACCAGTGCCGCGTACTCACGGACGAAGAGACACGATGACAGTACGCCCTTCAGAACACCTGTATTTCCGGATTGGACCAAAATCCGGATACCCATCTGAAGCTGTGCCGCCGTCTACGCCGAAGGTCAGAGTTTCTCGTTCATCACGATGGTCCACAGGGAATCGGGAGTCTGGCTGCTATTCCAGTCGCCAGCCGCCAGTCTTCGTGGTCCCTGTGGTCCATCGGTGTTGCAGGTCATGATCCGTTCCACCGGCTCCTAGTATATGTGCGCGCGGGAACGAAGCTCAGTCATCGTCTTGATGACCAGTGACAGTCTTACTGTCGACGCCCGTTCACCTTCTGTACTGCAGTGAGTGACAGTCGTGCGATGCGTATGTTGATGTACTGAATTGCGATAACGCCCACTCCGCAGAGCAGCCAATATATTCACTGATTCATGTCAAGTAATGTCATCTCCAAGCTATATCCAGTTGGCGCGTCGGATCCAAGACTCGTTTATGAGCCTGCGGACGCTTGGGGTTCGTTCTGTAGTAACGGTGACTTGGGCACGCGAACAGCGGGGTCTAGCGTCACGTTCACATTCAACGGTGAGCTGTCATATTTGGATTGCAGACATTCCACGGCTTCGGATACTGACTCTCACGTTTAGGTACCTTTGTCGAAGTCTACGGTTCGTCAGGCTCAGCGAAGACTAGCGCGTCATTCGTTTTGGACGGTCAACAGGCTGTCGACTACACTAGCTCCGGAGCCAGCTCGCAGGCTCTACCACTCTACCATTCGTCCACCCTCATTTACAGCCAACATACGCTCAAAGTAACGGTACAGGGTGACGACCCATCGCTTTGCCTTCAACAGTTGCAGTATACCGGCACACTAGACCCAGCAGCTCCTTCGACCTCCTCGGCTCCGGAACCAACGAACACTCAATCACTCGACAGTTCTCCCACTACGGCTACCTCAGTCTCCAACCACCTCCCAGCGGGGACGATATGTGGGATCGTGATAGGCAGCATCGTCGTCTTGCTCCTTGTCATCTTCACCATCTTGTACGCCCGTGGCTGGCTACCCCGTTGTTGTGGGCGAGGCAGGTGTCCCTCCAAGGAGAACGAGTGGACATCGTCTTGATGGTCAGTTCTCCCTTGGCAACTCAAGTCATCGCTGACTGACGAGCATTCACAGATATGCCCAAGTCGCCTCCTCCCCCGGTGGGCATGGATGCATTCCGGAAACTGCTGCTGCAGCGCGCCCAGAAGGCGACCATGACACGTCTCGCCTCCGGCCCGAACTCGAAGAAGAGTTCGTCAAACGGGACTCGGTCAACCGCCATCTTCTCCTCCGTCGTCATACTCACGCCCCTGTGTCATCCTCCGGAGGAAGTCGTGGTCGCTCAGAAAGACTGCAGAGACCGGAGCGACCACAGACAACTTGGCCGTCTACACCGACTTTGCATGTCGCCAACCAAGTCCAGAGTCCGTAACCACAATCTTTGACTCAGACATGGTTTCATCTTGATTTATCTTCGCGCGGACAATAGTATCACTCGGACTCCGGGAGAGGGTTTGTATACATTAGAAGCACTGTAATTCTTGAATCCCAACATATTTTACTGAGATAGTACGGCTAACCCTACGAGTCTACGAATGAGATGGCCAACGGCAATAGCCGATTGCTCATCGCGCGCAGATCCGAATCGAGCCAGCGTTCCAGTTCGCACTTGGTGCGAACTTCGCCACTCGTACTTCGTTCCATCATCCACTCATGGGTCACCGGTCATCATTGGGTGGCTTTGAATCTCGTGGGTCTACTCCGTAAAGACGCTGTGTGGAATGAAGTAAGGCCCGGAATGATGTTGTGGATGCGAGCTATTCAAGTTCTCGTCAATTCGCGATGGTACTCCAAGGAAACCGTCAAGTTGGTGTAAGATCTCTTCCGTGAGAACATATAATGGTTGATCCTGCGCTATAGGTGACATCGGGATAACGGACACAGGGATGTCCTTACGCTCCATGTTCTGTCAGTATTTTATCAAGTGACGAAGGTTCTTGACCTTGGTCGCAGTCATTCGCCACCGTACACTCCTCAAGGGGACATGCCATAGATAGTCTTGATGTACAGCTGGCGCTCCGGGAAACGCTTAGAGATTGAGAGACGTCGTGAGAATGAATCAGCGCCGTCCAACATTGTGACGGTCAACAGTCAGTGTGAGACATGGGCTATAGGTGAGTGTTCGGCTTCGACTCTGATCCCTTTACGTTGCTATCTTCTTAGAACACCTACTTCTGCCGCAAAAGCGGTCGGGTATACCAGACGACGGAAGTGGCAGGCAAATGCATGTGCTGAAGACGCAGCTCTGTATGTTTGGCACCTTGAACCGCCCGCGCGTGGTACAGCCAGCATAAACGTAGAAAATATGACTATGATGACAGAGGACAGATGCACACACAGCCACAAATGTTCGACGTCTTTCGTTACTCATAGGGGGAGCGTACTCAGGCAGCATCATGATGCGATCCCGTCGAGGTCGGCTCACGTCGTACCAGGTCAGAGGATTGTGAGATACATGATGCTCTACTTAAACCGGATGATGCTGGATGCTCAACTTGGGAAACTCTCCCAACGCTGCTCGTGTCTGTTGATTGTTTTCCCTTGGCTGCAGCGGAGCTGCCACCATGTCGCAGGCCGACTTCACTTCAGCCGACGCTGCGCAGGTCGCGGCCATATTTCAAGATATGTGGGTCTCCAAATCTTTATAGATACGATTTGTACTCATCCAGATCCGCATCTCACAGGCTGCTGGCTAACTTCTGCGGCGTAGCCGCTACCAGTGAGCGAAACAATTAAACGTCGACGTGTATCGCTCATGTTCTTCCTCACAGCACTCCTTTTCTACGATTACGTGCTCATGTTTTCTCGCGAAGTACGTTGTATTTGGCACCGTCGGTTCTCTGGAGCTACAATTCTTTTCCTCTTGAATCGATACTTGACTCTGGTATATCGCGTCCTCATGACGGTCGAGACATTCCCGTTGGGGAGGAACCCGGCCACTGGTCAAGCGGTAGGGAATCTCTTAGCAAATGATCTCCGGTAGCTTACACTGTTACTCATCACAGATGTATGGACACTTATTTAGAGAGTGCTTCCCGATTATTGATGCTGTTTGCGCAGTTGCACAGGAGTCCTTCGCACCACCCAGGTCTTGTCAATGGTGACATCTTTGGTCACAGCAGGTATGTAATGTCTATCAACATATCGCATGATCTGAATGGTCAACAGTCTTTACATCATTGCGCATGTACGCCATCTGGTGTAAGGATTGCAGGATATTCGCTGGGGTATTGTTTCTCGGATTGGTCCCCATCGGCGTTAACATGGTGCGGCTGTTTGCCACGTTTCAATGCCGACACAACTCATTGACGTCACGGCAGTTCTACTACACGAAGGTAGCTTTCGTCGTAGCCCCTCCTCCTCTTGTTGGCTGTGCCGATTTGGTCAATATGACTTCTAGTGCTAGTGAAACGTACGTCCTTCATCTGTCATGGACGTCTCCCTGGCTTAACGAATGGCAGACGTAAGCAACTCAAGCGCACGGTGCTGCTCAGAGGCGTACCTTCTGATGTTTACTATGCACAGTCGGCATATTCAACTGTTCATTCGCCATCTCTGCGGACGCCATTGTTCTGATTCTCACTTGCGTGAAGACGCTCGAGATCAAGCGCTCCTTCGCCGCTATTGGGACAAGAGCGAAGGACAGTTTGGAGACGCTGGTGCAATCTCGCGAACTGTCTTATGTATCTCTGATACAACGAGACGGTATGTCAACCTTGCGTCGTGAAGCTCTTTGTCCTTTTCACTGACCGTATGCAGGAACAATTTACTTCCTGTGAATATTGTCTGTGCTTGTCGTCGACTGTGCACTGATGCTGTACCAGTGCTCTGTTGATTCTCAATGTAGTGGATTTGGTCGCGATAAAGAATCAGGTTATTTCACTTCCAACTACCCTCCCATTGATTACATATCTGACACCTTCGAAGACTTTTGGGTCTTTACCTGCCCTCACAGAGGTGTAAGTACATCCACCACGCGATGCACGATGACGTGGCTCAATGGACGCGTTGACGACCTAGATTAACATCGATCCTCATCTCCCGCTTCCTCCTCGACCTGCGCAGCGTATACCTGTCAAGTCGTGGGATGGATAGTAACAAGGAAGGCTCGTCAACCGATTCGCACTTGTCGTCTATCCTTTTCGCGAGACATAGCGTCGCTGGAAATCTCGGAGCTCCCCTCGAGGCTATGGTGTACAATCCCGAGGAAAGCTACGAGCAAGTCGCTGCCGAGGAAATTGCATATGTCGCGGCGGACCCGTTGGCCATGGGGCTGCATTCATCTCCCGGGGACGATCACGACTACCATGATGATTGTGATACGGACTTACGTCCGCTGAAAGAGTAAGTTCAATCTCCTGCGAATGTCTCGGGATGTTCTATAACCAATCTGCGCATAGGTTGTACGATGTCCCTGTATGATGCCCAGAACGTACATACGCTTGCGACGGACATTCAGCATGCCGAGGAAGAGCCGGCGAGCAAATGTAGCAAGTCATTTCATCCATGGCGAGACTGTCCAATTACTGTGGATGGTCTTACCCTGACACAAAGCTGAAGATTCGAAGCCGATCGCCTTGCAAAAGGCAACAATCTACGTTTGGTAGCGACGCGCTTGGCCACTCTTCGGTAGGGTCGGTCTGTACGCATGACGAAGAATAGCAGATGAAGTGGAATTGCGCCAATGAATTCATCGCGAAGGTCAGTGTGGTCTCACGAAGGCATTGTACATCTTTGCAGTACTGGTGTTACATGTCCCACATTCGCCGCCGAGCAACTCGAGCGCTACTCGCCGGGAAGGGCGACAGTCAAGCGCATGATATCGTCCCATCTAGTGTCATCCTTCCAGCCCGCACACCCATCCTTGAGAGCAAACACCCTCTTCATGTTCCTGGCTTCATTGCTGCTACCAGCTTCGATAGCGGCTCTTTGAGCGTTGACCGCATCGAGCCATCCAAGGACGACGGGGATTTCAGATTGCTCTAGCAGCGCCTCGCGATAGGCCCAAATGACGCGGTCAAGCCCATGACTGACATAGCCTGGTCAGATCAGAACATTTCTTCAGTAAAGGTCGGGGATCAGTACAAAAACCAGCAGGCTCTTACCTCCAGAGCGCAGCACGCGCGCAGGCAGCCACCCAATTTCATAGCGCAGTACCGGGTATCCCGCGTTGATGAGGTCCCTTGCGAGCAGCCTCGTCGGTAGGTGCGCCTGCCCGTCCGACAGCACCCTACCCATGAACTTAAACAGCGCATCCGGGGTATCATCCGGGCGCTCATAGCACTGGAGCATTCGCGTCACGATGTCGCTCGGGTAGTACTTGCGAAGGTTCAGTTCGACGTCCGCGTAGCTGTGAACGCGGTGCGTCATCCCATACACGAACCACTCCTCCGTGAGGTCCCCGACGATGACACTCCGCACACCCTTCTCGCGAAGCCCGCGCGCGAGGCCGCCGGAGCGTTGCCAGGTCATCGGGTCGGGATCGCTCCTGAGCCAGACACCGTCGGTCGTGGCCCGGAAAGTGTCGAACTCGGGGCCTACCTGACCGTTCTCGATGACACTAGTGATCTTGCTTGTGGGCAGCGCCTCGGTGTCCCTCAGCTGGAGAATGATGGAGGATGTGTACGGCTTTAGGCCGACCGCGGCGCAGAATGCCTCGAATTGCGGACGTAGCTCGGTGCGTGACTTAGGGCTGTTCCTGAGCTCGGTTGATCATGAATTGGTGTATAATGCGCGCCAAAGCCGATATGAATACTCACATCATCCCATTTGATTGTATGATGACGGATTGAAAAGGCGCTTGTTCGCCTTCAGGAAGACGGGAAGCGTGGTGCAAAATCTGGTGCACCGAGTGCCCACCCGCGGACAGCCCCGTGAGCTGGATGTCCGTAGGATCACCTTGCAAGCGCAACTCAGCTTCTTCACATCACGCAAAACAGTTGACAAACTGCACATACCTCCGAACTTGTCAATGTTGTCTCGAACCCACAGGAGCCCGAGCCATTGATCCTTGAATCCGTAATTGCCCTCCACCTTTGGCCATTCACCACAAGCGAGGAAGCCGAAGACTGAGACACGATAGCCTATGTTGACCCACACCTCCGATCGTGCGGCAGCGATATGCTGCGCCTGTGAGTTGATCTCGTGCGGAGAGCCGATCTGCAGGAAGCTAGCATCCGAGTTTCACCACTCCGAGTCAGCTCGCGCCAGATACAGTTAAATGATATACAGACCCGCCGTGGATGTATATTCTGACGGGATACTTGCGGTCTGAGCCTGGCGAGAAATCAGGTGGACATACGATGTTGACGAACAAGCTGCACGACGATGTCAGTTCGAGATGATGCGTCGTGAAGCCATGCGTACGGGTTCTCGGTGGGCATGCCCAGGCCAACTATGTTCTCATATGGTGTCCCCGCAATAAGCTGGTCATTTCTAGGTTGGGCACAATCTATGAAGCGGTGAAGGTCAATATGGATAAAAGATCACTGTATCACTTACAGCTGGCTTCATATATGTACTCCTTGTTTTCGTAGCGATAATTGTCCTGCAATGGCCGGGGATTTTCGAAGCGCACAGGAGGTAAGGCGTAGGGCACCTCTGTGGAAATGACATGCACTTAAGTAACGTACCAGAACGCGGTCGACCGCTGGGAGAGTGGACTTACCCAGGAATGCCACAGCACCGGTGCTTGCACGACCACCGATGATTGGACCGTACTTCGTCTGAACTGTAATGCGCTCTGTGTTGGCCAAGAGTTCTTCCTGAAGGTGGCTCTGGGCAGTCTGGGCGTGGTATTTACGCCAACTACGGGCGGATACCGTAGGATTGAAATCAGGAGCAGCCATGATCGGTTTCAATGAGCACGTCGTGCGGAGCGGATGAGCGCAAGGGCACGGTATCTTCAGGTAACGAGTCTGCGAGATGTCCGACAGTCACACTCGAGCAGTGTGATAGTATTGGCCTGGGTGTTCTAACGTCAAGTTATATAGGTCGTGGTCGAATACATGCACGTGCGAATATCTACGCAGTAATTTGTCGTCTGAACGAGGAGAAACTCGTGGCGCAAGGGTAACTGTATCAGATGACAGGTTGGTGAAGGATCATGTACGTACTATGGCAGGGTCCATAGGCGCATAGTGGTAGCACCAAGACCACAAGGCAGAAGGGATTACTCCCTAGGAGCGCGTAGTGCACTGAATTGTGTCGGTCCGACTAACAACCCTGAGCTCGCTGCTCTTGCAAAAATGGTTGACGAAGGTAGACGACGCAGCATTGCTGGAGTTCTTGTACCCGTGTACGCACCTTTCAGTACAGCTGCTTGTTGCAAACCCCTCGGAGACACCTTCAACGACATGGTCGAAAACAGTTATTGACAGCCCTGGACTCCATGCGCCTGGAAATACGCGGCAACCCTGGCTGTCAACAACACGTACAGCAGAAGCAGATGCTCAGCCTACTCTGTATTCGCGAGACACGTTGCTATGTCGAATAAGCAGGTCTCCTTCAAAATACAGAAGATTGTCTCACGAGTAGGGAACAGACGTACCATTGAGAACATTTGCTCCGTCTTGCTCGCTTTCGGCTTATGGATTTCAACCCAGCTGACCCGTCTTCTTCGGGGCCTGGCACATTTGGTACTCTGGTGCTCGGGACACGCTTGAGGCTTGATTACTGTGAATCACGATGTAGACAATGGGTAGTTCACGAACACATGTGTCGGTTGAATGGCAAGGCAGCGAGATGCACGCACACTCGTGTGTTCATATTGGTCGTCCTCTCGAACGGAGGTCCCAATTCTGAATCAATTCAGTGCAATCGACTTTCGCACGCCTGAAGTCACAAACGCGCATGTCACACGCACGAGACTGTGACATGAACAATCCGCCTCATTCAAATTGATTCTGAATGGAACAGGTTCACTACGAATACAGGTATACTACATTCATGCACTTTACTGTCGCGACACAATTCGCAGACGACGCTCACTGCTCGCCAGGGAGGACGGAAGCCAGATGCATGAGCTCGTCCCACCTTTCGTCGTCCTTCCAGCCCACGGTCTTGTCCGCTTTCAAGGCGTACACCTTCTTCATGTTCTTCGCGGTGACGTTCAGGCCGGCTTGGAGCGACTTCACCTCGGCGTCAATGGAGTCGAGCCACAGCTTCACGGTTGCGATCTGCGAGAGCTTCATCAATGGCAGACGGTACGCCCAGAAGACACGGTCGGTGCCGTGGGACACGTAGCCTATCGCTCACGCTCAGCACGGTGAGACAGCAGGGAGAAAGACTACTCACCGCCCGTCATTGCCGACAGCTGCTCGGGCACCCAGCCAATCTCGTACCGCAGTATGGGGTAGCCAGCGTGATCAAGTCCCTTGCCAGGATCCGCAGAGGGATGTAGACCTGCGCGTCCGAGAGCGCCGTGCCCATGAACTTGGTGACCTGCGCCTGGGTGGGGTTGTCCGGCAGGGCCGGGTAGCACGCGAAGAGCTTCTGGGTCACGTCAGCGGAGAAGTACCGCTCCATATTGACCACGCAGTCGGCCATAGTGGTGATGCCGGGGTGGATGATCCCGTAGACATACCACTCCTCCGTGAGGTTGCCCATGATGATGTACTGCACGCCTTTGTCTTTCAGGCCCCGCGCGAGGTTGCCCGAGCGCTGCCACTCCATCATCTCGGGCGGGGGCGACACCCACACGCCGTCGATGGTGTCGCGGAACGTGTCGTACGGAGCAGGAACCGACCCGTTCAGAAGAACCTTCATGAACGCTTCCGCTGGAAACTTGGTGGTGTCGCGCAGGTCCGAAAGCGCGGTAGGCGAAGAGGGGTCCAGGCCGAGAGCCTTGCAAACAGCCTCGAATTGCAGGCGATGGTCAGCCTTGGTGCTCGGCGTCGTCCTGTACGGCTAGTCAGTCCCTGGGCTAGCACCGAAAAATGGGATCAAACTCACAGAATCGCGTTAGATTGAAGGAAAGCGGACTGGAAAGGTGCCTTCTGGCCGTCGGGAAGTTGCGATGCATGGTGCAATATCTGGTGAACCGAATGGGCACCTGCAGAGTCTCCGGCAATCTGGATGTTGGTAGGATCACCTATCAATAACGATGAGCCGCCTCACTTGCATGGCGATGACGAAGAATGTTTACCCCCGAACTTGTCAATATTGTCGTGCACCCACAAGAGTGCCTGCCACTGGTCCTTGAAACCATAGTTGCCAGAGATGTCCGGGGTGTCGCTTGCGAGGAAACCAAGGATGGAGACACGGTAACCGATGTTCACGACGACTTGTGTCTTCTCGGCAGCCCAGTACTGAGCCTGCGAGTTCAGTTCATGGGGAGAACCAGTTTGCAGGAATCTGCTACGTCTCTTGAGTTTCATGTGCATCGTGCATATCGAAGGGGACTAACCCGCCGTGAATGTAAACCAACACAGGGTACTTGAACGGCGAATTCGGCGAGAACTGAGGTGGGCAGACAACGTTGAGGAACAGCCTAAACCCTGCATGAGCCTCCCGTAGTGGCAGTAGATTGGGCTATTGTACGTACGGATTCTCAGTGGGCTTGCCTAAGCCGACCAGTTCCGGGAGGTTGACGCCTTTTCCGACTATGAGCTACACGTCGATGAGTGCGTCCAAGTACTAAATACCTACCAGGGACGTCAGGGAGCGGCTGCGCGCAGTCTGCAAATAATAATCAATCCAACGTTCGCCTTGCACGACTCTAACGCGACTCACAAGCACTTTCGTAAATGTAGACTTTGTTCTCATAGCGGTGGTCGCGGGCAGAGGCTGCGGATCCTGCCACCTGCCCGTATAGAGTGCATACGGGATCTCTAGAGACGATCGTGCGATCGTCAGTCGGATTCATAAATGCCGAACGAAAAGAACAGAACCTCACCCAAGAAAGCAGGTGCACCGTTTGTGGCGCGCCACCAGTAATGGGGCCGTACTTGGTGTTGACCACCAACTGCTCGGAGTGCGCCGCGAGCTGAGTCTCGAGTTGGTCGTCGGGCACGCAGGGATTGAAGCTCTTGGAATCGGTGGTGGAAGACATGCTCAGAGTTTATAAGTGGGGAGCGGTTAGCAATTCGACGAGGGCAGCTACTACTCGAGCGGTAGAAAGGAGAGTCTGGTCTGCAGCGTCGCACGATGCAAGTATTTATGCAGTCTTGAGTTCAAGGACGCGCGGCATGCAGTTCTATGCATCCGTGTCCACCAGATGGCCGCGGTAACCCTACCCAACAAATGTTGAGAGTCCACCGAGCATACAGCAATGGAACTGGAGTATTTGGGAAGCGAACAGTCGAAGTTGGTGAATGGCGCATATTCGATGACCGCAGTCAAGGTTCTAGGCATTTTGTCACTGTCTGGTGGGTGTCCGTTGACGTTCGATTCGCCACAGTCGGCATACGATTGTTAGGACGATTGCCTAGAATGGAGCAGATATGCTGGGGGCACTTGAGCTTGATATGCTAGGCCAGGCGCACATCGCCCCATGGCGCCTTTTTCCATCATCAGCGGTCATTGAGGCGTGCCGCTTATGTCTGCAAGACATCAGATATCGTGGATGCATGAACAGGTCGTATGATGCGGAGGCGTACATTGGAAGTCGGAAGTCGGGTACAACTGGGCCTGCTCGGCTCGATGCTCTGAGGGAGACAGGCAGCCATTGGTACCGTCCCGATGCGGATTGGCTAATGCACGGCACGATCGTGTCTCGACCGTTGACATCCTCTTCCAAAGTTGAGACTTCGCTGCCATCCTCAGCTGGAAGCTCTTGAGCTGCAACGGCATAGAAGTGCTTTCGCCAACGTGTTCAATCGTCAGATGAGCACGCCCATGATGTTGCGAGATATCAGGTATTGGAGGGACTCATCATAGGCTGGTCATCCAGATCGCCAGTCTAGCGCGGCAAAACCTAGAGTAGTATGCGCATTACCCTCTCGACCAATCTGAGCGCGATGAGCGCTGGGCGTCGTAAACCGGTGTGTATGCAGTCATTCATCTATGTAGATTTGTCTGGATCTTTAATTTTTACGGTCGGCAGTTTCTATCGTCCGCTCAAGGCACTTTCAGCGCATCGGTCAAATTACCTGTACACTGCCTGCGGTCATCAGACAGGCGACAGAGAACATGAGTGGAATGCATGCAGTCACTTAACTGCTAACCGTCATGCCCTCTTCCTGCGCCGCATTGATTCCGCGGACACCTTCGGTCGTTTGATCCAACCGCGATCCGTCGGTTCCTACTGATTCATATACAGAGCACTCACTGCTCGAGTAAGTACCTCATCACCAGTACGCAGAATCTCGCAGAAACGTGAGGTGAATCCTGCCAGGAACCTGATTCATAACTGTCGATTTGCTGTCGATCGTCAGTACTTACTCCTCCTCCTCCTCCTCAGTGGGAAGTTGCCACATCAATATCATGCTACTGCTCACGATTGAATGATCACGATACCGGACGGTGTACATGTTATCTCCTCATACTTGCGTATTTGGGGCAAATTGAAGCTGTTCGCGGCACGTCAAAGGAGGCTGTGTGAACACAGACGACGAAGATCAGGTGAGAGAAGCCACTGGCGGAAAGCAAGTAGACTGGTGTTCATTTCAATCGAACTGCCTGAGTCGTTCGCATATTTGGCAGTGAAGCCGATTTGGCCATACCCGAATTCATACTTGACGCGAATCGTAGGATACTGCGTGACTACCGTTCGTTGAGTTTATCGCTCTTCCGATGAACAACGAAAACATTCCGTGGTCACAGTCTACCAACCACGTCATGGTTCGCTCTCCCCTGGATGCGCCGTTCGGAGGCGCATCAGATAGTCCCACCTATCATCTTCCTTCCAACCAACTGTCTTGTCTTCCTGCAAAGCAAGCACTTTCTTCGGGTCCCTGGCGTTGGCGTTCACACCGGCTTCGAGCGATTTGGTCTCCGTATCGATGACGTCGAGCCATGTCCTGGCAGCAACGATCTGGGACGGTTCCAGCGAGGGCAGGCGTAGCGTCCACAGCAGCCGGTCGGTCCCATGGGTTACATACCTTCAGTGTCGAGTTCAACGAATCAGCATGTATCACGTCCATAGAGCATCGCCGCTTACCATACGGCCGGTATTGCTCCGGCGTCCATCTTATCTCATACCTCAACACCGGGAAGGCGGCGTTCAACAGGTCCCTCGCAAATAACCTGACCGGGAAGTGCACCTGCCCATCCGCGAGCACGTCTCCCATGTACCGCTCGAGCTGCTTCTGGTCCGCATCCTGGGGGACCGCGGGGTAACACGCGAGCATCTTGTCCACGACGTCGCCCGGGTAGTACCGTCGCACATTATGCACCACGTCCTCCTCGGTGTTTACCGGATGCGCGATGCTGTACAGGTACCACTCCTCCGTGAGGTCCCCGACGACGATGCTCCGCACGCCCTTCTCGCGGAGAGCGCGCGCGAACCCGCCCGAGCGCTGCCAGGCCATCGGGTCGGGCGTCGTGGCGAGCCAGGTGCCGTCAAGCGCGCCGCGGAAGGATCCGAATTCGGTACCGATCTTGTCTGTCTCGATGACGTGGGTGAGCTTGTCCCATGGAAGAGTGGAGGTGTCTCGTAGCCGGCTAAGAGCGTCTGCCGAGGAAGGGTCTAACCCCAGGACCCTGCAAAGTGCTTCGAATTGTGGGCGGAGCTCGGTGGGCGACTTGGGGATCGTCCTAGCCTAAAATGAGGGAACGTTCTCCGCCTACAGAGATGTATGGAACTCGCACAAGATCGCATTAGACTGGAGCATGGCAGATTGAAATGGGGCTTGTTCGCCGTCCGGCAGGCGAGAGGCGTGGTGTAGTATCTGGTGAACTGAATGAGCGCCCGCCGAGAGACCTGTCACCTGTACGTTTGTGGGATCGCCTGGCTCATTGCGTTTAGCGCACTTCACGGGTTCAGCTTTATGCACCCTTACCGCCGAACTTCGCGATGTTGTCTCTGATCCACAGTAGGGCGAGCCACTGGTCCTTGAATCCGAAGTTGCCCTCCACTTTGGACTGTCGCAGGCAAGGAAACCGAACACCGAAAGTCGATAACCTATGTTCACCCACACTTCTGACCTCTCCGCAGCAACGTAGGGTGCTTGTGCGCTCAGCCCATGGGGGGAACCAAACTGCAAGAACCTGACATTGCATGGCGTGAGATGTGTGTCCTTGGACGATAATCAATAGCCCTGACCCGCCATGAATGTAGACTTTGACCGGATACTTGGAGCTCGACGAAGTGTTCGGTGGGCAGACAACGTTGACGAATAGTCTGAGACAAAAACAGTGAGTACTGGATGATAAAGGTTCCGTCATGGTACACACGGATCCTCGGACGGCTTCCCCAGACCAAGCCTATCCTCACGCGGTATACCTAGTTGGGAGGGTACGCATAAGCGCAAGGGGTCGTATAAGCCATTCTAATACGCACCAGCACCCTGGCCGTCATTCGTTGGTTGCGCGCAATCTAGGGTGGAAAACGTCGATCAATATATGATAAATCACGCCCTGACAGCGATCTGCTCACATTTGCTTTCATAGATGTATTCCTTGTCGTCGTACCGGTAACCCGTAGGGAGGGGTATCGGATCTTCAAACCTGCCAGGAGGCAGCGCGTACGGTATCTCTGCAACGAGAGTTGTATGAGATCAAGCTGATCGACAAAGATCGCCTTGGAGTGGTAGTTGGCTGGTTCGGGACGCACCTAAGAAGACAGCTGCTCCGTTAGCTGCTCGCCCTCCCTTGACAGGACCGAACTGAGTGTGGACGGTGATGCGCTCGGTGCTCTTGGTGAGCTCCTCTTGCAGGTGAACTCGAGCCATCCTGTGGTGAAGACGACGGTACGAACCTGCAGACGCAGCGAGGGCAGACAAGCTCGACGGACGGAGCAGAGGGGCTCCGTAGCTTGGCAGACCTAGTCTATATATAGTCCGCTGAATCGCTCGAGGAGAGAACCAAGACATGATAACGGCGGGCCGCAGTGTCACAGGTCCAGTGGGCATGTCGACATGGCCCCTAAGCTTCCAGCATATGTACTTTTTGAGTGTCCCACACGCACGACGGAAGTTGTAAGTGTCCTCTGTCAGCGAGAGCCTTAGAACTGATACGACACTTTGAATCTCCGTGATGATGGTTCTATCGACGACACCAATGCTTAATGCAGAAAGGCAGGTGGACCACGCATCAGCTGTCGATTCATGCAGTTGCGTCAGATCTGCAGGAGTCAATATAGAATTTCAGGGCCGGTACGGTGACCACAAGCGTTGACGCACCTATGCACACAGAATGGACGCTGGTCGAGTTCGGGATGGTTAATGTGGACAAGACGAACATCAATGCGATAATAAAATGAAATGAATGCGTAGAGACAACCAGTGGGCCTTGTACCGTTCCCGTACGAATATAAATAATCAGCTGTGGCACAGTCGTTTGTCAGTACTTCAGCCACACATAAGACACCTCGAGCACTCACCCTCCATGCAAAAGCGGCTCAAAGATCCGCTCCCCAACACCAAGTACCACACCCCCAACAAAACTGCTCATCCTCTTCCACTCCCTCCCCAACGTATGCCTCTCCCTATGCTCCGAAAAGCCCCTGAACAGCCCCGCCGACCCGCCGCTCTGCAGCCCATACACCGCAACGGCGACGCCGAGCACGAGCACGGCACCCGCGACCATCGTCTTCCGCTGCAAGACCAGATGCCTTGGCTTCTTCAGCCGCCTCCGCTCCCGGTCCTTGGCCCTGGACCGTCGCTTGCCGCGCGGAGACGCGCCCTCCTCATCGGACTCGACCTCGTCGTCCGGCTCGATCCACGGGACTACGATGAGCTCGGGCTTCGTCACCATCAGCTCCGCGTCGTCGTCCGGCGGCAGCTCCGACGTGTCCTCGGACCAAGTGAGCATCACGCTCTGGGGGCCCATGATCGTCGCGAGCGCGATGGACGGGTGAGAGGGCGGGAAGCGCGCGTAGAGGTCGTCGGCTTGCATGAGCAGAGACGTGAGGGAGACGCGTGGGCGCGGAGGGGCGGCGTCGTCGGATTGGGTGACTGTAGATGCGCGCGAGAGGGGGCGCTTCTCGGAGAGGTCTCCTTCGTCAGGATTTGATGCTGGCTCTGTCGACGCACTCTCAGGTTCGTCGGAAGAGAGTAGAGATGTTGACGATGTGTCGGCTTTCTCGTGTATATCGTCCTCGGCTTCTGATTCGAGGCCAACAGTCGTGGATTCGTCGTCACCGGCTGTGGATGAAGTGTCGGACATAGCGGAAAGAGAAGTCACTGCCGTCATGTCGTCGCTGAAGTCTGCAGGCCGCTCTTCGACTATGTTGTCCAACGACTCCGCACTCGATTCGACAACGATTGCTGCGTCTGGGGTATCTGCGGTTGACGCTGCCATAGGCTCGTGCTCAGCTTCTGCACACGTGCCTTCGTCTGGGATCGCATCATCATACTCTTCGTATAACTCAGGAAGTGTGCTCAGCACGGAATGGACCATGCCCTCGTCGCCTGCTTCTACTAGTTGCCGTACTTCGTCTCGTCTCGACAAGACGACCTGCTCGCAGAAACGCCATCGTCAGTACCACTTGTGGTCGAATGGGGGAACCAACGAACCGCGGCAACGAGGTAAACGACGGCACTTGGATGTCTGCATAAGAGGTAATCGAAGATATGCTGGATCAAGGGCAACGTCGGTACGTCATGAGAGAGCAGGGTGAGGATGTTTGAGAGCGCGAAGTACGGCAGTGGTGACGTGCTGACAACAAGGTGTGAGCCAGCTATGTAGTGGTGAGCTCATGCGAGACTGACCGTTCCAGCACTGATGAAAAATCAGGGTCCAGTTCGTGAAGCAAGCGCTTGAGAATTCTGTCATACAGTTAGCCCTGCACTGAGTCGTATCATGCTCGATGAAGCGAAACAAAGTACCTCAACAATCCCAGTACGGGCTCGAGCGTCATGCCCATCGCATCGCGAATTCGATGCAAACTCATCTTCTCCACAGATGAAGCCTGCGCCTCGGACGGTAGTGTCAGGAACAGGACAGACACGATGTCATGAAAGCCCTGTGAACATGGTCATGCATATAGTCATGGCCTCAGGCGTGTATGGGTGACTCACCTGGAAGTAATTGAGATGGCGCCGTTTACGGAAGACGGATACAATCAGCTCATGTAGCTGCTCCTTCAAGTGTTCCCTGTCCGGTCCCTCGTCTGCCCAGATGTTATCTGTTTGAGTCAACACAGGGCGAAGAATGGCTCTAGTCACCTACTGGGTACAAGACAAAACTCCGGTTGGTGTCCAGGCCAATCTGGCGTTCATCCCTATGGGCTAAAGCGGCATCAAGATCCGCAGACAGGTCAAGCTTTGTACTGTCGGGAGCATCTGTAGTAGCAGATGATTCTGACGGTGTGTCCGCCGTTGGTATACTGGATTTGGCGGTCCGGGAGTCTACGTGCAGCAGCTGTGGCCTTCCTCAAGCGTTACTCCCATTGTCTCGCCTTCAGTACTGGCTACTCACCATAATGTTTTACGTTCATCTCGGAACCCATGCGGTTCAAGGCTTCTCTTCCGCAATGCATCCCAGTCCAAAGAGGCAGAGGTCAGGATAGCGCGTTCCGTGACCTCGCCGGAGCCCATGAGTCGCGTCCAGAGTAGATATAAGATGGTCGCCTCAAGAGCTACGAAAACGAGATGGGAGGTGGTCTCTGAGTGCTGCGTCGAGGAGGAGGCAAGGAGGAGGTCGACGTCGAGCTTGCGGCGCGTGGCAGGCGCCCATGGGACCGGGCTTTACAAAACAGGCGCCCATGTCAGTCCCAGGGAAACTTGGTCGAATTTGACGAGGATTTTGACACTCTCCTTTGACTCGCCTCCTCCGCTGTGTGTGGCAGACCAGTGCTCTCTGTATCATATTTCCCAGTAATTCACAAGAATCCCTTTCGTCGGAGGCACCCAGGTGGGTATAACTGCATCAGCATTCAGCTCACTCAGACCGAGTCAGGCTGCTTCTTCTCACATTCAGGCTCACATGGCTTCTCTGTAGGACCACGCACGCAGGTCATACTCCAGCGCACGATCTGTTCAGCCCTAGGCCAGTGGTACTTCTAACCGAGAGAGTACGAGTCACACAGCCCGCGGTTTGACCCTCTGCCATGTCCGCAACCCTCATGAGCACCAACGACCAACGCGCAACATTGGGGAAACCCGTCCCGCCATTCACCGCGCATGCAATCTCCGTGTCACTCCCTACTTGGGATGACAATGTGGGCTACGAGGAGGGAGACAAGCGGGTGGCCGATGTCATGGTCATTGGCTATCCAAGATTCTTCATCCATCTGAGCATTCAGAAAGCACGTCGCGATCTCTCAGTGACTCCCACACATGTTGACGTTCCGTAGCTAGCCGCGATCTGCGAACAAAAGTTCGGCACGCATGGGGAGCGGTGTTTGCTCTGCCCCACCCGCAAGGTTGCAGAGGCCTGCCGAGCCTTCATGATCGACCGCTCCTCCAAAACCGGACCCGCCGTCCCAGTGCGCCTCGTCCAGTTCCTCATCTGCCCCGAAGACGACGTAGAAACCCTCAACCAATGCATCGAGCTCCACATCGTTCTCTTCCCGGGCGACTCTTTCCCGCTCGCCAAGCAGTTTTTCCAGCACGCAGGTAACTGTATATCGAGCAGACGGGCGGAGCGCTGTCTTGCCATGCTCGGAGAACTCCCCGGGGTCACCGGAGCAGGAATCCCTATGCCCGCCGTCTCCCGCCCGCCCACTCGCGTGCCGAACAGACACTACTCAAAGAAGAGCTTCGGCAGGTCCCCACCTCACTCGCCAGCGTCGTCTCACTTCCGCAATGGCCCATTCCGGTCGCCGGAAGAGGCACTGAAAGCGGATGAGGTGCTCAGTGCGGACCAGAGCGTGTACTTGGAGGAGCGGTACGGGCGCAACCTACCTCTTGAGTCTGCGGTTGCTTGCAAGCGTGCGCTGCGTCGGAGAATAGCAGGTGTGCTATTGAGGGACACCCCGAACGATTGGTCGAATGCTGGTGGCAACGAGGCAGAGATCGGTCCTAGTACTCGAGGAGTCGACAATGTCGCGGAGGACGACGTCTTCTTGTTCCCAACAGGCATGTCGGCCATCTGGCACGCGCACCAGGTCGCGCTGGCAGCTCGGCCTGCTGCTAAGAGCATATGTTTCGGGTGTGTAAAGAGATACGATGTCACCGCAGAAGTCGCTCATCGAATGCGACAGGTTCCCATATACGGACACATTGAAGATCCTGGAGAAGTGGGGCCCGGGCTGCTGGTTCCTGGGTAACGGCCTCGACAAGGACATCGACGAACTCGAAGCTATCCTCGAAAAGGAGGCTGCGGCTAACCCGTCGAAGCCACCAGCGCTTGCTCTCTTCACTGAGTTCCCGTCGAACCCTCTTCTCCGCTGCGCCGATCTCTCTCGCCTGCGCGCCCTCGCAGACAAGTATGACTTCCTCATCGTCATCGACGAGACGATCGGGAACTTCGTCAACGTCGAGGTGCTCCCCTACGCGGATATTGTCGTGAGCAGCCTGAGCAAGATTTTCAGCGGCGACGCCAACGTCATGGGTGGCAGGTACGTCCTCCCTGCCTGCACCCTCCTGCTCATCTAACGGTGCTCACAGCATGGTCCTCAACCCTCGAGGTAAACGATATGTCGAGCTGAAAGCCATGGTCTCCGACCTTTACGAGGACCTCTACTTCGACGAAGATGCTGTCTTCATGGAGCGCAACTCGCGCGACTTCCGGCGGCGCATCCAGATCATCGACGCCAACGCGCTCGCCGTCTGCTCCTTCCTCTACTCCCGCTCCCTCGCCGCCTCGCCGCCGCCCCCGCGCACGGTCGTCAAACGCGTGTACTACCCCAAATGGGAGACGCCGCAGCACTACGAGCGCTGCCGCGTACGCGAGGGCAACGGACTCGGCGGACTGTTCAGCGTGACATTCACGTCTGCGGCGGCGAGCCGCGCGTTCTACGACACCCTCAGCTGCCAGAAGGGCCCGAGCCTCGGCACGAACTTCACGCTCGCGAGCCCGTACGTCATCCTTGCGCACTACGCGGAGCTCGAGTGGGCAGCGCAGTATGGTGTCGAGCAGAGCCTCGTGCGTGTGAGTGTCGGTATGGAGGACAGGGAGGAGCTGTTGAAGGACTTTGAGAAGGCGCTGCAGGCGGCGGAGGCGACGCTGGACGGTGCTGACGCATAAGCAGCTGGACTCAAACACCAGAGACTATCCACCAGAGCTAAGTAGACGGTGAAGGAAAGGCGCACTGAGCGGATCCAACTCCCTCAGATATCTTGACCCTGGTCAGGCGCGCCAGCATACCAACTACCAAAATTACGTAGAATACTTGTCCAACCAAGATGTAGCAATACCCATACATACTAGTCACTCAAGCAACGTCTGTATCATGTACCCACTTCGACATCGAATTGCGGATCTTGAGGCGATGCTGCCTCTTTCACGCCTGGCTGTGGATGATGGATGTCGACGACCTCCGGTGATGCTTCTTGCGCGAGCTCCCCGGCTTGCAGGGCGACCTTCTCGTCGAAGGATGCAGGCAACCCCTTTTCGTCCCCATCCTCTCCGTCGTCCACAGCCTCCTCGATGACGGCGCCCTGCTCGCGGATGACCAGCCATGTCCGCTCGGCCACCGCCAAATTTTGACTCGCGCTGATGGCCTTGACGATCTGGCCTTCGTGGTGTGCGTGCAGCGTCCTGCGTAACGACCGAGCGACGAAGGTGGAGAGAATACTCAGAGGCCAATCTGGTGGGATGAGAGAGATGACCTGGCAAAGGCACGAAGGTCAGGTCATATCAACAATGACTGTACAAAAGAACGTACGTCAAGCACATCGAGATTCATTGCCTGCGCGTTGAGGAACCTCGCCGTCCGCTCGGCCGTCGCTTCTCCCCCGCTCATATACACCTCCAGCAATATTCGGACCAAATTCTTCTTGAGCTCCCCGTCGACCGTTACCAGTCGACTCATCGATTGCGCCTTTGGAAGACCCGCCTTCCCGGGCGTCGCAGGAGGCGCAATGAGCGCTGCCCATGCCTGGATATCGAAGCGCTCCCCGAGCGACTGCGCGGTCTTAGGCGGAACAATCTCGCCGCCAAGTGTGCAGTAGATCTCGGCAGAAGTTGGGTCGTGCAGGTCGTGCACGAGGGAGGCAAGGGCAGAGCGGTGCTCACCGAGCTACACAGTCTGTCAGAATACATCGCAGAATGGATCCGGCGTTTACTGACCTTGCCATCAACAATGGCAATCTCAAAGCGGAAAAGCTTCTCATGCTCGAGGAGCCGTTGTCGGATGGGATGTGGGTCGTACAGTGTTGAACCTTGGAGGAAGAGGATCGTCTTGAGGCGTGTGCGTGTTGCGGGGCTGTCGGGAGTGGTGGACGCGAAGTAAGAGAGGAAGGATGTGTCGGCGCGGGATGACGTGTATGAGGATACTATACGGATTCTCGTCAGTGACTCAAGCAGCAAATACGCCAAGGGCAAACATTACGTTTGGCCCGCCATAGCTTAGATGTCGACTCTTCCGCGAGACACGAGAGCAGTTCGTCAACGCAACTCACGGCGAGCTGCATGTGGAAATCTGGATTCTATATGCACACAGACGTCAGCCTCCTGACGAGTCATTGAAACGAAAGCACCGACCTGACTGCGCTTTTGAAGGACGAGATGCTCCAAGTATCTCCGCCCTGCAGAAGTGTCAGCTTCCCAGAGCTGTGTGAGGAGGTTCCTGTCGTCTTCTGCTGTCCGCTTCCCCGAGGATAGTGAGGTCAGGAGCTATCGAGATCTCGTCAACAAGCTTGATCAAACCATTTGCCAACGAAGACAACCAACCTTGAGCGCACGATCCGGATCTCGTTTCGTAAGCCAGATACTCCATTGTTGGATGACAGTCCTGTCTCTCCGCTCGCCGAGCAATGCAAACATACTCCCCAACGGGTCCTTGACCTCATTATCCTTCCACTCGCCATCTACCAGCCTGCACGGGTAAAGTCATAACCGCCGTAGATACGCTAGGTGAGCGAATGAGAGAACACCGGATCGAGATCAGAACATACGTACTTCGCCCATGTAGACAAGAGCTTTGACTCCTGCCCGTACTGCCAATAGAGCCGGCAAAGTGCGTCGAAGTACCCGCCCTGGATGCAAATCGGCTCGAGCTCCTGGAGAATGATGCAGTTTGGTTCGGCCAATAGTGTGTTCAGATCGGCTGGTTTCGAATGCGCGACGTAGAGTTTCGCTAAGACAGTATCGACAGTCTGATGAGAACGGAGCAATTAGTCCTAATATTCTAGCCTTAAGTCGCGTAGGACCACTTACAGCCAAGACGGGCTGCAACTGGTGCGCCCGCTTCGGATCCTCCATCTTTAGCTTCGCCCGCCACTTCTTCAAGTACGCCTCCAGCATGTCCCGTGCAGTCATCTTCAGCATCTCCCTGAGCTCGATGGCGGGCGGCGCCTCGCGAGTGTTCGGCGACAGGTGCGGGGAGTAGTTGAGGACTAGATTTGCGGCGACTGGATTAGTCCCGACGAGAGGCGCGGCGCGGGAATTGCAAATCGGAAGGGGGACAGTGAGTTCGCGGGAGCGGGGGAGAAATGGAGAACGAGAAGAGATGCACGAGACGTGCGCGGGCCAGAGACCATCCGGAGCATGGAGCAAATATGATACAAAGGGAAGAGGCGGTGGGAGGGGAGGGCGGTGGAAATGCTGGACACTCACTTATGTCGTCTATGGATTCTTCGTGGGGCAGATACTCTGCTACGCCTGCGTAGACATCGACGGAGTCATCCTCCGTGAAGAGGTCTCCCCGAACATCCGGGAAGTAGCTGATGAGCACGCGAGGGTCCAGTTCTCCGGCGAAGAGGTGCCTGCCGGCATCGTCGAAGAGCGTCTCCGTCAAGCACTGGAATCCTAGGCGTTGATAGACGTAGCGCAGTTCTTCCGCCTGCGAGTGTAATTCAGCGCATAAGTTCACGAAATAATAAGCAACGCACTTCGTGTTCGTCGACTGTGATTGACGCTTGGATCTTCCTCCGCTGCTGGTCAGCGAGGTCGGCGGCATCCTTTATTCGGTGCGCTTGCAGTAGCGCGTCCGCTTGCGAGATGAGGGTCGAGGGCAGAAGAGCATATATGGAGTTCGTCCCAAGAACTAGCACATTTGCGCGAGCAAATGATGGCTGTCGCGACATTTCTGAGGAGGGTTGCTCCGAGACGTGCTAGCCACAGCACACTACCGCGTATTATGTATAGGTATCCGCGCGCCGCGTTGCAGCCCTTGCCAGCTATAACCGAGGATAACACGTCTGAGCGCGCCCCTCAAAAGTGTCGTTGCAACCGGTCCAGGATATAAGACCGCAACTAAGGTTTTGATATAGACAACAACGGAGAGGAAAGGCGAAGACGGTGGCGGTAGTTGGCACGTAGTGCACACGCCAAATAAGCGCCCATATAGCTTCCTCCCGCGATCCCTCCGGGCGCGACAATCGTGACGAAATAGAATCTACTTTTGCTCCCCCTCACAGGCCTTCCTCTGTCGTTCAGGTAGCGCTGTCAGTATACCTTCAGACCGTGCACCTTGTGTGTCTCCAAACAGTACTAGTAGTAAGTGTACATAATGCGAGTTCAGCGTGTCCGTCTCATTGTATCGACTAATCATGAACCCCTAGTATAAGTTCACTCAAGCAGTGAGAACACTGCAACTCTAACATGCGCTCGCCGGGGAACGACTCGGATACAAGCCCGTCCAGTACCACTGCTTGCACGCCTTCTGAAAGCGGCAATATCGGCCGCAAACCTCGCACCACCATCGTTGACCTTCCACCTGACGTTCTCCTCATCATCTTCCGCGCCGTGTTCCGTGAAATAGCCTGCCCAAGGTTCCGGCTGAGATCATTTTTCTAGATCCTTGGTCCACAACCAATGGCCCGAATTACGAACACCCCTCTCCAGAATGCCTTGCCTCCGTCTCTCCTTTGTGGCGAGAAGCCATGTCGAACTCATCGCAGTTCTGGACACACTTCGTTATCTGGATCGGAAGGGACCCCACCCCGCTTCCCAGGATCTGCCAGTATCTCGCATGGTCGCGGGATCGCCCCCTTGAGATCTATTTTCTGCGGAGGTTCGACCCGTCCATAGAGGACTCTACGGAGAAGGCTCAGGAAAAAGCCGTCATTGAAGTGCTTTTGCCTCATATCAAGCGATGTACAACTCTATGCATGAAGCTCCTATACTCCAGTTCACTCCCGATCCCTCGGTTCGACCTCGTGGGGCGCGCAGAACAGCTGCAGACGCTCGTTCTTGACTTCATGATTGACGATTTGGTAGACAGCGTCGGGATAGTCTCGCCTCGAGTTGGTGACTTCGACACGCCCGTACTGGAGAACTTGTCTATGGGCGAGGTCCACTTCCGCGAGTCATACGTAAATCATTTTCCCCAATCCACCATGCCATCCAAGCTCGTAACCCTCGCCATCACCGACTACGACGCGCGCAACGCGATCTTCCCGCTCGTCGACCTCCTCAAATGCGTCGTGCACTGCCCGGGGCTGTGCAACCTCAAGCTCGACAACCTCCACCTCGACTGTTCCTACGCTGGGCCGGCCATACCGCCCCCCAATGGCAGGGTACTGATCTGGCAGCCCGACGTCGACTTCATCGACATGGGCGACGATGTGATCGCGGAGTACGGCCGGCTGCTCTACTACCCCCTGGTCGATGCTATGTCGTACACACGGTGCTCGACCCCACCCCCAGGCGCCGCGCTCTCGGAGGCCAGCTATATCACGCTGAAAGAAATCAACACCGCGACGGCACTCTTCAGCCTCTTCGCGTCCGTTCCGGGCGACTTTCGATATGACGAAGCGAGCTTCATAGACTGTGCCGGCCTGACCACGGACGTGCTCCGCAGGCTCGCGGAGACTCAGACCGTTGCCGACCCTGAGGCGGCCGTGGAAGGCGACGACGACCCCATCTGGCTCTGCCCGAGGCTCCGCGCGCTCATGATCGACGGGTGCACGCAGTTCCGGAGCGGGGGGTCGAGGCGCGTCGCACGGCGCACGAAGCGACGGACTTCGCGCAGTACGGCGAGCCGGGGTTTGTGGTGTCTTCAGTGATGACCGTCGACGTTCGAAATTGCTGCGAGCTCGCGCCCGAAGACAAGGAGTGGCTCGACGCGAATGCGTGTGGTGTTAGATGGGAGGCGAGGAGGCCATGGGTTTCACTATTGAGCACTCTTGTGCAAGTGGCCGCGTCGCTTCGCGCACCCTCCGTGGGATGATGCTCTACAGGTCGTGATTGTCTCCGCACTAGCACTTTCTGGACACTAGCTGTGGTCATGTCTGCTAAGCGATGCCGGCGGGTCCGCAAAATGCAAATGTGCATGTATTGCATGAAGGGTAATACTGTGCATACAAAATATATCCTATACATCACCACCTGTAATGGACCCACTCGATAGCGGCCGCCGTAGCCCGGTGGACGCCCCGCACAGGCAGCTCGCAGCACACAGTCGGTACATCCCGTGTGGGTCGTACTCCGTGTGGCCCATTTCAAGCATCGCCTTCATCTCATCCCACATTGTCACCCCCGCCGCTCGCAGACCGGCCATGCTGCCATATCCCGGCAACAGGCGGACGTCGTCGTCGACGGTGATGCGCAGGTAACATCGGTGTTCAGGGACGTCGTACGGGCCGCGGTGTACCGCCGCGAGCGACCTCTTCTTCCTCACACGGTCATTCAGCTAGAATGGACTGTTGGATGAGAAAGGAAGGGCAGAAAGGAGAGTGCTGACCTCCAACGCGACTCGATACCAGATGTACGACGACGTCCTGTCGTCTGTGTGTTTGGACACGACGGAGGTGAGGATGCCCACCCAGACGGTATTCTATGCCGGTGGACAGCATCAGTGAGTCTTTCCGTCATTGGAGTCCGCTGGGACACTCACCGAATCCAAGCCCCGCTGGTAGTACTCCGACGGAGTATACGGCACCCCGGGCAGTATCGACCCCCGCAGCGTCCGCAGGTCAGGCACGTACATCTCGCCAAAGAACGGGATCACCCTGAGCCTAATCACCCGTCCGTCCCCCCGCCGTTCTGCACGGACGATGCACGACTTCACGATCGTGCCGCTCTGCGAAGCAGTCAGTCGCGCGCGGTGGGACGCCACTCGCGATCATGAGGCTCACCACTGTGAGGGACCACGTCTCTGACTCGAGGGTCGCTGTCATCCAATCCGTCCAGAGGCTCGCGGGGTTGCTGGGCCTGCTATCGAGGGAGTAGACCAGCGGCAAGTTGAGCCAGCGCAGATGCTTGTACATCCTCAGGCGCGCGAGGCAGGATGTACCGCGCTGGACACGGATTCGCACATCAGTTGTCAATCCTGACTAGGACGGGCACGTACCGGAAACGATGGGAGTCGTCAACGTGCGCGGGGGGACATGCGGCTGCGTTTCCTGGGGATCGTGAGCCTGGGGGATAGGGAGTGGCTGCGTCGCGATTCCGGAGAGGACATGATAGTGGCCGGACGCGAGGATGTCCGGAGACTCGAAGAACGGGATACGAGATACGAACTCCTGGGTAGGTCTCGGACCTGGTTGCATGTGGCACGATCAGATAACATACTGTAGCTGTGGCGGGGAGGAAGCGAGGGTAGGCCGGCGTGCTTTTGATACTTATTGGAGGACACAATAGGGGCTTAAGCCAGTCAACTTTGACAAGACCACCAAGAACGGAGAGATGTCTCCTGAGTCGACCACTTGCTGCGAGATGTTAATTGCCACGTAGTTACAGGACGAAGTCGGCAGAGTGGCGGTGGACAAGAGGGTAGAGGCTAAAGCGGGGGAAGTGATGAACGAGGGCCAAAGCGGGCGCTTGTACTTCGCAACGCTTTGACATTGTATTCTTGGGGCCTTACCGATACGTGCAGCATCCCTGGCATGCAGACATGATAACCGATCCGCATAGCCACGGTAAAAGCATCGACTCCCTGGAATACAAGCAGATGGGCATGGATAGTGCACTGACCATAGCCAATTCAGCAGAATGATGTGCGCATATAACTACAAACTCACCTCTACGCTGTGAAGAGTCTCTCCCAGACGATGTTGACATGCGTTGTTGAACTGTGTATCAGTAATGGGCCGCTCATGACCAACGAGGAAGATTGCCGTCATCTACGACTCCTCGTTCGCGGACGCCACATCAATCCGACCTGTGCGTTATTACACGATCGAAAAACTGTCGAGGCACCGTTGGACTTCCACCGCCTGGCAGTACGTGCTAAGTTGTCACGCTTGCTTGTGAGCCGTCCATGGTTTGTATGTCGTAGTGGCCGAGAGCAACTAGATGCCCATATGATGTAGACGACGCGCCAAGAGCAGCTCTCCCCTCTGGGGCAGTGAAGATCAGGGGAAGCGCGCTGAACTGAAGCAACGCTGTAGCCAGTTATCCTTCAGTCACAGATTCCGAGACAGCTCGCAAGACAGAAGATTCAGTCAGCTGCCAGAGTCCGTTGAGGTCGATGTCCGACCAGTTCTCTCGTTCGGTGCTTGTGACACCCTCGTGCAGACAGTATCCCGACGTTGAATGGGCACGCCTCGGTGAAATGGGCGCGTAAGCACGGCGAAGCAGCGTCTCTAGCTGCGCAGAGACGGAGGCGTGTTGCTCAGAGGGACCATTCTGACCGCAACTGTACTCACGGAGGGTCGTGACTTTCTGACAGGTCCAATGGCGGCAGGCACATTACTCACCGCTCGCAGCCAGCCTTCGCACCGCACCCTATTGTGGACCTGCAGTTTGCACGGACGCCGTATGAAGGCAGGTCGTCGTGGACGTCTGGGCGACCAGGATGTGTTCTCGGCTGGATCAAGGAAGTCGAAAGATGGTGGCGGAAGCTGCGCAGGATGTCCTGAGCGATACAGGGGACGTCGACCGCATCGCCAACGACGTGCTGGGCAACTGCGGAGGCTGGGCGATGAGATCAGAAAACAGTGCGCGGCGACGAGGGTGGAGGAGAGGGAAGCCGGATATGGGAGCGCGTAGCGAGAGAAGCGCCCGCCTGGGATGGGCCAGCCGCGACTGGGAGGCGCGGCAACTCAGCCACCAAGGCTCCTACAAATGACGCATCGGGCGAGCGGGCCTCTTCCTCCCTCCTCTTCCGCCCCGGGCTGCATCCTCTCCCACCTTCATCACGCCATTCATGACCGGAAACCCAATCCTCCCGCTTCTGCAGGTCGTCTTCGACGTACGTGGCGGCGGTCTCTGCTGACGGAACGGGCACTGACATCGTCCCACAGTCTATCCTCGAAGTCTTCCTCGTCTGTCTTGCCGGATACATCCTTGCGCGCCAGGGCGTGCTTGACAGGAAGATACAGAAGGTGCGTCTTCTTGCTACTCCATAGCTGTCTACTAAGGTTCGTATTGTGCCCCAGCAACTCAACCGCCTCAATGTCTCCTTATTTACGCCGTCGCTGCTCTTCTCAAAAGTCGCGTTCTTCCTCTCACCAGGCATGTCTTCACGGCTCTCTTGACCTCAATCGCTTCTGACCGTATTTTAGCCAAGCTCCGCGAGCTATGGGTCATCCCAATCTTCTTTACCTTGACAACCGCTGTCTCGATGGTAGTCGCGTATGTATTCGGATGGATGCTCGGACTGAAGAAGTCGCAACGGTGAGTGTTTCATCTTCCGTTGCCTTTCATTCCCGGCAGATTCTTCCCGCTTTGCCGTTGTTGCGCCGCGTCCTTCGTCTGTTACCCGAAGCCCTTGGCATCCTCGGTTCGATGATCACTGAGGATAAGTACTGTCCGCCCGTGGTGGTGCCTCCACCAGGTGCTGCGCTCTGAAACGCCCCGTCGTGCGATGCGCGTGCGCTATCGCCTCCTGTGTCGCGGGCGGGGCAATTTCCGTGCAATAAGGCGAGCAGGGGCGCACACTGATCCGGGCCCTATCTGATAAGATAGCGCTGCGGCCGATCTGTGGCACAATATCAGGCAGGCACGTTCGTGCGGGAGCAAATCGCAGGCCCCGCGCGGATCAAATGTCAATCTACTCTAGATCTCATCCTCTGTGGCTGCTGCTGTCCTTCCAGCGACTCTATATTGACCAGCTCAATCACAATGCAGGAGCTTTGCGGTCGCGGCATCCATGTTCATGAACTCGAATTCACTCCCAATAGCGTTGATGCAGAGTCTGGTCTTCACCGTACCCAATCTCAAGTGGGGAGATGATGACAATGTGAATGCTATGGTCGGTCGAGCTCTGACGTACCTCGTGCTTACTCTACCTTAGGAATGGTCGTACGTACACCCTGTGTTTTCAATTCTGTCCGTTGCTTACATGCGCTGTTCTTTCCAGCTTCGATGGAGTTACGGCGTCAGGCTCTTGGCAACCGCAGACCCAGAGGCAGTAGAAGATCTCCCTGCAGATCCTCTCGTCGGTCAGGACGAGACTGCGTTCCCTAATCGACGGATCAGGACCATATCTTGCGTCATGAGCGGTCTTCACTGACAGATGTCGACGACACAAAACTCTTGCGCAGGCCCGCGCGCCGAAGACCCAAGTCGCTCCCGAGTTCACGATCCTACTCGCCTCAACCCCAACCGCAGGCATCGACGTCCGGTGCACCTCCATGTACGCCGACGAGGACGACGAAGAAGAGGACGAGGACGGCGGAGCTCCCCATGGGGCGTCCGATCTCCGAGCCGACATCTTCACTCTGGCAATCCCGCATGCGGCGCATGGGCAATCGTATCCGCAACGCCTGGGCGACGCTCTACGAGTTCATGACCGTCCCGCTCTGGGCCGCACTCGCATCGCTGCTGGTCGCGTGCATCCGGCCGGTGCAGCACATCCTGGAGGTGCACATTGCACCCGTCAAGGGCGCGCTGAACGCCGCGGGCAATGCTCCATCCCGCTCACGCTCGTCGTCCTCGGCGCGTACTTCTACTCGCCGCCCGAGAAGGACGAGGGCGCGACAGAGAGGGACGGTAGGCTCCCGACACACAAGCCGCTGAGCCGCACGCCGAGCTGGGCGTCCCGCTCGACGCTGTACGACCAGATGCGCGGGATGTTCAGTTTGAAGAGGAGGGATGGCGAGCCGAGGCAGACTCAGAGGCAGGCACACCCACGCCCGGGCGAGACCAAGACGGTTGTCGTGGCGGTGCTGTCGCGGATGGTAATCACGCCGTTGTTGCTCCTGCCACTGATGGCGGTCGGCGCGCGGTTCGACGTGCAGCGGGTCTTTGAAGAGTGCGTGCCTTCATGTTTCCGTGCTGTTCCGAGAGTGGTCGCTGATCGTGACTATGATTGTAGCCCTGTGTTCGTTGTGGCGAACGTGCTTTTGATCGCGTCCCCGCCGGCATTAACGCTTGCCCAAATCACGCAGGCCGCGTCGGGCGACGCGTTCGAGCGGCTCATCAGCCGCACCATCTTCTGGTCGTACTGCGTCCTGACCCCGCCCTCCACCATCCTCTTCGTCGTCGTCGGGTTGGTCCTCGCGAAGCTCTGATATCGGCACCCGGACTGTGTTGCTGCAATCTGCGCTGCCCCTCCGACTTGCATCGTTCGTACGCGCTGGCGACATAACTTGAGACACTGTCTCCGTACATATGTATCACGGCATTGGCCTGACTCTGTACTCACCATCGTGCGTGGTGTTAACGTTCCGTTTGGCCCTAGAAGTACTGGTGGGGTGTTGAGCGTATGTGATGGGGGTGGAGGGAGAACGTGTTGCGATTCTAGAGACCCGGATGGCTGATTGTACAGTAGGCGTTTACCATTTACCACCACATGTTCCCGGATATGGATACACTGCATCTCACGTCCTGACTGGGTCTAAGTTATCAGATTCAGTCGGTGCGTTTGCTGTGGGACGATGAGATGGATGACTGGGAGGGTCGCGCCTGGATGACTGGAAGGGTTGCGTCGATGCTACTGCGCAATGAGAGTCTACGTACTGCATCCGACCTGGGGAAATGCTGGTTCGGGAATGCAGTGCCGAGCGTACGGTGGTGAGCTCGCGTCAATTTTCGGACGCGGTTTTCACCCACCCGTGTGGCCTCTCTCCACGAGGGCCCCTGATGTTCGCATCCGGCCACCGTTGTCGAGGTCCGACTCGTGGTTTCTAGTCTGCTTCGCTGGATGCGTTGCGAACCCAGTCCCCATGTATGGTACTTCGACTCAAACCTTGCGATCGATCCATCCCTCGCCTCTCTGAGACTTAGCTAGCCAACGTCGGCGCGGGCGCTGCTGGTCTTACTGATCATGACGCACTCGACGAAGCACCGATCCAATACATTATCCTCTCCATTGATCGTGCCCCTCGATTTCACAGACCTTATGGTCGGCGCACACGCGCCATGTTGAGCCAACAGTGGTCGGGAACACAGATTTGACAGGTGTCGCCGACCCAGACGTCCTCTGCTCATTGGAGTCCCCTTCCACGCGACTCCGGGATATGCCGTCCTGACTTGATCCCAACCTTCCTCGAGGAGCGCAAACCTATGCAGTGACCATGGGTACCGCCGGGGATCACAGTGTCATTGCCTGACGAGGATCTCGCAGTGGGGTGGGACATTGATTGTTGGGAAGGTCCTCGTCCGACAAGTCGCCGAATCGGCTGCCGCGTAAATGGCGCATCGTCATGCCAAGGCAGAGTCAAGCCCTACCCTAGTTTCCTCGGGAGGTTTTTGTTTGGCGTATGGATTTGGGGGGCCGCCGGTATGGATGGAAGAGAACTAGCGAGAGACATAATATCCACGGCCGCGGTCCGGGCTAATACAGTTCCACGCCGTGGAGAGTTCTCCGAGTCTGGGATGTCAAGTGAAGTCGCGAGAATGAATTTGTCCTGTGAACGTACATGATCGTGCTGGTCAAATGTATTGTAGATGTTGAACGAGGCGTGTCCAAGTCGCACTGCGGTTGCAGGTGGTGCGCTTCGTGGGAGAGTTCGAGATCGTGGGTGTGATTATACCTCTTTCTGATGCGGCGTACAAGCAAAGGAGCAATTGAGTGGTGCGTACCATGTTCTTTCAATTGGCAGCGAGACACCACTGTGGATCTTCACGTCCTCCAGACGTCAATGTATTGCAGTCTCCTACAAACACATACGTAGGGAGTAAATAGTACACGTTCTGGTACCACGTACGGATACCCCCGGAAACGCACTCACCGTATCCTGACATATGTCTTCGACTTCCCGGGCGGCCGCACAGGCGCAAGGCCTGACGGCTACTGACAGTCTTTACGCTCAATATCCAGCGCTGAACTGTGCCAAGATTGCGCTCTCTTCCCCGGCAGCCCCTCGGTAGCCAATGCATCGGTCAAATGGGTCCTGCACATGGACAACCCAGTCTGCGAGCGTCCCGAGCTGCCATCCATTTGCAGGCCATCGATAGGACCCACGGGAGCTTGGCAGGGCATACTATGCTGTTAGTAAGGCGTCTTGTGTCAAAGCGAATAGATGTTGGGCAACGGTTCTTCGCGGGACAAGCTACTGATACCGTCTGCAGCCTGGGCACCAGCCTTGAGAAACGCTGTCTCCGACTCGGATGCAAGAATGCATCGGTACTAAACAGGTACCGAACACGTCCTCCGCTGCCGCTCGCAGTGGGGCGCTCTATACCTTGCGAAATCAATTGGATCTGGCAATTTGTAAAGGACCGCTTAAATCACTTACAGCATAAGACTTCGCTGCATTCGATGAACCGGATGTTCTACGTCCAGGGAGAAATATATGAAGCTTGAGCCTCTAATCGCTGCAGTGAGTGGGAATTGACTCGACCTGTCCAATGAGGTGGGTCCGTGCGTCGAATGCCAAACTACCCACCTATTGGCAGTGATTGGATTTCCCTTATTTTGAGAAATCTAGGAGACGCCAGCGCGTCAGCTCTGACGCAACGCGAATACGGGTGCATTTCTTCATTATGTACGGGTGCAGACGGACATATTCGTGCGCTGCACTGGACAAATAGCGGCGGCCACTGTGATTCTTCAGCATGCGTAGCGCTCACACGCACAAAGCCATTACTCACCTCTTCGACTGAGGATTGTTCCGGCTCAAAGTCGTCTGACTGTGGGAAGCGTTGGGGTGCAACGCTAGTCTGAGGGTATAACAGCACCTCGAGCCGCTTATGATCACCAACGGATGTCCGAGTCGACGTCGTCGCGGCCGTATCCGGGTTGCCACTCATTCAAGCGCTCATACCGATCGGATCTAGCGTACCACTAATACGGCCAGTAGTTAGTAGTTCTAAGGCCGGCAAACTTGCACAGCTCACCTTGCGCGAAAACGCGTAGGATCCATGAAGCACCGCCTGTAAATTCCTCCGAATCCTCTTTTTGGCCACGAAGAACGAACTGGATGCAGAATGAATGTAGAAGGTGCCCCCAAACACCGGTTCTCTCATGTCGACGACAGCTAACACGGATTTTGTTTTCGAGATGCCTCGCCCTCTGGCTGCAGTATGCGAGTGGCCATATCTGAGAGCACCCGCTACTGTATTGTCTTTGATCGGGTATCCGTCTCGGAACTGCAGGGCGGTCTCGATCAATACAGAAGGCACCCCAAACACAGGTCTCTCAAGTCGACGAGAACTCGAGCAGCTCAGAAAAGCGCATCATGACGAAGGGGCATCGGTGGCTCTCAATTATCTGTATTCTACCATTGTACTCCATGCACAACGACCGTATGCTCACACATCATAGAAGGCGCCCCAAACGCATGTCTCTCATGTCGACGAGAAACTTGAGTGGCTCAGTGGAACCACTGGAAACAGCTCACTAGACGGAAGCGTTGCTGCTCCTCGAAAGCACAGAATCTAGAACAGCTCATAATGGTGGCCATGACACGATCCGGTCAGCTGCTCTATTCTAAAAGGATCGATGAGTCCTACCAGTTCTCTCGCTCGATACTTCGTATCCCGACGACTGAATGGACATGCCTCGGCAAATTCCTGTGAAATGCCGCTTCTCTGGCTGCGCAAATTCAAACGCCCGTTTTTGGCAATGGTCATCGATATCCCGAAGGGAAATGTACTCACGAAGGTTCGTTACTTGCTAAGAGCTTCAATTGTAGTAAACAGAATACCCACAGCGGGCGGCCCGCCTTCGCCATCGCACCCTGTTGCGCCTACAGCTTGTGCCCCACGCCGCATGAATGCCAGTTATGAATGTACGTCTGGGCGTAGACGACGTGTTCTCGGCTGTATTACGGACAACACTCGACATGGTAGGACTAAGCGGGAAGATGTCCAATCCGAGTCGAGCGACAAGGGTGGTAGGCTCGGCAGCGCCGCGTACGGTGTGCTGGGCGGCTGCGGATACTCGGCGACGAGAGAAAGAAGCTTCGCGCGCCACGGGCAGCGGGGAAGAGAGGGAAGCCGAATATGGGAACATCGTGGCCTAAGCGGAAGAAGCGATCGCAACCCTACAAATGACGCATCGAGTGAGCGAGCCCTCTCTTCATTCCCTCCTTCCTCATCCCCCGGGGCAGCGCCCTCTAGTCATTCATTCGCTACCCACCCCGGGCAGCGCCCTCTCCCACCGGTCATGGCCTCCTCCCCTATCGGCCCGCTTGTCCTGGTTGTCTTTGAGGTATGTCCTTGGGCTCACCGCGAACGGAGCGGATGCTGACTAGGCCCGCAGTCTATCCTCGAAGTCTTCATCATCTGCTTTGCTGGATGGATACTGGCTGTCCAGGGCATTCTCGACAAGAAGACGCAGAAGGTGTGCCATATCGGCGGATACATGACTGTCTACTGACAGCCATGCTGCAATAGCAAATCAACCGCGTCAATGTCTCCTTGTTCACGCCGGCGTTGCTCTTTTCAAAAGTTGCTTTCTTCCTCACACCAGGTACGTTACAGCGGCCACTCAGGTCGTGGCAATGTCTGAGTGCAATGCAGCCAAGCTGGCCCAACTATGGGTCATCCCTATCGTTTTCATCATAGTGACTCTGGTTTCGATGGCGGTCGCGTATTTGCTGGCATGGATGCTCAAGCTCAAGAAGTCGCAGAGGTGAGTGTACTCCAATCCGGATCCGTTTCAGCGGGGCCGCGCAGTCGCTTGGCAGACTTCATCCACTACCCGAGGTCCTTGGCGTCCTCGGTACGGTGCCGAGCCCAGGATCGCCGAGAAGCCCAGGATCGCCGAGAAGCCCAGGATCGCCAGGGATTCGCTCGCCTGTGGCGTACCCTCAAACGTTTTGGCGTTCCACTGATCCGAGGCATATCTGATATGATAAGATGGCATCGCGGTCCATCTCTGGCACCTTATCTCGTCGCGGGAGCAGATCAGAGGCATTTTTGACTTGCCCATCAAATGCTAATCTGTACTCGATCTCGTCGATTGTGGCTTACCTATCCGAGCACTGTATGCTGACTGGCTCGTCGCAATGCAGGAACTTTGCGATCGCAGCCGCTATGTTCATGAACTCGAATACGCTCCCAATCGCCTTGATGCAAAGTCTCGTCGTCACCGTCCCCAATCTCAAGTGGGGAGACGATGACACCCAAAGCGATATGTTGGGCAGAGCATTGACTTATCTCGTGCTATACTCTACCCTGGGCATGATTGTACGTATGACATGCTGCGCATTCCTATCTTTTATCCTCACAACTGGTTCCATTTAGGTACGATGGAGTTACGGTGTCAGGCTCTTGGCGGATGCGGATCCAGAGGCTATACCAGACGCCCCGGCGAATTCTCCCGTCGGGCAGAATGACAACGCGCATACCAGTTCGATGGAAGCTGATCATACCCTGCGTCGTGAACCATCTTCCCTGACTGACGCTGACGACGCGAAGACCCTTACGCACGTTCGCATCATCGAGGAGCCCAAGTCTTTGCCAAGCTCACGATCCATATCGCCCCAACCCCAGGCATCGACATCCGGCACACCTTCCTTGTACGCCAGCGAGGGCGAACGGACCAATGTAGATCTCCCTCTGGGAGATGTGGTCCCAGAGCTGGAGGCCTCGGTCCCGGACTCGCGCTCGCGACGCGTCTGGAACCGCATCCGCAAAGCCTGGGCAGGGTTCTGCGATTTCATGACCGTCCCTTTGTGGGCCGCGCTCGCCTCCATCATCGTCGCGTGCATCACACCGCTACAGGTGTTCATCGAGGACCACGTCCCACCCATCACAGGCGCGCTCACCCAAGCCGGTAATTGCTCCATCCCCCTCACGCTCGTTGTCCTCGGCGTATACTTCTACACCCCACCCGATAAGCGCCAACAGGACGAGCAGCTCCCTACGCATAAGTCTTCGGGCCGCAAGCCGAGCTGGGCAGCACGCTCGCGCGAACGGATACGCAAGGCGTTTAGCCGGAAGAAGAGTGGAGAGGGGAATCAGGCGCGCCCGGGGGAGACGAAGACGGTCCTTGTGGCAGTGCTGGCGAGGATGGTGATCACGCCGATACTGCTCGTGCCACTCATAGCAGTCGCGGCGAAGTACGACCTACAGCGGCTTTTCCAAGAGTGCGTTTCCTTCCCGTTCCTTCTCGAGGCCTGCTGCTGATTATTTGATAGCCCTGTATTCATCGTGTCGAACGTGCTCCTGATCGCGTCGCCGCCTGCGCTCACGCTTGCGCAGATCACACAGGCTGCGTCGGGCGACGCTTTCGAGCGTCTCCTCAGCAAAACGATCTTCTGGTCGTACTGTGTCCTGACCGCGCCCTCCACTATCATCGTAGTTGTCCTTGGGCTGATCCTCGCCAAGCTCTAATCCGAGCTACGTTCTTTTGCTTGAATTGCTCTGCTGTTGTCTCGTCATGCTCAATCTTGCATCATACAATTCTCAACGGCATACATGTGAATCCATATGACGGACTTGATTTGTTTTTTTCTTGCTGATCTCGATTGTTGAATTCTCATACAAGCGCGGTGTGTCCTCTAGCCTTGAGAAGCTGCGCCTGGTACGTACGTATCAGGCGTGTGCGTGGGTGTATACAGGGACTTAGAACGTGTTGCCGATCCATAGACTGTTCTGGCTGTATTGTAGGCCTTTTCTACACCATCCCCGATACATTGCATCCAACATGTTGGGCAGCGCAGACGAGGCTCGCTGGTGCGTTTGCTCAAGGCAAATAGGCGCTGATGGCACTATCGCCACTACGAGAGATGCGAATTCGGAATGCGTTTGTCTCGCCGATGCACACAGTGCACGCATGCATTGACCCTCCATTTCCGTCGTCGACCGGCGGATAAAAGCTTGCATGGGTTTTGACAGTTGCAGCAGAGCGGGCGGTTGCCAGGTCCGAACAAGGAGAACAATGTAGCCCACTGAGAACACTATAGTAGCTGGGCACGCGTATGCCTCGAGACTCGTGCAACAAACGCGGTACGCGTCTCATAGTGATTGGAACGGCCAAAGCTCTCTTCGAGACGTATAAAGAGCGATATGCCGTCATTGCTCGACGACTGTCGCACTGTCCCCTTGATTTTACTTCGCTATGGCCACTAACTCGGATCCTGGCCTCATCAGCGTACATACGCCACCGCACTGGACGAAAGACTTGGTCAGGAACCTCGAATGGGGAGCGAGCATCGACAATTTAGATCTGCTAAGCAAGTTAGAATCCATCGCTCCGGAATACGCCATCCCAACAGTCTTGGAAGACCGCATCGTACCCATATCCGTGGGTAACTTACCATCTCCGAGCTCTGTATTGGTGCCACATACGTTGGATCTGACGAGCATGTGTCAAGGTGGGACATCCCTGCAGAGTCCGCGTTCGATACTTCACCGAGAGCCAGCTCAGGTGCAACTGGCGCATCGTCATGCCGGGACACATCGACCCCTACCCTAGCTTCCTCAGGGGGTTCAGCGAGTGGATGGACGCCACTGTAGAGCGGGTGCTTCTCTCGACGACTGTGGTTAGTGCTGCGATTAAGGACAGAGTGCCAGCATTTGTGAGGACTTACGAGCAGAACGGAGCCTTGCTGCGGACGTACGTCGTGCTCGCCAAGCGGATCACAGATGGACAGCCCGTGAGGCTGCAGGTTGTCCCGTGGGTGGGCGAGTTCATGGTTGAGGGTATGATCATACCTCTCCCCGATGCGACCTACGAGCAGCGAAGTGAACGTATGGTGCGTACTGTAGATCGTCAGAGGTACCGCAGATCTTGATGGCCTCTAGACGTCGATGTATATCGGCCTTCCGGTTATCGCGGAGCCTGAAGACGCATATCCCGGGAGCAAATGGTACACCTTCTGGTATCGGGCGCGGTTAGACGTACGAGTCTCACTACAATGTACACACGTTATCCTCACCAACGAACGCAGGGCTACAACACCCACCAAGGTCGCAAGTCTTTCAAGCTGACAGTCGCCGAGGGGCCTTACAGTCAGTCCCCTGCACTGGAGTGCATCACTCTGCGTGTCGAACTGTTGCCTGGGAATGACTCCGTGGCCGATATCTTGGTCAAACGGGGATATCTTGTTTGTGGGCGTTCTGAACTGGCTGGGATGAGATACCATCGATTGGACCTATGGGAACATGACGGGACGCTGCCGATAACTTACATACCTTAGAAGCAGGAGCCGGTGGAATGACAATCGTCTGTCAGCGGCCTGTAGTGACAGCAAGGTATCTCACTCACTGGATGCCTTCTGGGAGCACATAGTATGCCGGTAGATAGCACGGCGCGCTATTGGCTCTATAGCTGATCATGTCATTATAGTGTATCATAGCGTAGAGAGCGATCATTGTATGGGGTTGTTCAACACTGGCTAGTAGAGACGAGTTCAAGCTGCTTGGGTGACGGCGGCGCGGTGACTTGGTCTGAGTGTAAATATAAGATCGCATCGGTACGGAACGCATGGGATCCAAGCGCCCGCGACCACTAGTACCGACGTAAGCCATAGAGTAGGACGGTTCTAAACAAACTAGTAAGGTGGATGGAGAGCTCCATATAAATGTGGGGCCTCAGTCTGTCTGTTGATACCAAGTTCATCCGTAGACCTGTCCTCAATTCTTATACGAGATAGAGATATGATAGCAGAGATAGAGTTGAAATAATTATTGCGCTCGAGTTATATCATTGTTGCACTGAAAGCACGACTATGAATGAAAGAACGTTGAAGCAGGAATCGCTACGGTGCAAGGCGGATTCGTTGGGTTCCATAGTGTTGCCAGTGGGTTCCTAGACCGTAGCAAGTAGGCACATGTAAGTCATCAACGCTCCGACTCAGACATGCTCGCGAGGGCGTGAAGCTGTCCATCGAACGAGATTGTCAGGAATGGGAAGCCATTGAGAAGGCAGGAATGGGTCCCGTTTGGATTGAGGTCCTTACGTGTGAATTGCCAAGAAATATGACCCTTCAAGACGCAGATTCGAAGCGCTGACAGCCTGGCATGCCCCAGCCATTCGCCCGAGGAAATTCAACTGAATGCCAGATCCTGGCGCAATGGTGCCGAAGTCTTGAATAGAGATGTGAACAAAGATGATGGAAGGTGCAACACTGACTGAGAAGATCTGGGAGTGCCACGATTAAATGGCCGTGCACCGCGGAGCACAGACTCTTGAGGCGGAGAATGCGAGTTGTGGTTGTGGGTCCACATGAGCGTGACGCCCCGGTGATGTTCGCAGCGCCGACACGTTGCTGGCTTCCCAGGCTCGCTCGCTGCGATCCCTTCATCGTGCCCGCCGCGGACGTCGAGCATGGGCCCGCCGTCGAGGAGAGACGCGCCCGAGTAGCGCCCACGGATGTGGCGAGAACAAAGTTTGGCTCACAGCCTGCGACACGTGCACCCTTCTTTGCGCCTTTGACCATCAACCCTCGCGCACGTCGGATTGCTCAGCACGCTCTCGTCCAGAATCCGGACTGCAGCCTATCCAAGCATACGAGGGCACGGACCGACGGGCTGCGGAGACGGAAGGCAGTTGAAACGGAACAGAACGGAGAGGGAGGAGTGAGTCGGTGAGTTCTGAGCGGCGACGAGATCGGGAACGAGATTTGAGTCGGAGTGAGCAACTTCCTCATGTTCTCCGCTCCTGGTCCTCGGGCCCTCTCCCTCGCCCGCAGACTCGTGCTAACAGCCCGCCCCAATGTCTGCAGAGTCCCAGAAAATAACCGCCCCCCCCCGCCCCGCCGGCCGAGCCCCACCTCGCCAGCACCACCCGCGACATGGCGAGCGAGCCGGCGAAGTCCTCCAACCCCGGGGCCCCAGAGCACCTTCAGCCACATCCCATAGTCTCCTATCCTCCCCAGCAGTACGGCGGCCAGTATCCCCGCCCGTCCCCTACCCCCTTATTATACCTACGCCGCCGTCCCCGACGGCAGCCACGACCCCAACGCTGCGAACGGCGCCCCGCCGCCCCTCCGTACTTCATGGCGCTCCCGCCCCCGCTCCGGGTATGGTCTATGCTATCCTGCCCTCCGCTGGACAAGGTGATGTGATGAGTCAGCTTGCCTGGCTACCTAGTTACTGACGTTCCCTCGAAGGCTTTCCTCCATATCCGCCTCAGATGCAGCCCACACCGGTCCGGTGCGGCAGAAGCGTAAACAAGTAAAGATGGCGGTACGTATCTTCCACTTGTGCGTGTCGATCACCGCTCATGGTCGTATAGTGCACGAACTGCGCGACCGCCTGCAACGCTGCGACGAGGCGCGTCCCTGCGAGCGTTGCGTCAAGTATGGCATTGCGGACAGCTGCATCGACGGCGTCCGCAAGGAGCGCAAGAAGGGCGTCAAGCGTGGCCCGTACAAGCGCAAGGAGAAGTCGGGTGAATCGCCCTCGAACGGTATGCCTTCCATACCCTATCCCACAGGCTCACCTTTGTACTCATCCAGTCTGTGCGCGATGAAGGTGAAACGTCCGCCCCGCCGCCCTCGCCATACTCTGTGCCTGTGCCCCTGAGAGCTACTATCCTTACGTCTACCCGCCGCATCCCTACGCCCCGCCTCCGCACGATGGGCAGCCGCATCCCGAAGGCGGCCATGTACCTCATCCGCCATACTATCCTGGCTATCCCGTCTACTCACCGTATGGAGCATATCCCGGCGCCCCGCCTATGCCGTACCCACCTCCTACGATGCCACCGCCTGCTGTATCTGCCACCTCGAAGCCTCCGGAGACTCCCACTGTCGCGCCTGCTGAGATGAACGGCGACGCCGCGAACAAGACCAAGAAGCGGTCGCGCGTGAAGAGCATGAAGATGGCGGGGCAAGAGGAAAGAAGGCGAAGCATTCCGGGGACCCGCAGGCGGACGGCGAAGGCCCACGGGGTATTGTCCAGGGCGATGCGGCTCCTCTCTACGCGAGCGACGCATCGAGAACCATGGTGGCCGTCTAATTGCGGGTCATGTACATGCCCACGCGCGTCATGCAGCACGCGGCCAGCGTGTTCTTCGTCAAGCCTGACAAGCAGTCGGACAGCTCTTCCCGCGATAGGCCCTCAGGGTCGACTGTACTAGTATCATCGTCATCTCCGTCCGTCGTGTCCGTTTTCTCTATCTTCATCTACTCGGCTTGTACGAGAACTCTCAGAGATGGACACTCATGGTGTGGCATCGTTGCCTGAGGGATTCTCCTGGTTGTGTCATTTAGCCAGTATTAGGGTCTTCCATGTGGTTGATCCTCTTGGTGAGCCAAATGTGCGCAGTAGGATCCCGGGCACCGGTGGCCATGCCATGTAGCTTACATAGATTGAACCCATCTCCTGTCCTGATAGTCGTGCCTCGTGGTCCTCGCTCTCGCTACAAACTCGTTATGGTATCTCGCTCGTCGATTGGTCGTGCTTCTTGAAAGCGTGTAAAACTAAATATGTGCCTGTACTTGAACAGATGAATGGATGTCGATATTTATCGAAAATTTTCATGAGAGTGTCTGTCTCCAATCACAGTTCTGTCGATTGTGTGTCTGATATGTGGCCTCAGGACACTCTGGCGGCGGATTCAATGTCTGACTGTGCCGCCGCCACCGCCGGACGGAACAGACAATAATAAGGCCTATACAGGTGTAGTTCGCCACGAAAATTTTCTACTGTGACCGCCGCGCGCTGGAGCCTGTGCAGAAATAGCACTTCGCGAGGGCGATGTGGCTGGATGATAACGGCTATGAGTATAGACAGCTGCATGTGCTTCCCGTCCCTCTGCCTCACGCAGCTGGTGGGCAGCCGCTTATGGTAAAGGAACCTACCACGTCCTATGACCTTAGCATGCTTCTCGCGGATGACGTCTAAGGAACGTGATGCCAGGCCACGACCCTGGACTGCATGACTGGAGGATATTGACAGTGAAATTGTGTGGCACAGCGGTCGCGATCAATGCCAGGCGATGTATGCTCGGCAGTTGCCCACTTGAATTCTGCGCAGGCGCCCAGTCCGGTAGCGATCCGATCTGTGGCTGCTGGCTACTACTAGTCTCCATCTGGCACCTCGGCGTAAGTATGCTTCGACCGGCCAACTCATGCTGCGACTCCATCAACTTTCGGCGTGTACGCTCGCTCGTAAGAGGGATTGTGTCAATTGCATCCCCGCTGGTTCGGATCTGTCGCGAACATTACGGGACTGACGTGCAGTACGTACGTGGGTACTTCGGACCGTGATGGTGTCGGGGGCCACCGGAAGGTCACCGTCGACGTCAGTCGGAGCGACCTGTGGGCAAGGCGGCAGCTGCAGCCCTCTACGCTCGACGACCTCTACTGCACCGTCCAGCAGAACACACCAAGCGTTGTGCAGATACCCGCCAGCGACCAGAATATGCCGTCTACCTGGGAGAACGCCCGGGTCTCCGGAGCCATGCTTCTCCGCGGAGGACTCGCGCTTTCGCCGATCATAGCTGCCTACCAGGTGCGTCCAAAGACTTCGCTGCTTGGCGTGTGTGTATCGAGTGATGATGATATGTTCCATCAACTCTAGGGCACCTCGTTGATTCCTCCTGGTTCTCCAAGTATCGCGACCCAGGGCATCCTAGCGGGCCTCGCCGCCTCCAGCCTGCCCGCTTTCTTCTATGTCGTGCCGATGGTCTTCGGCTCCAGGCCATGCCCATCTCAGTCGCCTTTGTTCCTGCCTGTGACGACCTTCGTCGTCACTACGGATGTCTTCTCCTGGGTCGCAGCGCTCGTGCTCGCTCGGCAGCGCAGGACCGGGCGCAGCGACTGGCTTCTGGACACGATGGCGAAGCTGCAGCTGACGTCTTCGGTGTTGCTTGGGATCGGGAGCGTCATTCGAAAGTGTGAGTACCCTCAGGCTTGCGGTCGATGCGCCATATTCTCCGTGTCTGTTCGATCCGTCCGTTGTTTGGCCTTCGGGTTCTGAATGGTTGCACTCATTCCGTAACGCCAACAGACCTGAAGGTGGGTCAGATTGATCCCAGCCTGGCATGGACCGATAAGGTGGAATGGCAGCTTCTTGGGACGACCCTCTTCCATATCGCTGGAGCGACTGCCGTCTTGACCAGACGTCGCTGGGAATACAAGCAATGATCTTTGCGTCGGCGTTTGTCCTCTCGAACAACTGTTACGTTGTATCCGTTATGATATGTATCATACTATACCTTTGTGTGTCAGCCGTTACTCAGAAGTGCACTGTATATGCTGCGATATTGCATTCGTCTTGCTTTGGACACTGGTTTCGGCTCTTACTCGATTATCGTAACTCAGCAGCCTGAGTGCTCCGCCGTGTCATCGAGCTCTCGTCCAGTCGAGGCATATCCCCGTGGTGGATAATATGACTAGCTTTGAATGAGATGACTATGTATCGACATTCGACCAACGGAAGCATTTCGATAGCTGGCCTAGACGGCACCAGACACGGACGAACAGAGACTCTGAGAGAGCGTTTGTTTGTTTCTAAGGCTCTTGGCAAACACCGCGCCCAAATCCGGACACTGCACGTGGCAAGCGCCGTTTCTCCCGGGCCAGCTCTCGCCGCGGCGCACCTCCAGTTTTCGACGCACACGTAAACGTTCTCCTCCCAGCCCATCACCACCACCATGTCTGCCATCCGTGCCCTCCGCCACATCTCGCTCTCCTCCAGCCGTGCCTTCGCTGTGCACGGCGCCGCGCGCGCTGTGTCGCGCGCCGCTCTCCCCGTCTTCGCTGCTCGTGCCGGTCCGGTTGCGTCAAGGGCGTTCTCGGTGTCTGCGCGCAGGTTTGGCGAGGGTGCTGGTGAGTCGTTCTGGGCTTGCGCTGACGGCGTGGGGTGTGGCGGTGCTGACGCGTGCGTTGTGGCAGCTGACGTCGCGCTGTCGCAGAAGCTCGGGGAGGAGTTGCAGTACGAGAAGGACAGCGCTGCCGAGGCCGAGCCTGATTTCTTGCGCGCGTTCAAGGCGAAGGGTGTCTGGGAGGTGCGTGTCATCTTCGTATGCAATGCACCCGCCGGGTCTCATCCCTGTCGACGTAGATCGAGGACACCGCCGGGAATGACGAGGTTGCGCTGAGGCGGAAGTTTGGTAACGAGACGTGCGTCATGCGTGGCGATCCGCTGGCTTGCGCGCGCTGACGCCTTGCCTGCTAGCATCCGGCTGATGTTCTCGATTGCGGACATTCAGAACGAGCAGGAATCCGAGTTCGAGCAGGGTGAGGAGGGTGAGCAAACGCCAGAAGAGCAGCCCATCCACTCCTACCCCATTCGCTGCTCCATCTCCATCACAAAGGTGCGCACCCAGGTCACCCGACATGGGCTGTCCCTTCTCTAATGCCGCTGGTCACAGGCGGGTGCGGACGGTGCGGTCAACGTCGACGCGCTCTGCCAGGAGGGCGCGTTCCTGGTCGACAACATCTCCTTCTATAAGGACGCTGCTGTCGGCACGGAGCTGACGGCGGAGGCGGACTGGAAGCGTCGCGGCCTGTACATCGGCCCACAATTCGACACGCTCGATGTCACCGTGCAGGAGGAGTTCGAGCACTGGCTGCGGGAGCGCGGTATTGACGAGGAGCTGTCCACGTTCATCCCGGAGTATTCTGAGTTCAAAGAGCAGAAGGTACGTCCTGTCATGGCGTATGTATGGCAGATGCTGATGGCCATTTGCTTTTCTGTAGGAGTATGTCGGCTGGCTGCAGCACGTCAAGAAGTTCATCGAGGCATAGATGCGCTGCTTCTGCGTACTGCGTGCAACTCGGCTGGGTTGCTCACACAAAAGTTGATGCAGTGTCTGTGCTGCAGTCCTTACCTACACGACCGTCCTAATCGCAATGTGTCACTAATAATGCACTTCCCACTCATGCATATGCGTTTCTTTCCGGCTGCCCGTTCGCCCATGACAGGGTCACATTCGTGTCAATGTCATCCCGCAAGAGGTTTCGATTAGGTAAGCAACCAAGTCGGGAGGAGGAGGAGGAGGAGGGGATTCCATTTAGTCCTCACGTCTGCGTGCCATAAGGCTCGCCACGTGTGACAACGCTCTCTATTTACATGACAACCCCCATACTCCATAGACCCGTGTACACTACTTCCCGATCGGGATATCCAGCACCTACTATCGCACGATTGCAATACTACTCGATAATTCACAAACACCCCGGCTCATCTGCCTTGCAGCATGGCAGGATCCATGGCTAAAACCTGGTAGGAAAAAGCTTCGAAAAACCTCCAGGCGTTAGTGGTGGTTCCCCATCGCACTAACATAACTCACCATGGTCCAGGTGGTACCATATGGTAGCGCTACTGCCGTCCGCGATCATGCGGAGGGCACGCGAGGCCCCCTATTGGCATAGTAGGGGCTGGACACGCCCGACCTGGTCATAACACACAATGACTTTGGTATTGATGACACCGCCGTCGTGGGCGTAGAGCAAGCGGCTGCGGTGATATAGACGCACGCAGGGGACAGCGCTGGCCCGCTCACCGCATGGCGTAAGAGTGGAATTGCTCCACGCTGGTGACCACCAGGATGGGGACGGCGTCACAGCATTGGAACACGTCAAGAATGTATTTTGCGGCGATCTGCTCCGTGCACTCCTCCGCAATCACCGCATTGAGGAATGCAAGGGGGGACTGCTCCGGCAATGCTCGTTTCTGTGAGCGCAGAGCGACGTCAACCGCCCGCATGAAAGCGGCGCGTCGTGACCGAAGAGCTCCGCATGACATAGCATCAGCACATGTGCCTCGTCCTCGACCATGTTTCGCCCTTGGCAGAATCTGCAAATTCGCCAGTGGGGTGGAATTGGCGGCGACCGTCGTCGCAGACGTTCTACCGCAAATGGGTGGTCGGAGGCGAAGAGCCTGCATACTGCCTTTCGGGCGTCACGGCCTTCCAGCGTGAGATATTTGCGCCGAGTGAGGACGCCTGCGCCCGTTGGGCGCGCACGCAGGACACATAGCCGTTGGGATGCTTGAATTTCGCGTGTAAGGTAAGTCCTCAGGGAGGCGAGCATTTCTCTGCACATTTCTTGACAACATCCGATGTTAAGGCTTCTGGCAACGGAAGTCGACAGGGACTGGTAGCTGTTGCAAAGCATATACCGAAGGTCTCCGAGCCATGAAGCAGTGCCACTCAGAGCCATGCGGCGAGTCTCGGCCAGCGCTGCCAAGGGAGCACTGGTCGCTGCGTTACCACATACATGAGGTAACGGAGCGCCAACGAGAGTCGTCGGTAACGGATTGGCCACAGGCCAGTCTCCGTGAACAGGACTGCAGTTACAGACCTGGGGTTTAGTCCGAGGGTGCGGCGCAGAAGGTCAACTGCACAGCCGCGAGGGTGTTGTGCGCCCTCAGTTGGACATCAATCGTCACTTCGCAACCAGAGATCAGGTGCGAATCGATGTGGGTGTTATATAGAGTCAGAGCCGCCCAGGGGGGCAGGTCTGCAACATACGACTCCACGGAAAGGCATGCATTCGCTGTCTTGCGTGCGATGTCCACACGGCGCTCGATATGCGCCGCAAAGATGTCTCGCGCCGTGGACAGGAACGTGATGCCGACATAGGTGTATCTGTCACAAGGGCAATGCGTGCTCCATTGACAGTGATACGGGGCGCGGACGTCGGGAGGCTCCGAAGATCATCAGCTGGGTCTTCGAGACATTAATGGTCGCGAAGTTCAGTGAGCACCATCGAGCTAAGTCATCTAGTTTGAGTTGAAGCCCAGCCTGGGATGTGGAGAACAACGCGATGTCATCCGCCTGCTCGAGGTGGGACACGCATACTCCTCCTAGACGGATGTCGTCTTCATGGTTGGAGATGCATAGATCGGCCAGGAAGAGGATCCAGAGGATGGGAGATGCCGGGTCGCCTATCAGAATGCCCGCTGCCGCTTTGAAGAAGTCAGATGTGCCGCCATCTGCGCGTACCACATAGCGCAGCCTAGCATACAGCATCCGCAGCCAGTCAAAAAGCGGGCCTGAAAAGCCCGCCGCGTGCAGC